AATGCCCTAAAAGGGCAGAAAACCAAACCCAATGTATCAAGCTAATATCAACAAATGTCCCAAAGAAGGAAAAAAAAAAAAAAAAAAAAAAAACTCCCAAATCAAAAGGCAAGAACCATAGAATCGCTCGCTCATTGGTATGAACCGGAACAGAAAGGAATAGAAAAGGAAAAAGATAAAGGAAACAACATAGGAAAATACACAAGGAAAAATAAAGACAAAAGACTCCGAATCAGTGTTTGCGGATCTTTCGCTTCAATTTGAAGATCCGGGTCCGAAGCCATGTCATGAAGAGCACCCAGGTGCTTTTTGATTGCGACTTCCATGAGGCGCTGTGTTGTTCGCTTTCATGAATAGTGGATCGGCGGGGCTTCTCGGAAATATCTTCGCTCGACTGCATGACGGGTGACTCAGGGGCATTCGAGGAGGTGTGTCGTTTCAAGCGGCGTCGACTGCCCCTCTCTTCGGCTTTGATCTGTTGTTTCTCGAGGCGTAGGCTTTTTTCAGCCTCTTTGTCTTCAAACGCTTGGCGGGCTGCTTGGACAGTTGCCGCACGCGAGATGGGATCGGTGCTGGTACGGGTTCGAGATCGGAACACGAAGTCGAGAGAGTTTCGAGACATCGGAGACGTGGTAGAGTCCATATCACGCGAGTAACTGAAGGATGGCCGGCTGGTCACGTTGGTCTGCGAAATCGAAGGGAGACGCGTGAGCGAGTCATCTTGAATTTGCAATGACAATCGAGGTGGCGCTTGGCTAGAATACGACTCTGGCAGGTCTGCAGGCTCTGACTCGGGGCTTTCATCCAGGTCATCGCTTTCATTCGAATCTTGATAGGACTGGCCTAGCGGTGGCGTGTATGCTCGGGGAGTTTGCCTCATTGGATGCACATACTGTGATCCAGGCTTCCCTCCACTAGATCCTGACCCGTTTGAAAATTGAGAGGTTCCGCTAGTAGATCGATTGTGTAGACCGGTGGGTGTTCTTTTATATGTGACACCCGTCACAGACCCACCGCGCTCGCGTTCGAAGTTCATGTAGATACCCAGTCCCTCTTGTTCAGTAGAAGATCGGGATAAATCAATCGAGGTCGACGGCGCGTCATCTCGAGACATTTTTCGCAAGATGGGCTTGATGTGTACCCTCGGCTTCACAGATTTGCTCTTGTGGGTCCGATAGTCGAGACCGTCCGAGGAAATGTTGTTTTCGGGCGCGTCCATCAACTGATGAGACTCTGATACCCAGGGCTGTTCCATTGGAGTGTCGTTGGCAAAGCTGGAAGCCATGGAACCGCGATTTCTGCGATCCACGGGGGAGCGCGCGTTGTCGGAAACATCGGGGAATGGGAACTCTTGAGAACCGTTGAGATTCTGAGGCGGAAAGATATTGTAAGAGGCGGTACGTCTGGATTCAATGCTGGGTCGCGCTTTGTAAGGACGCTGGAGCGAACCCGTTTCTCCCGTGAGTCGGTTTTTGAAGACGGGCAAAACCGACTCACGAGAGTATTCCACTTCGGCACGAGCCATGGCGGGGAACCACACCCTCAAACTCAATGTAACAAGTCTTTTTTAGTTGTGGATCGCGTGATGCATGGCGGTGGATGAGGGGATCACGGAGCGAAGAGATCTGCAAGATTGGCGCAGATCCAGACGGGATAGCAGAGGAAATCCCAGGAGTTCACAGGTCTCTCTTTGGAACGGGTGATTTGCAAAGGAAGAGGGGGTTGAGGGTTGAGGGGGGCGAGGGCATCAGCGGGGAAAGACGCAACGACGCTCAGATAAGCGCTTATGCGCGAAGGTGAGATGCTGAGTTTCGGCTAGAGCATATCGGGGCGAAAAAGCCGATGTCAGCAAGTCAGAGAAAGCAAAGACCTTTTGATGCAAGAACAAGAGGGAAAAGTCTTCGATTATATCACGAAAGAAAAAGGGGACGGCGGTGAGAGCGGAGTTCTACGGGTCGAGACCGCATGCGGCGTGGTTGTGTCGCTATACTCCTTTTCTCCCCTTTCCCCCGTTCTCTCTCCTATTCCCTCCCTATTTTCCACCCTATTAATAACTTCATTTCCTCCTATTGCTTCATCTCATCTTAAATTCGATGAGTGGAGATTGCTACCCCCACTATGCATTCCGTCTAGAAAGTCTAGCGGCCTTCTATTGCCATTCTATGCGCACTCAGATGCGTCTTTTCAATACATTCGTTTCCGATCTTCTCTGAATATCTCTACTCCCGTACTCCGTACTTAGTTTTGGAGATCTACCCGGCGAACCTCTTTGTCAGGTGTGGGTACTGGCAAATTATCCGCTAGAGCTCTCTACGAGTACTCATCCCCTGTGCTCTGTATGAAGTACAAAGTACGGAGAGTACGGAGTATTCTGTATAGAACGGGAATGGCTTCAATATCAACGATTTCCACCATTTTTCTGCTTCAACTATCCCCTACCCCTGACTGCTCTAACTTACATGCATCTGATCAAGCAGATCTACGAGTATATATGCCCCCAGAAACCTACATCATATGCAGAATGAATGGCCAGAGTGATCATCAACGCCAAGACAGCCAAGACCAACCTCGGAACAAATGGCAACGCGAGCTGCAGCCAAGCGCGTAACTGATTGTCTCTCCCCCACCATGATTTCGGTTTGACGTGTATCTCCTTGGTGGGGGTTTGACATCTTCATCCTGTTTTTTTTTTCTTCCATCTTTACTTCTTTTCCCCTCTGAGCACATACCACCCCCCTCATATTTACCGCCATGGGTCTCTCTCTACAGAACCTAGGGCTTTCCCTCCTGATCTTGGTTGCATTCTCCAGCCAGGTCCATGCCTTTGGTGCTGGTAACATCGCATCTCTCTCCAAGCTGGAAGGTCAGAACTGGCGTCATGGAGATATCGAAGATGCTCTTCTTGCCCTCTATCTGGCAAGAGCAGCTGGCGGCAAGAAGTTCGGCAAGCTGGACGTCAAGCGTGTCTACTTCGGTAACTGGTTGCGTGATTACAGTCAGGCGGTCGATGTCGGTACCGTCAAGTACGTCAGCGCAGAAGCAATTCGCATCCTTATCTGGGTACTTGGCTTCATGAGCTTTGGGTAAGATATTTGACTGGCGCGACCTTTACATTCACTAAGACTGGTCAGATACGGAACCAAGGAGTTCGAAGTTACGACGGAGCGTTTGGGATGCTACCAGCCCACCGAGCATATCGATAACCCACTTGGATATGCCGAGGGCGAAGACGCGCGTGACTATGACCGTCGTCTGCGCGGCCCTATCGATGAAGAGCGGGAACTTTCTGTCGACTACCGCACTGGTACGGATTTGAATCTTGACTGGATAAGTGGGGACTTGGCTGACACCAAAGGGGACAGGATTGAAAAACTATATCGCCAACGAGGATGCGGGCATCGACACATCGGCTGCTCTCATTCGTCGCGTTCTGGGCCGATCAATCCAACTTGGTCGCCGATATGGCCAGTCTGGAGACAAGGACGATCTTTATGAAGCTCTCCGTCTTCTGGGAACTGGATTGCACTGCTTGGAGGACTACGCTGCTCACTCGAACTACACAGAACTCAGTCTTATTGAACTTGGAGAGACCGAGGTGTTCCCTCACGTCGGACGTGACACTCGATTGGAGGTTGAGGGCGCCGGAGAGGTCTACCCCATTGTCACTGGTACCTTTGGTGGTGTGGATTTCTTCCACTCCGTTTTGGGTGAGCTGTCTGATAAGACAATGCAGTCTGAACTTCAGTCTTTGGAAAACGCCATTACCGAGTCGGATAACCAAGACGCCTCTGAGAGCTTCTTGCAGAATCTGCTCTCTAAGATCCCCGAGGGTCTTCTTGGTGATAGCAATGATCAGACTGACAAGATGGATGATTTCAAGGCTAAGGCCGATGACGCTAGACATGATAGCCAAGAGGTTAACCCCCGTGAGCCCGAGGAGTGGACTCTCTACTTGAACAACGTTCAGAAGCAGATCTACCCTGTCCTCGAGTGGCATGACAACCTCCTGAAGCGCATCAGCGAAGCCATCGAGAAAATTCCGGTGTTGCCTGATCTGATCGAGCAGATCCAAGACCAGATCACTGTCTTCGTCTTCTCCATCTTGGCTCCCTATGTCCTGCCTATCATCAAGCAGGTCAAGTCGGAGCTGGAGACTGGCTCCTCGGAGGTGATCCAGAGCAGCCGAGAGCAACAGCACATCGTGTTCAACGATGACGAATGCTCCAACCCTACCCACTCTATGCTCTCCAAGGATCACTTCTCCAACATCCTCAACGAGCCAGCTGGACGTATCGCATCCGAAGTTGTCAAGTGGACCGTCCCCCAGCTCATGCAATGCTGGGACCACGAAGATGCCGACGTCGACCGAACCCTCGACCGAATCATCTCCGGTGTTTTCCATCACCCTGCCCATCGCGAGGCTGGCCGCGACGGCGCCTCCGATATGCGTCAAACCATGTTCTCAACCGTTGAAAAGTGGTGGGCTCAGAAGGATGACGACGAACGTGATGTGCTCCGCGACCAACTCAGCCGCGATGGTGTTCTGGAAGGCCGCAACCACAAGGACGGTGTTCAGGACTGCGGACACGGATGTGGCAAGCCCCTTGCACTTCCCAAGAACAGCGGTGGCGGCTCTGGTCAGGATTCTGGTAACTCTGCCATTGAGGGAATTGCCTCCGAGGCTGTGCGAGGCGGTGCGCTGGGCGGTCTGCTCGGTGGCATCGTAGGAGGCATGGGCTCTATGCTTCTCAACAATAACTCGAAGCCTGGCCGGGAGAGCCCGGAGCCTCAAACCCACTCGTATGAGAGTGGAAATGATTACCAGAGCCGTCCCCATGAGAGTCAGCAATACGGAGGAGACTCGTACGGTCAAGTAGAGTCTCGCCCTGAATATGGCTACCAGGGCAATTCGGGCTACGGTGCTCCTGTTCACCATGAAGAGTATCGTCCCACTCCCGGTGGATATGAATATTCGAGTGAAACCACCTACGGACAGCCCCCTGTGCGTCGCGATGAGTACTCCGGATATGCGCCTCCCGCGGAGAACTACGAACGCCAAGAGTACCATTCCCGTCAGTCGGAAAGCCAGGGTTACTACCAGGAGGAGAGACGGGAGACCTACCAGAGTAGCCACTCTGAGTACCGCACGGAAGAACGGGTTGGCTATGGAGGCCCACCTCCCGGAGATGGATACGGTGGTGGTGGTTACGGTGGTGGTTACGGCGGTGGTTACGGCGGCGGGTACGGCGGACCTCCTCCAGGACAGTATGGATATGGAGGACCCCCGCCCCCTCGCGAGTATGAGCAGTAAGTTATTTGCATTATATGATATGGTACAGTATTGACGAGGAGTGCAGAGAGTCCTACGGAAGACCCCAGCCTCGCTACAATGAGTTCGAAGGCTCCGGCTATAGACCCCAGGAGGGCTATGGTGGGCAGTACGAGGGTGGTGGTGGATACCGCGAGGAGCGCGGTTATGGCAGTGGCAGTGACGAAGAGCGTCACCACCATCACCGCCGCCATCACCACCACCACGAACGGTCTGGTTCAGACTCATCTTAAATAGCATTGTGATGGACCCTGGGATGTTGTGCTAGAATCTTTGTTTCATTTGGCGAACGCATCTACCATTCCTTGACTTCTCCGGGCGCAGGCTGCTCGGTGCGGACAACCTTGTCGCAGTTGAGCAGGCGCAGGGGATCAAGGGCCAATTTCAGCTGGAAATCAGATAATTAGCACTTGCTTGGTGTAAAGCGTACATGACTGGGGTGGTAAAGGGACTTACCCGGCGCATAGCGTCAACTGTAGATTCGCCCAACTCGTGCTCAAGGTAGTCTCGCTTGACGAGACCAACACCGTGCTCACCAGTGACAGTGCCCTCCATCTCGACGGCACGTTTCACCATTCGGTGCACAACGCCCTCGGCCTTCTTCTTCTCGTTTTCATTGAACAAAATGATTGCTGTAGTCGTTAGAGCGAGCCAATACACCGTGTCAATTGTACTTACCGTGGAAGTTTCCATCTCCGACGTGGCCACAGATACCAGCCAACAATCCATTCTTGGTCATGTCTTCCTTGGTAGCCTCCATGATATCAGGCAGCTTGCTCATCGGCACCGCGACATCAGTCGTCCAGACGTGGTCATCGGGCGTTCTCTTCATAGCCATGACACTCCACAGTGCCTCCTTGCGGGCGCTCCAGAGCTCAGTCATTTCCTCTTCACCCTTGGCAAACTCAAAGGATTTGCCCGAAGTGCCGGAGACGATCTTCTGCACCATATTGATTTGCTCCTTGACCGCAGCCTGTGTACCAGTGAACTTGAAGAATAGAGTAGGAGACTCCTTCCACTGACGACTGGTGGTCTTGCTAGCGTTGATACACTTCATCTGGATGTCATCCAAAATCTCAACACCGGCAACGGGAATACCAGCCTCGACAACGTTCGTCACACATTCCGCAGCGTTGGAGATGGTGCCGAAGCTCGCAACAGCCACATTCTGGCTTTGCGGCTTGACGGTCAATTTCAAAGTTGCCTCTGTAACTAGACCAAGGGTGCCCTCGCTTCCAATAAACAGCTTAGTGAGATCGTAGCCAGCGCTGGACTTGCGAGGTCGCTGTCGAGTCTTGATAACAGTTCCATCGGCAAGAACCACTGTAAGCGACAGCACCCACTCGCGCATAGTTCCATAACGGTACGCGTTCGTTCCCGAGCACCCTGTCCCAACCATACCACCAATCATCGCTCCGGGGCCAGGATCAGGCGGGAAGAACAGTCCGTCCTTTCCAATGACCTCATTCAACTCTTCCCACCCAAGCGCGGGCTGCACAACCACATCCAAATCCCGCTTATGCAACTGCAGGATCTTATCCATGCGCCGGAAATCAATACACACCCCACCTCTCGTGGACGCAAAGTGGCCTTCCAGGCTGGTTCCGCCGGAATACGGCGTCACGGGGATCACCCGCTGGTGACAGACTTTCATGATCTGTGAGACCTCCTCCGTGGTTGACGGGTACAAAATCAGGAATGGTTTCTCATTAGCCTTGGCGGAGTAAGAAGACCAATCTGAGCCGGAATGCGACTCCAGATCGCCGGCTGCCGTGGATACATTCTCCGAGCCGAGAATTGCGACGAAATCCGCCCATGCGGCTTGCAGATTGGAGGCGGATACATTGTGCTTGGGTGCATCGACTTCGGAAAGTGGTGTTGTCGAGGATGAGGGGAGGGCGGCGGGCTTGAGAGATCCCAGGTAGTAGGCGCCCGTGGAGAAGAACACAAGGGCTGGAGGAGTCAGATGGGATTGGTTTTATGGATGCGGTTCACTGTACCGAATATAAGGGCTGCGTTGCGGCCTGCTGGAGACTGGGTTTGCAGCTGGGCGAATTTCTCCTGCTCGGCGCGCTCGCGCTTCAGTCGTTGCTGGGTGCTTTCATAGAGTTGACTCTTGAACGAGGGGTTTTCTTTGGATTTGGGGGCGGATGTTCCGAATTGGCGAAGACGGGGCGCTGGGCGCGTCCGTAGACTGCGGGCCCCTAGGGTCAGGGCTGGGGTTAATCGAACCATCTTAAGTGTCTGTAGATGAAGCCTGAAGCTTGAAGCATTTTGAGGTCGGACCGAGCTCCGGAGTCTTGGCATGGGGTGCCATATGGAATTCCAATTTGGTCAGGTGATCCCTGCTCTAGTATAAATTTTGCCTCTGTCATCATTTTCCTCGTGTGCCACAGATAGCTCCTCTTCTTGATCTTGTCGAGCTCTGAGCTATCTCTCTGCGTATCCTACAATACAGCCTCCCGAGGCTCCGGGGTTACGCCCAGATCTTACGCCTCAGAGCAAAAAAAAAAGTACGCTGCCATTGTGAACTTCTGAAACACCCTCGAATCGGGGGCAGATGTCGATGTATTCGGCGATAAGGGACATAATTAAAGTGGATTGGGCCAAGTTTCCACATACTGTACCTAAGTACCATGGCGTTATGTAGATGCAAATCCGCTTTCTTCACTTTCCTGCATTAGGTGTTTCTAGCCAATTTTTGAAGAATCCAATCAAGAATCCTGTTCAGGGCTTAGCCAGGGAGTAATTAGGTAGGTACAAGTGAACTCATTGACACGGTGGACACTTATATAGTTCTAAAGTTGTGGAATTGGTGTAGATAATGCATACTACCCAATCGGGACATTGATTTGGATTCTTCAACCCGTCGATGCGCTGTGTTATTGGAGTCTTTGGTTTTCAAGAACCATGGATCAAATAACAAAGCATCATGGGTACGCTACATATAGGTCGGGTTTCTTTGCAGAGGGAGAGAAATAAGGATCAAGTATCACCGCCACCATTACCACTGGTACCACCACCTCCTCCTCCACTAGACTTGGTGCAAACATTGAGTATTTCAATCAAAAACTGATGCCCGGTTCGTTGGCTTCCGTTCACCGACGCAACGTTCGAAACTCATATTCTCGATATCGCAGCACATAGTTTGACTCTTGCATGAGCTATCTACTATATAACCGATCAGCGTTGTTGAAAACAGTTTGATGCAGGAGCGTGAGAAAATCGCGTACAGTGGCTAACAAGAAATGTGTCAGGTCAACTGCATTCACTTCAACCTGAGCCTAGCAATGTGAAAATGAGATCAATTGGATGATCTCACAATTCCTGTTGATCTGGCCTTTCAACGGTACAGTAACATAATCACATTATCTCCTTTTGATCAATATCGGCAACTGGTCTGAGCCAGGTAGCCCGACGCTGAACAAACAACTCCATATCTGGCTTCATTTCATTAAGAAGCAATGGGTCATCAAGAGCACCGCACTTGAGAATTTTGATACCAGGGCCATCTTCACCATCTGAGTAAAGATTGATTCCGCACTGGGTACAGAAGTATCGAGTCACTTTGTTGCCGTTGTGGGCAACGTATGTATAGGCAGCAGGCTTGCCGGTGATAGTGAATGCAGCCGAAGGCACAATCAGATTGAGAGCGTATGTGCTACCACTTGATTTGCGGCACTCTAGGCAATGGCAGATGCACTAAAAGGAAAAGAGGTTGAAGCAAAGTCCATCTTTAAACCTGTGAGAGTGTGGCTACTGACCTTTTGCCACAGGGTCGACTGTGTATGTAATGCGAATTGCGTTGCAGGAACACGAAGCCACAGCCATTTTGAAAGAATCGAGGTATCAAATCCAGAAAGGAACTGCCTATGGAAACTATCAGGAAGCACTTGATTGTGCTTGGAAAAGATAAGGCAGGACCTTTGGGAAATGTCCCAGAGTAAAACCAACAGAACTTCCAGGTTTCATGTCCACGAGCCAAGCCCGGCCAAGATCTTAAGTGCACAGTAATGGCGGTCAATGAATTCTTCCTGGACAGATCGTCCAATGCGAACTTTCGACCAGAATGTGTGGCTCCTCCGTGATTCGACGCCTTGGTGTTCACGCTGCCAGCTGGGGAACCAATAGGAAAAGTCCCACTTCGTTCAAGACACAGGGCACTGGACCCTTCCCCTTTTGGTGAGGAGTCAGGACACGGCTACACAAGCGGTTTCTCTCTTGTTGATGAATATGATAAAAGGAGCTAACTCCCTTCTCCTTTGCAGATGCTCAAGATTCAATTGGTCAAGGCTTGATTGAATGGCTTTACGGAGCGTCAGTTGTGTGCTAGCTGAACCGTCATTCCTAACACAAATGCTCAAAACTCCTCGCGTTGCGTTTACTGCGAAGTCCAAGGGACTGGAGTCATTTCCCCCACAAAATCGTGTCAAGCCAATCACAATAGGACCATCCACTTCTGGTTGGATCCAATCGAAAATGTCCCACAACATCCCGGTGTATGTAAGTACTTTCGGTTTTGATCCGTCGCAAATCAAACTTGTCTGCAACGTACTGCTATCGTTTGACCTTGGATAATTCTAGACCTGGGTTTCAACAGAGCTCTAGCATTTTTGGCCTCGCTCCACTGGATGCAGTCCCCATTTTGTCCAACTTTCGGAAAGAGCCCTGCGGACACGTGATGGCAGACCTTCCGTCATTGACCTTTTAGTCCACGGGTGATGCGAGTGCATCCACAACACTGACCATCTCGTTACATAGCTCTGTTTCTCTCTTCCTGTTCTCCTCTTCCCATTTGCCAGTCCAAGCCCCACTCAGAAGCAAACCCAGCGTGTTTTCTACGCATGGATTCTTCTTCTTCCGGGTGATTGCCATTGGCTTGTCTTGCTGTCGTCACTCCTGCAGCATGGTTGCGCCTTTCATCTGCAGAAAGTGTGTCTCAAACTTCTCTACGCTCACACACCTGCGTCGACATGTTGAGTCACGTAAGCTTATCACCTGGGCACTTGAAATAATGCCAGCTAAGTTGATGGCCCACGTAATTGACAATTCTAGAACATCTTCTCAAAAGCTACAAATGCTTCTTCTGCTCATCTTCTTTTCGCCGAAAGTGAGCCACGCATTTCCAAGCTTAGTGAATCTCGCTCATGACTTTTTTTAAGGGACACCGCTCGGCGTCATGCGAACCTTTGCTCATCAAGGTGCGGTCGGCCTCTACCTAAGATCGAAAAGGGCCGACCGCGAGCGTCCTGCGACAATTGTGCCTGGGAAAAGAAAGTGTGCAACAAAGAGTATCCGTGTAGCAACTGCGGAAACAGTTCCTCTTCATGTACATATACCCGCGTCGTGCCTTGCGCCCAGGCTCCCCCACCACGGGCATCCTCTAGCAATGAGGAAATCACAAGAAACACAATGAGCGGAAATGAAACGGAGAATTTCGTGGCTACTTCTGAAAAGTCGGAAACTTTATCCAAAGTCCGAATACCGTTCTTGCTGAACTATTACGACGTTGATAACACGCTTCTCGACATGTATCCGGCCCTCCAGGCTGGAAGTACAGAAACGTCCCAGCCCGCCGACATCCCCTCTTCTCTTGGCCATGTCGAGTTTATGCCATCAGAAATTCTGGAGCTCTTTCCAGAAGGCATTTATAATAATGTTTCTCAAATTTGGCCGAACAGCACCACCGAGCAGAGCATCTATGAGAATCGCCGATCTATGTTCAACAAGCCACCAGATCCTCTAACGCACCAACCATTCTCGCAGCGCAGTTTGGAGGTGGCCGAAGTATTGAGGCATTTCGCTAGGGGTGGCACTTTTGAGGCTCCTCTTGAAAAAGCAATTGAACAAAATCTATTTTCACCCACCAACATGCGAGACTTTGAACATCTTTATACACAGCATTCGCACAAACATTGCCCAATCCTTCACCTTCCGACCTTGAACACTCTATCTGCGACTTTACCTCTCCTACTGGCCATTTTTCTAGGTGGCTCCTTACATTCTTACCCGAGAGACACGTTCCAGTTAGCAGTTGACTGTTTCGACATGATAGAGGCGTATTTGTTCAGCCTGTCTGTCTTCCAGACCGGAGTCAAAAAAGGAATCCCGACGCCGTCCGAAGTCGAGAGTCTCCAGGCAGCAGTCATTCTATTACACTTACAATTTGGACGAAACGACTCCGAGATACGCCGAAGAATAAGACAACAGCGATTTCCAATATTGTTACATGTCGCGAGATCAATGTCACTATTTGAGTCAAGACATGATGAAAATCCGACTTTGCCAGGGCGTTGCGCTTGGGACCCTCAATCGGAGTCTCTTATCAGGTGTGTAGCCGCATTCATAATACTTGAATATCCTGTTCGACTACATGGTTCGCGTTAACAACGGCTCAATACGACTCACAGAACGGCTACCTTTATCTTGATGTTGGATACCCAATTTGTGGTTTGCCTGAGATCTCCCCCTATGACATTAATTTCGGAGTTTAACGGGCATCTTCCCTGTGCTGAGGCTATGTTTTGCCAGGCACCATCGACAACGTTGGTCCCGATCCCGCGTCCATCTTCTCTCCTTGAGATGATCGATTTTCTTTTGGCAGGGAATTTGAATGTGTCCAGTTGTCACACCCCGCATGTAGAGAGCATTTTCGGGCTCTTTGCTGTTCTCTCCGGTATGTATCTCTTTCAACTAATAAAGTTTCCTGTGTTCCGAGCTGAATAGTAGCTCAGGACTGCACCTCGTATTATTCTCAGCATTCGCAAGCCGAATGATTATCCGCGAATCAGTACCATTGGACCTGGCCCTCACCAACTGGAAAATTCTATGGAGGAGGCTGATGTCTCAGGTCGAAAGCGAAGAAGTTCAAATGGCTGGTTTCATGGCTAATGCAAACGAGCTTTGGCTAGTTGCCAAAATACTTCTGAAGACCGATATTCATGACTTCTCAAGGGGCTTGGAAAGCCAATCCTTCAAGCCTTTCTTAAATTTGCTGCAACGCGTCGATGAATTTTCAGACCAGTGAGCAAGTTCTTGGGTGTAGATGCTCTGCGATGTCTTGATACCTCAATAAGGTACTTCTTCCTAGTGGTGCTGCGATGGTGGCTTTTGGGGGGGGACTACGGAGAGTAAATACTTTTCCAAGCTCCGCTGGTCAGAATCCATATTATGGCCGAATGGATGAAATAGGGCAACCGGGTGTGCAATAATCATGTTGGGGCAAATGAGTTATAAAGATCTCCGTGGCTCCCATCGATATAATGACGGTGAAATCGTATTAATTAGTAGTCCAAACCTTGAGCCGGCGTTCAATTTCTCTTTTGCTAAAATTCAAGAAAAATCAAACTTATCTCCTAACAGCGCGCTACTATAAGTCTTAGTCCCATGCATGACAAGACGATGTTCTATCATATTAGGTATTTGGCCGAGTGGTGTAGGGTTCTGCGGGCCTGGGCGCGCGTCTTCACTTTGATATTCTACCATATGACTTATTGATTTTATCTTCCTTCACTTTTTTTTAGAATGTTGTCGAAGACCACCATGGAGTGGTTCATCACAGATGGAAATGAATGCCAAATAAGCAAAGTGATTGGATGACGAAGTAACCCTAATATTTACCTGGTGTAGTGGGGGAACCACGCACATGTTGGAAGAAGGGCTTGGGCATCTCAGTGTGTCAGATTAAATAATCTTGAATGACTTCTTAGGCAGACTTACATACAGAATGGAAATTAACCTCTCCGAAATTGGTCAAATTGAGCAGGATGGTTTATCCATAGGTTAGATGCCGCGCCCATCACGATCCTCGGGCCCATTTCATTCCACCGTCCCGTCTGCGATATCAGTCCGTCATGCGCTCTTCTCTATCTTCACAAGGTATCTAGATGCACCAACTGTTGTTCTCTCTCTTCCCCCTCTTCTCCTTGATGTTATATTGAGCCCTGTTCATTGACGACAGGGTACGTGATTTTCAACCAACTCCAGTGGTTGGCCCCAACAGTCAGCATAAAATGACTTCATCCATCTTTCGATATTGTGCGACAAGTGAAGCGCTAAGTGCAGAGTGATAGAACCGAGGGTTCAGTTCTTGCTCTTGTCCTTCTTCAAGGGATGATTCTGGTGTGGAGCATCTGCTCTTTGTTTCCGCTGCATGATATGTGTAGCTAAAGGAAAGAGAGCGATTGAGACACCGACCCAGGCAAACAAGATACCAAAGTCAAGACCAATACGAGAATGGGTTCCAAATAGGATAGTACGAAGAGCCTCGACAACTAGAAACCACTGAAGTTAGGAATAACTGCAAAGATCGACCAAGGGAGATAACAAATGAGCTTACTTCGATGTAACGGCCACACATAACCCCACCGGAAGAATGAGGGGGCAAGATCCAAGGCATAGAAGCCGGTCGACACGTTGGAGATGACCCAAAAGATGAGGAATATTGAACTATATGGTGCTCCGAGGATCATAGCCATATTCTCACACGGTAGCCCCAGTGCTGCCATCCCGATCCAATTGAGCATCCAAAAAACGACAAATGACCCTTTGCCATATGCATTAGCGTTAGGAGCAGACTCAGAGCCAGGAGCTGGGTGATTCTGGAATGGTATTTGGAATGCCAATGATACCAGGGAGTAGCACAGGGAGAGAAAGAAATATGCCCCAAGGTTAGACACTAGACGCCATATCCACCCACTGATAGTTCTTCAGTGGTGGATGATCGCCTTTCAACAGCTGCATATGCACCGGCATCAAAAATGGGAAAATGAAGAATGATAAGATGATGAGGTAGATTAACCCCACAGTGACTGCTGGAGTGGCCACCGCAGGTGAGAATGGTCGCAAGTCAACTTTTTCAAACCAGATGCCAGGGCTGATGGTTTGAAGAGCGTCAGGCTGAAGTACCTCGAATGATAGCATCTCGTGCTTTTTCAACCATTCCACCCAGAGAGGCCCAAATTCAGTGATTACCTCACGCTCGAATTCAGTCAAGGCAGGCTCAATGTAGCTGGAGTATGTGACTTGATCTCGGGCGCTGATGGTGACAATCTGTGCAGCTTGGCTCGGGCTGTATGCGCGATCTCCTTTCTTGACGGCATCCAGCAGCGTACTTGTAGCATCAGGGCTTACTATGACTGCCGCATATACTTCTTCATCGTAGACTGCTTGGCGCAAGGCGCGAGGATCGTTGCCGAATATCGCCGGCGACTGAACTTCGTAGGATATGCCATTTTTGAACTTTGAAATGCTTTTCGTCACATTGACGACGGCTGGCCCAATGACCGGGGCTTTGCTCTCGAGAATAGATGTGACTTGACCGTCGAAATCAACTACCCAGACCGTCAAATTGCCCATTCTTTTGGACACGTCGTATTGGGATACCCAGAACAATGACATAGCGCTTAAGATGACGAGTGACAAGAGGAGAACTAGGATAATAATGATCAATGACAGTGTTCAACAATTTGCCCGAAGGTCCGGAGTCTACCTGTTCTAGCCCACTGGATATACACTCGCCTCTTGACAGCTCTCATGCGGCTGTCAAACAAACCAACGGGCCTCTCAGATTCTGGAAGTGGCGCCGAAGTGCTCTGTCCTTTTTCCGCTTCGACCTTCATTACGGTAGCTTGCCGAGAAATTAGAGTCAAAAGTTGAAGGCGAGCCTGGAAGTGTGGTTGGCCTTGCTCTTGTTCTGTTTCGTTTGAGTTCGTTTTGTCTGTAAGATGTTTGGAAGAGTGGTCAATCGCTTAACTCGGCGAAGAGTATAGGCAGAAGAGCAAAAGTTTCGTGCCCTGCTAGATAGTCAAATGGTGAAAAGAAGGCTAGCGTGAGAAATCTTACCCCAAAGGATGGAGAAAGAGCCCCCGAGAGAGAAACACAGGAACAACGGGTCTTGTCATCGTTATGTGGGACTTTTTTGATTTGTTAATCTACCAGCGTGGAATCCACATGGTGGTGGATCTTTATACAAGACTTGCCCTCTCGGATTGATATGTTCGAAATGTCCGAGGGCACGATCCGCTTTTTTCTTCATAGAACGACCTTCCACCGTCATACTGGGGACTTTCGGCAAGGATAGATGACATCCGGTCTCAATACTCGTAGAACAAAACCTTCTGAAATTGAACTCTTCGTATTGACCGTGTTGCCCCATTAGGATCAGACACGATCCACAACCTTCGGAGTCGACCGGGTTGCCAATCCGGGAAAGCGGATTGTAAAACCCTTGCCAAGAGTGAGGGCACGTTGGAACAACAAATATTTAAAGAGCGTGCGTCTCGATTGAAGAATCAACGTTCTTCAGACAACCTTGGAAGGATCCATCATTGCAAGGCTCTTGTGCTTTTCCCTTTAAACTTACAACACTTCAACTTCTGATATCTTTCTCAAACACTGAGCCAGCAAGCAAGCATGACTGGAAAGTACCTTTTCAAAGGGGGCTTCGTTGTCACGCTGGATGACTCGCTGGGGGACTTCCCTTTCGGCTCGGTCCTTGTCGAGGGTGGCATCATAACAGCAGTCGGGCACGCGGATGACATCCATTGTCCAGATGCTGAAGTGATTGATGCCACCGATGGGGTCATCATTCCAGGAATGGTTGATACGCACCGACACGCTTCGATGTCTCTCACGCGTGGTTTGGGGGCTGACCAATCCTTGTTCCATTTTTTGTCCAACACCTACCTCAGGTGGCTACCTGCCACTAGTGTCGAAGACATGGAGCTTTCGGCTATGGTTGGTGGCTTAGAAGCCATCAACAGTGGCGTTACCACCATCATGGACACCTGCGAGTCTTTTCATTCCGATGGTCATGCAGACGCTGAGTTTGAAGGGTTGAAGAAGTCCGGTGTTCGTGCTTTCTTCTGCTTTGCAATGAGCGACGGTGCCTACGGCGACGCCCCAACTGGGCGTGATGGATGGGAAGCACGTTTGGAACACATCCAAAGACTCCGCCGTTCTACTACTCCAGACAGCCTTGTGCAGATAGGTATGGCTATTGGCCAACCTGGCACAGTTCCCTTCGATTTTACAAAGAAAGAGCTGAGCTTTGCGGAGGACAATGGCTTACTTAGCTGTTCCCATTCGTGTGCTATCGAAAACAGCATCATTACCAAGGACATTGAAGATCGAGCACAACACGATTTACTGATTCCTGGTCATGTCTACATTCATTGTACGAACCTCACCAAACGTGAAATCGATCTTATCGCAAAGTCAGGCGGAAAGATTTCTGTGGCAACAGAAACCGAGATGCAAATGGGTATGGGAGTTCCTCCTATCAGAGCCTGTATTGAGAGCGGCATCAATCCATCCTTGAGCATCGATACCTCCACCGCCGTTGCACCGGACCTCTTGTCGCAGATGCGGTTGGCCCTTCAGATGCAGAGATGCTTGGACAACGATGCGATTCACAAAACTCGTCAGGTACCTCTGGAGTGCCAATTCGGTGTCCGTGACGCACTTATCTGGGGGACGAGAAACGGTGCCGAGACAGTCGGAAAGATCAATGAATTTGGTACTTTGACACCTGGAAAACAGGCCGACATTGTCATGATCACGTCCCGAAACGCCCTCAGTGCATCCGCTTATCCACTGGCGACGGCCGTACTACATTCCAGCCCCGCTGATGTCGACACTGTCATGATCAAAGGAGAGATCAAGAAGCGTGATGGGAAATTAACTGGGCTGGATGTTGCAGAGATTCGCCTCAAAGCGAAGGCCGGCTTGAAGCGTATCATGGACCAGCTTCCAAATATGAGGCCTGAAATGACGCCAGATGAGGTTCGCCAGTACCTTTTGAGTGCTGAGAACATGACTCGGGCCAATCTGGCAAAGGCGCACTTTGGAGAAAATCTCCGAGGTGATTGGACGAGGCAGGATTAAGCCGCGCCTTAGTGCACCCGTCAGAGTTACAAGGTCTTGTTTCAAAACAGTGCTGTGTTCTAACGTTGCTCGCCACTTGTGAAGTTTCGACAACTCATTGGACCTGGTCACAGCGGGGAAGCATTCATAGATCACAATTTTGTTGTTGAAAAGTATTCATTCAATGATTTATCACCTCTATCTTGGTCCTCCTTCGGGGCTAGTTCTTATCTTGCAGAATTCGCTGACCGAAGCTTTCCAAGTTGATCGTGAGACAAGCTTGTAGCCTTGTCGTAGTTCTAAAGAGCATTGAACCATGTGTATTTCAGAAAATCCGTGATTTCAGTTCCTCTTGAAGATTAATGTATTCCCAAGGCTTGTACTCTCCACAATGGCGAGGAGTGCAGGGCCCTCTTTGAAGTAAATGACTTTTCTGGGTGGTACATACATAGTGGATATCTGGCAGAAGGAGAGGAACGAATGGAAAAAAGCCCACTTCGCATCGATCCAATCGGCATTATCCCACTATCCCAAGGGACCCACTATGGTGAGGTTCACTAGTACATACTACTACTACATACTCGTAGAACTCGCTCCACTACTCTCACTATGTAGTAGTAGAACTTGACGAACTGAGAGAGTGGTCAAATACCACTACCCTCCAGGGCTCTGGGACAGGCTTATTCATCGCTCACCCAATTCCCCATGTATTTGTACGGTATTCCGGCACATTCGGAAGTACGGTGTTGTAACACGCCGAAGCTTATTTGTATAGACCCCTGAGATCGTTCAACCGATCTTGAACACCTACAATCAATTACCTGATTATATTGGACATGTTCAGTACTAGCCAGTACATCAAGTCCTCATTCTGACAATGCATCAGTTGAATCACTTGACTGTCTATCACGGCAGCACCCCCGGCTACCCCGTACCCGGAAAGCTGATCTGTAATTTCGAACAGTTCACGACATTCGGGCATTCAGCGTTCCGCAGTGTGGAACTCGGGGCTTCGGAACTACGCATGGCCGAGGACAAGGCTTGGGGCGGATTGACCTCTGGCCAATCGAACACTAGATTGACCAAGGGACCAGGTGCTCTTAGGTCCTGCTGAGGGCCTCACAACCTAACCAAATTTGTACTCAGTACTGGTTAACCTAGTGGGACCCGACTTCAGGGTAAAAATTGTGAGCATAGATTTTGTGTAAATTTAATGTAAATCGATGCAAAATGGTCTAAGGATATCTGGTCCATAAAAGAGGGTTCTTCAACCTGAAATCAAACTTCCACTAAGGTCGGGTGCTCTTACCAGAATTTGCAATCGCAGCCATGCTTTACTCTATTGGCAAGCCCTCGTTCGACCTGCTTGACCATCATGGTCACTCTGTTCGTGAGACCGACTACCGTGGCAAGTATGTCATCATCATGTTCGGTTTCACCAACTGCGCAGTTGTCTGTCCGCGAGCCCTAGAGCGGCTGACACGCACTTTGGATCAGTTGGGACATGGGAATGCCGCTCGTATCACCCCACTGTATATCTCTGTCGACCCGGAGCGCGACACGCCAGAGGTGATGAAGAAGTTCCTCTCCCAGCACGCTCCGTTATTCACCGGCCTCACTGGAGGAGAGGAGCAAGTCGACGCTGCTAAGCGCTCCTTCTGTGTGTTTGCCCAACAGAAGACGGACCAGAACGGCAGCTATACCGTCCCACATACCGCATTCACATACGTACTGGGCCCGGATGGACATCTCCAGGACCATCTGAGCGATGCGCTAGACGTGGACGAAACCACCAACCGTCTGCAGCAGCTTCTTGACCGAGACCTGGATCAAATTGCTTCTCTTTCGCGTGACGAAGGGCCGGTGAGGATGGTCTCCCCTGCGGATGGAGCTTCGGTCAACAAAGAAAGCCTGGCGAGGCTCGACGCAAAGCAAGTTGCTAGCATACGGCATATCGGTAACCTCGCCCGCCAGCTCAAGGGCGATTGGTCGAATATGATGGGACCAACGCATCTTAACGACGGGTTTGGGGCATACCGGTTCCAGCTTTCGTATAGTGCCTACGCGCTTGCCCTCGCACACTATCATCGTCTTCCAGCGGCTCCAGGCTTGTTCAAGCATACCTTTGATCTTATAATCGAGAAGATGTGTGAACCCGACGTTTGGTTTTACTGGCGGGACAATAGCACCGGGGGTGGCATGTTTCAGACACCAAAATCCGATCCGAACGCAAATCCTGTTGAGAAGGACAACATCATGTACAGTGCATATCTCCAAACGCTGGTACTACTCTACAACAGTCTCTTCAATGACAATCGATACACGGCCCCCGGTTCCCTTCGATTGCAATACGATCCCCATCTGTGGGGGCCCCCCGGTGGATTTGATTTCCAATATGACCAGAACTCACTGAATGATCGCGTTTATTGGAATATGGTTGAGAATGGCTATTTGGGGGTTCCTTGTGAGCCATACTGTGTTTTTCAGATTTGCAACATGATTCCCATTATCGGCTTCCGGCTCAACGATGTGTTGACCGGTGGCAACACGGCAGAGGAAGTCACCAAGGGATATCTCAAGGCGTGGGACGACTTTGGCGGCCGCCTTGACCCCGATGGCCGCTACCAAATGCTGGTAGCCAAGCATATTAACAAGCCTATCCCGAGTGCAGGGCCCGGATGGGATGCGTGGTGTGCGACGCTGATGCACTCGTGGAGCCCTAAGTTTGTCGAGGAGAACTACAAGCACCAACGCTCAGAGTGGCTCATTGACCACGAGGACGGCACAAAGTCCATCAGAATCGAGAGGCCTCCGGACATGGACATCAATACTGCCAACCTATCGCAGACGAACCACTTCGGCTGGATTGTTGCTTGTGCGGCGGAGCTGGGCGACACAGAAACGATGCAGGGATTGCTTGCCTATGCTGACAAGCGCCTGAATCCACGCATTCAGAACGGCGGGCTTACATACCCTCGCAGCGACACATTGCATGATAAAAACGGATACTATGCGATGACCAGTCCTATCCAGGCCAACGCGCTGTTGCCCCTTGCTCGGCTGAACGTGCCGAGTGGCCTCCAGAAGTTGTATGAAAAGCCATGGGGGCCGAATAATGCTCAACATTACGAGGAACCTGCTTTGACCGGAGTCGACTTCACCATTGATGTCTACCGGGCTGTTTACATCCCGGAGCGCCGGGTTTTGCTGTTTGATATTGCCGTATTCGAAGAGGGCAACGGACCAGGTTATGTTGTCATCTCACGGGTATTTGAGCGAGGACCGTGGGTCCTTAGACGCGAAGGAGAGAAGATCACTTGTGGTGATGCGGCTGGGTTGGTTGAGAGTGATACTGCTGCGGACGTTCGAAAAGTAGAGGGCAATGCTCTGCGGGTTGGGGTTCCTGACACTAGCATCAGCTCATTTGTCATTGAATGGTCTATTTGAGAGTGTATATACCCATGTTGTTGTATATGAATGCATTTTATTGATGTAGCTTACTCAAACCGCTCATGCCCAGGTGCCTATGTACATGGCGTAACATTAGTATTTGACCTCGAGTACACTTTTATATATTGCCAGCAGAAACCGGATTGAGTAATTTCTACACTATGCCCAGGTGCGACCACACTCCGAGCACGTGATAGTTATCACAAAGAGAGTAGGCGGTACGGTCTTGGCAACTAGGGCGGTCAGGAGCTTGATGTACTCGAGGTCAAATACTAATGTTACGCCACTGTATGCTCAGTTCATGCTCAGTGAGCGAATCAGGGCATTCGGATGATGATCAGTAAGCAGATCAGAGCGCTTAGGGGCGCGCTCAATTGTACTCAGTGAGCAAAAAGCGGCAAGGCCTGCCGCCTGAGCACTCAAGCAGACAGGGAAGGCTAAGAAGTGGCAGCAGAAATCAAGTACGTAGGTATCTACCGAGTACTGTAAAAAAGGGAATAATGCATAGTACTTGATGCAAAGTACATCTCTCACATCATTAATATACAAAGGTACATGTTTCCAGGTACTGACACGTAAGCATACAGTCATTTTTGTGGCGGGTCACATGGACATGATTTGCCTCTTACGTCCATCGCGAGGAAAGATGATCCCGCGAGACACCGGTTAATATCGCGGCTAAAAGACCCAAAGGACCGATCCACTCTTCTTGATCTCATTGTGGAACTCCGGGGCAGCTATCGGTGTGCGCTGTCGGTTCAATTCATATTCTCCCGGTGCTCCAGTTTTCATATTCTGCGACCCGGTTACTATATATCTAGCTTGATCCCGGCCGAAAGCTCGTTATCTTATACTTCCTCCATCCCCGCAGTGACATCCCCGGACTACACTGCCCCTCCATATACACAATGTCCACAGCACAGGTATGTTTCAACACATTGGAATTCGTACAAGGCGCTTACATTTTCAGAACCTCTCTTTCGTCCTCGAGGGCATTCACAAGGTCAAGTATGAAGACCGTCCAGTGCCCGAACTCAAAGACCCCCACGATGTGGTCATCAACGTCAAATTCACCGGTATTTGCGGCAGCGATGTATGTATACAACAACCAACTGATAGAAACAAAAAGACTAAACGATCCAGGTCCACTACTGGGAGCACGGCGCAATTGGCAACTTTGTTGTGAAAGACCCCATGGTCCTGGGCCACGAGTCCGCAGGTATCATCAGCCAAGTCGGATCGGCCGTCAAGACCCTGAAAGTAGGCGACCGCGTCGCCATGGAACCCGGCATTTCATGCCGCCGCTGCGAGCCCTGCAAGGCAGGCAAATACAACCTGTGCGAAAACATGCGCTTCGCCGCCACCCCACCTTATGACGGCACCCTCGCCAAATACTACACCCTCCCCGAGGACTTCTGTTACAAGCTGCCTGAGCACCTGTCATTGCAGGAGGGCGCACTCATGGAACCACTCAGTGTTGCCGTGCACATTGTCCGACAGGCGGGCGTGAGTCCCGGACAGACTGTTGTTGTATTTGGTGCTGGACCTGTTGGTCTGCTTTGCTGTGCTGTTGCGACTTCGTTCGGCGCGGCAAAGGTCATTGCAGTGGATATTCAGGAACAGCGATTGGATTTCGCGAAGGGGTATGCGACTACGTCTACTTTCATGCCGGGTAAGGTTGCTGCGACGGAAAATGCGGAGCGTCTTAAGGCTGAGAATGGTCTTGGTGCTGGCGCGGATGTGGCTATTGACGCTTCTGGCGCTGAGCCCTCTGTTCACACTGGTATTCATGTTCTTCGGAACGGCGGTACCTATGTCCAGGGTGGTATGGGACGCAGCGAGATTCAGTTCCCTATCATGGCTGCTTGCTCAAAGGAGCTGAATATTAAGGGTAGCTTCCGGTATGGAAGTGGTGATTACAAGCTTGCTGTTGGCTTGGTTGCGTCTGGAAAGGTGGATGTCAAGAAGCTCATTACTGGCACTGTCAAGTTCGAGCAGGCAGAGCAGGCATTCATTGAGGTTAAGGCTGGCAAGGGCATCAAGACCCTGATTGCTGGTATTGATGAGTAAACGAAAACGACATGAAACCTGGGGTTATTGGTTAATGGTTTTGGGGGCGTTGTGAATTGACAGAGCCAAAAAAAGAAGCGAATAGTTGGAAATGTTGTCAAAAAGTCTAGAACTAGATACTCGCAGAATCAAGATGGGTATCGTGAGCAGAACGAGCAAGAAAAAGTAAAAACGTCCAAAATCCAAAACATAACGCTCAGCAACAGCCCTGATTTCTTCGACTTGAGCCTAATCGAAACACATCCTCCCACTCCCTCATACCTCCCTTCCACCCATTCCCAGACGGCGGTCTCCCCGTTCTTCTCCTGCGCATCGGCATGGAATTGTCATCGGTGGCCCGACTTCGAATACTCTCATCACTCCCATGATAAAGACCCCCATCGCCATACTGGATCCCACTGGAGGGATCATCAGGGTCAATCTCCCCAAGTTCAATCTTGGTAAGAATCATCCTCGCCAATCGATTAAATATCTCCTCCACTCCATCCCCTGTCAAAGCACTCACCTCCACCGCCACGGGTATATTACACTTCGCCGCCCAATGCGACGTCTCCTCCGCACTGATCTCCCTCTCCGCCCGCGTGGCCGTCAATCTCGTCCCGGGACTCGATCGAATCGAACCATTCTCCCAAGGGATGGACGAGACACGACTGGAGACGCTGGAGGCCGTGGGTGTGGGCGGAGGACGCTCATCCTCATCTGCGAGATCGACTTTATTGCCTGCTAGGATGACGGATAGGTTGGGAGATGCTAGGGCGCGAGCATCCATTAGGAAGGTCGGGAGGGAAGCGAAGGAGGCGTAGGAGGCGACATCGTAGATTAGGACTGCGCCCGCTGCGCCGCGGTAGTAGGAGCGGGAGACGGAGCGGAAGCGCTCTGTCCCTGCTGTGTCCCAGAGTTGGAGTTTGATGCGGCGTTTGCGAGGGCCTGTGCCTAGTTTCACGATTCGCGAGGCGAATTCAACACCGATGGTCTGAGAGGAGAGGACCCGCCCTGGGGTTGTTAGTTTTTGTTATTGGACTAGGGGTTGGAGTTGGAGTTGGAGTTGGGGTCCAAGGTCGTACATTCTTCTTTGACGAATCGGTGTAGTACACAGGACCTGGGATGTGAGCGGGGGATTGCGGTTAGTGTTGGGGGCGCTCTCACTTTCCGGCACCGCTGGGTCCTAGGAGGATGATCTTCGCTAGATAGTCGTACATGCTCCCCAGCTCCTGGAGGGCGGTTAGAATGTGGGGGGGACATTAGACTTGAACTTCCGTACCTGATCTGGAGCCGAAGAGGCCGAAGAGGCATTTGAAAGACCTCTTTGTCGTGCCATCTGAACCTGTAGAGAGAAAGAGGAGGGAGAATGAGATAACGCTGGGAGGGGTGATCCCTCTACCACTAGTATCAACAACTAGTGAACTATTGCTCTTAGTATTCTACAGTGGATTTCTGCCGTTCATTTTTTTTTTTTTTTCTTTGAAATTAAATCCGACACACCGACTCTTTGTGAGGCGCAGGACAGCCAGGACTGAGCCTCACCTAGGTGGAACCGGGGCACGAGGCGCACTGCTCAAGTGCTACTATAATGAAGTTTATTATGGGGTTTGTGAAAGCGCTGTTGGACAATGAGCTGAGAGCCAACACATATATACTTAAGTATATATGTCGGTTAAAGCCGATACTTAGAAAGTACTTCGACGCATGCAGATGTCACTGTAAGTGGAGATCAGACCCTGCATTTACTGACATTCTATTGGAACTTCTAACCATTTGAAGTACTTAAGTATACCTACTTAAGTACTAGGTATACTTAAGTAACCCGCGGAAGTACTCGTTTTCGCATTAGCACCCTGTCAGCCTCTATACGAGAACCGAGTGGACATAAAAGGGGCGAAAAAAAGGGTCCCATTGAGGCTGTGCCAAGTTACTAAACTTTATCGAAATTCCTTGTTATTTTTTGTATTTCGAGTTTCTCATTTAAACAATGTCCCTGTCGCAGTATCACTATTTCGTCATTCGACTTTTACGGGTGCAGTGCTCTTACACTGGATCTTAAGGGCCTTCTTTCTCTTCCATTCTAATCCTCGACTTTTGATTACTTCTGGACTTCGACTTTCGACTCTACTATTGTCTCTACTTTCGACTCGACTTTCGACTCGACTTTCGACTCGACTTTCGACTCGACTTTCGACTTTGATATTTCAACCTTTCAACACTTCAAACCTTCAAGATGAAGTTCGCCTTGGGGACAACCCTGCTCCTACTCTCAACAAGTGCCTGGTCCTTGGCCATTCCCGGATCCGAGACTTCCGATCTCACCCAGGATGGAGAATCCACCACCGACATCTCCAATTTTGTGACCTTGGAAAAGCGCCGTGGTGGCGGCGGTGGAGGACGCGGTGGTTCCAGTGGTGGTTCCAGCTCCAGCAGCTCGGGAGGAAGCAGTGGAGGCCGCAGCGGCTCATCTAGCTCGGGCTCCAGTTCTGGAAGCAGTGGTGGTCGCACTGGCTCATCAGGTTCCAGTGGAAGTTCTGGAAGTTCTGGAAGTTCTGGCAGCTCTGGCAGCTCTGGCAGCAGCCGCAGTGGCTCCAGCAACGTCGGCGGCACGACCAGCTCTGGCTCTGGCACACGAGCCTCCTATGGCGGAGGCAGCTACTACGCCGGTGGCGCCACTACTCCCTACCGAGCCGGTGCTCACTCCAAGGGCAGCAGTATCGCCCCGTATGTCCTCGGCGGCACAGCTCTGGGCTTCTTCCCCGGTCTTTGGTTGTACAGCGCCTACGCCTACCCTTACTCCCACAACTACCACTACTACAACCAGGATGCGCACAAGAACGAGACCTACCCCGTGGTGTGCGTGTGTCAGGAGTACTCCGAGTGTGGTTGCGATGACAACACTAATCGCACTTACTACGAGTCTCTGTTCAATGGCACCGAGCCCAAGAATTCCAGCGTTGTGCGTGTTGTCAAGGAGAATGGCACTGAAACCATTTACATCAATGGAACCTTGCCCAATGGCACCACTGCTGCGAATGGCGGTTCGACCTCTGGGGGTTCGCCTTTTGCCACGGCCGTGGAAGCCAGTGGGTTGTGGTTGACCGTTGCTGTGGTGCTGGGCATGGTCTATATCTAAATGACCTTGACCCTTGTTGTTTTTACTTTTTTTTTTCCCTTTTTTGCTTTTTGCTTTTTGCGTCCTGCGTCTGCTTTTGCTGGGTATTTTGGCTCGAACCTGGCTTGTGAATTTGAGCCCTTAATGTGACGACGAATTGGGACGGCTGTTTGCTATTTTATTGATACCCCGGTTGGGAGCTGTATATTATATAGTGTGTTGCTCGAAATGAATGGGACTAGATGATCAGCAATATGATCAGCACACGATCAGAGATTCAAAATTCCTGGAGTATAGAGAACGATGAAGCATTCCGATGGTTGCTGCGGGAAATTGCATGGCAGTCTAGCCCCCAACGAGACAAGCGGGCCCTTAGATGAAACCTCATTTCCCGCAATCTCTTCTTCTCAACCCATTCTCCCTGTTCATTAACAGTGTCACTCTTTTCTGTTCGCACACGGGCTGTCGCATTCATTTCTAAGCTCCATTCACTCTTTTTGAAACTCACTATAATCGATTCTGTACTCGTACTCAAAACACGAACACGAACACGAACATCAATATCAACATCATGCAATTCAAGTCTCTCCTCCTTCTGGCCTTTGCGCCCATTGCATTTGGTGCTGTCGCCCCTGAGGCTTCTGCCTCAGCCAGCACCCAGACTGTCACTCTGGTGCCCTCTGGCTACACTCCTCCTGCGACAACCGCAACTCCCACCTCAACCCCAACCCCAACCACCTCGTCCACTGTGACGCCCACCTCCACTGTGACTCCCTCCTCAACCTGGACTCCCATTTCCACCAGCACCCCTTCCTCCAGTGCATCCCTGTCCAAGGTTGCTAGCAGCTCTACCCCGTTGATCAAGGCCACCGCCACCGAGAGCCAGGGCGCCGCAGCTACTTCCGCCCCTGCCTCCGGTGCCGCGACCCACCAGCTCCCTGGTGCTGTCGCAGCCGGCGCGGTCGCCATCGCAGGTCTCCTCATGATCTAAACGTCCACTCAACAGGGTGGATGGAGCTATTTTGATCTAGACGATCTTAACATTCGGACCATCTAGAATGGTTTCCGACTTCTCCCGATTCTGGGATATTTTCTTCTTTACATATTCTTCTTCCCATGCCTCTTTTGGCCCTTTACTTTCTGGTTACGGATTTTGATCTGATTTATGTCTATACCCTTTCCCTTCGATACTCCCCTTTTGATGCCCAGGCATTTATAATGCTTGACTAATTTCTTCGCATCGGTGCTTGCACCTTTGCTCTTGGATGTCATACTACTATATGAGTGTAGGACTTACGAGTTTACAATTTTGACAAATGACATAATTTTTGGACTTTCACATTGCAATGACCTTGTTGCTCACGTATACTGATTGGGTTGGATTACTCTATACTTGCAATGAATATCGAATCCAGCAAGTTTAATACGAGGACTTTTTCAGAAACGTTCTTAACTCGCATAGTTGGATCAAACAGTGCCTCAATGCTAAGTGGATAGCCTTCAGACGTGTCCAGCATGTTGGTCGATCATGCATTCAACACATGGCAATGATATCATGGTGGAACCCACGACATACGAGTAAACGAGCACATGTGAATATCAGACTGGAATGTGAAATGAGAATATCTACTACAATGGCCCCAGGAACCAAAACAAATATCGTACAAAAAAAGGCTCACAACCTACTCCTTAACGAAACTGGCCTCATATCTCTTTCCACGGAAAGCCCACAGTCCCCAATTTCCGCACGAAACATCATGGGGATCCTGGTCATTCAGATCCCACCTCAAACTGCGGAAAATGTTCTCACCAGGTTCGAGAAGTACATCAAACTCTCCCGCGCACTTCTCGTTAACCCAGTTGATATCTCTCTCCAAGTCCCACTGTGTATACCCAGTACACAGAATGGGCACCTTAGTCTCCAACAACTGAGGTAGTGTCTCTTCCCACTCATGCGAGCTAGCCGGGTGTCCAAGACCAGGGTGGAACAGCATAAAGCAATCGAGGTAGGGGTCGAATGGCCCAAAGTACTGCGCCTTGTTCATCGTGTGGAAGTAGTCCACGTATGTCGTGATCTTCATCTGTCCACCAAGTCTGTCTTCAACGATTCCACCGAATGGGTTCTCGGGTGTGCGCTCAGGGAGCGGGAATTCGCTGTCCCGGTTCGCCATGCTCTCTGGTCCAATGAAGATCAGGTGCAGCAGTGCCCGCGGGTACATGTATTGCAGTTGCAACCAGACATCACGGGGGAGAGAGGATTCGGCGCGTGCGCCTAGAATGAAGATGCGGACGGGTGGTGCTTTCACGCGGAGACCCTTGATATCGGTGCTTTCGCCTGATTTCGGGGGGTGGAGAGAGTAACGGAGGGCTGCGATTGTTAGTTTTATGTAATTTCTTTAGGGATTTTGTTTTTAATGCACTTCGCATGGAGACAAGAACTTTGTCTCACAGCGATCGAGCTATCACTTACCACTCATACTCTTCAGTCCCTCTGGTGTGAGACGACCGCCGGATCGGACGCCATACGGACTCAGCTCGTGCAGGACACTGCCGATGGTTTGCGGGTAGGTAAGCATGCGGGTGACCTGGCGCATGGAACGATCGTCGTTGATAGCCTCGTATTCACGAGTGTACAGGAAAGTATCCCAGTTTGCCATGTTGATGACAAAGTTGTCATCCTGTGGACCGGGGTAGTCGAACTCGGGGAAGAAGCGACCGGAGTGCAGATCGTGGTCATCTTCGTTGATCTGGCGGAGTGTGTCACAGATCTCGAGGTGAGCCTCAAAGTCATCCATCCAATGGCCCTCGGAGCAGTAGACTGGGACGCCACAGTCGGGGCATTCGAAGTGCGAATGGACCGGGGGAGTTGTGTTGGTGGCCTCCTTTCTGGCCTCCGGGTCATGCGGAGAGACGGGGGCGCGGGTCTGCTGATGATCTGGGTGTGGGCAGAATGCGTTCTGCTTGATGAACTCGGCGCGTTTGCGAATTTCCGGCGAGGGCGAGTTGGTGAAGGAGTGGAATAAATTGGTTGGCCTCATAGCCGGGCGGATGAGGGAGGGTCCCGTTTCTGTGTGTACTGCTCGCTGGGGAGGCGAAGCCTTGGGCGCGCAGCAGTTTTGCCCGTGAACATGCTTTGGCTGAGCTTCGCTGGAGCCAAACGGTTTTCGTTGCGTGCCGAAGCTTCGGACCAGAGAAGGCATTGCCCTCCGGCGCGTGAGGCTCTGCAGGCGAGCTTGGGGTGCGGAGTTCCAGGCTCCTCGGCGGAGTACCTGGAGGCACTGGACACAGGTGTATCCTGCCATTGTGATGTCAATCGAGTGTGGAGGGGAGTTGATCAGCCCACGGATAGGATGATTGCTACTAGTTGCCAAGACTCGCCTACCCGGTGGTTTCTGCCTGAGGCATCAATTTATATCAAAGGCACTGTTTCGCAGACCTTAATACCTAGGTACCTTCTTCACTTTCTAAGTATTGCTCTCTCGATATCGAACATGGGGTTCTCTTGCTGAATATGGTACGGAGTCGTCAAAAGTGATATAAATGTATTCGTGACAGAGCGTCTTATACAAGGGCAAAAAAACAAATTACCTCTCAAACTAATATGCAAAAGTCGTGACCATTAGAAGATATCCTCTGATCTGCTCCAATCCTGAGCATCTCGCGACTCCCAGTACTTCCCGTTATGTGCCCAGAACTCCTCACCAGTGACAGGGCACTGGTCGCGAACGAACCATTGCGGTGAGTACACCTCACCCATGGTATCGCGGTCCCTACGCCTAGAGCGCTGCTTCTCTTCCACGCGGTGCTTCTCATCGGCGGCCAGTGTGTATTCGCCGTCTTCCATAGCGCGCTGGTCGGGACGCAGTCGGGTATCTGTGGGAGGAAGCCATTGCTGAAGACCCTCGGGAAGGGCGTTGAGGGTGATGACAAAGGGAGTCAGGTTGAATGGCACGCCGGTGGGACGCTCGTGAGCCTGCCAGACGAGGAAGGTCTTGGCAGACTCTGGGTCCTGGCCGGAGACTGGCGCCTCGAAGCCGGGAGTGTGGCGAGCGTAGATCTTATCGTTCCAGCGGCCACCGATACTCCATTTCGGGGAGCCTTCGCTGTCGACGACCTTGCCTGTCACTTGGTAGGCGGAGGAGGCCTTCCATCCTCGCGGCTTGAAGTCGAGGTAGCAGACCTCACCAGTAGTCCAGTTCTTAATTTCCATCAGACCGTAGTTATCAACGGTGGGGTTACCGGTGATGATACCGATAACCGACGAAGTAACCTTCTTCCAGGTGTAAAGCTCCTCCCCACCGGATGAAGGGCGCAACTTCAAGAACCATGTACCCAACAGGTTGATGTCGAAGGACTTGCCGTAGAATTTAGACTTGAGGGAAGATTCACCCTGTGATGGATTAGCGATGACACCGGAAATCACAAGTATTTATCAACTCACCCAGTAGTCCCATTTAGGCGACTCAGCCCACGCAGCACCGATAGGTGGGTGGTGGCTGACCTGCTCCACAAAGAATCGATAGCCCTTGTCCGGGCGCACATACTCGAAGGTCTCACCCAGAAGAGGGTTGAAAGGCTTAGCCACACGACCGATTGTCGAAGCATACTCACTTGCAGCATAAGAAGCGACGTACACAAGACGTTCCATGGAATCGGTGCGATCGGCTGCAATATCAAGTAGGTCTGTGTACTCAAGATCCTCGGCCACACGCTGAAGCAGCGAGGTGGGTTCGTTGAAGGATACGGGGAGAGTCATTTTGGTCATATCTTTTCCGATCATGGATTTGAGGATACCCTAGGACGGTCAGCAAATAAAGAATGTCAGTGAACAAGGAGAATTACTTACCCATAGAGAGATCTTAGGACGGTCATCGGCATCCATCTTGAGGCGCTGTCGCACTGGCTCCTCGTAACCCTTGAAAGAGGGCGCAATGACGGTCGACTTGACAGCTCGAAGCTCAGCACTTTCATCCTTAGGCTCTTCCAGCTTGTTCTCCTCGACCTTATTGAAATCTTCTACCTCGATTTCGCCCGCATCGATAGCATCGAAGAATTCTTCACCGTCCGATTCGGAGCCACAAAGGCTGCTCATTTCAGAATAGGTGGAAGCATTGCGACTGAGTGCAGGTTTGGTGGGTGGTTGTTGGGCAGGTTTCTCTGCTTCAGCAGGCTCGGAAGTCTCGGCTTCCAAAACCACTTGACTGGCTTCGAGGCTTGGGTTCTCTGTTTGCACTTGCGATGGAACAGCACCAATGGAACCTCTGCTTCCAGTTGCGCTCTCCAAAGCCTCCTTGAGAGCCTTCTTCGTCCGCTTTCGCTTCTCCTCGGACTCGCCCATTTTGGATTGAAGTTCCTCGTGTTCACGAGCGACCCGCGCCATGCTCTCTTCCCACATCTGGCGAATAGACTCTTCTCGGCCAAGACGGGACTGCCAGTAAGAGTCACGATCCCGGGAAATCTTGAGCAGGTTTTGCACCAAGCCCTTGAGGCTACTGACCGCAGCCTCGTAAGCGCCAAGAGCTTGTTCGAGTGCAGGATCTGTAATAGTCATGTCGGGGTTCTTGGCCTTCTCTGCCTGTAGAGATGCGGTGACATTTGCAAGAAGATCCAGTTGGAGCTTTGCGGACTGCGCAGTAATGTTCAAGGCGTCCTTATCAGCAGCAGGCATATCATTCTCATGGCTGGAGCCATAGTCGATGAACTCCTCTTCCTCGCCGTCTCCTTCGGGTGCGGTTGTGACATGACTGATCACTCGGTTCATATCGTTGGGAGCGTTACTCTGGTCATAAGACCCTCCATATGCAGAGCTGTCTTCGTCCCCAGCAGGAATATCAAGAGTGGTACGGGATGCATATGTGCTCAGTCTGGTGCCGGAGCTACTAGCACCTCCCAACGATGGCGGGGCCAGGCCCTTGGTGCTGGGCTTATGAGAAAGCCCAGATTCAGAAGGTGTGTCTGCGGGTCGACCTTCAGTCTGATCAATTTTAGCCTGGCGAAGCACTTCCGCGTTCTTTGACCGCTGTCTTTCTTCCTCTTTGGCTTCATCCTTGGCCCATTGAATGGCGTTATTGAGGGACCAGAACCACCGCTTTGCCTCAACCACGTGATTGGCTTTAAGGTGGTACTTGACCGATGACTTTCCGTGAATCTCAAAGCGTGTCTTATCCTGAGCATCCATGTTAAGTCTGGCAATCTTCATGTTGATCGCACCGCGGCAGGCAGAGCCCGCATCATCTATAGAAACGTCAGTCACGTTCAGCAGATACATTGTTGATATCCACTCACCCTGATGCTTGTAATAACTCAAAACTCCATCTTCCAGAACAAACCAGCGCAGCTTGTATCCAGTTGTGTAATTAGTCCACTTCTTGAGATAACCTCTCATCTCTCGGGCATCCTTCCCTGCCAGAGGCGCATCGCCAATCGAGACGCGGCCGGCAAGTCCCTGGGCACCGCTATTTCCAAGAATGGCCTTTTCTTGGATACCTCGCTGCGCAATAACAGCTGCAGGGGACCTCTTCAAAAGAGCTCGGGTCTTATCATCTTTAGTGACATCTTGCGGCAGCTTGCCCTTCTTGTCGCGACGGAACGGATCCGCTCCGTGCGTCAGAAGAATTTCAATAAGCTGCGCATCTTTATTCCTAGCACCCTCGTGCAGGAGAGTGCCGCCAGACTGGGATGTGGTCCGCTCGGTGACGAGATCGTAGCTATTCACATCCATAATACCCTCTACCCGAGGCTCTTCCAATAAAGCTTCCAGGTTCTTGTAATCGGCATCTGCGATCAACTTCTGGATTTCTTGATTCTTGCTGTCGATGAACAGAGACCGCGCAAGCTGAAGCTGCTGGAAGATTTCAGGGGTACGGGCCAAGTCCAGCGCCGTCTGACCCCGGTAGTTGACGATGGAATCATTGATGGTCGGTCGGTTCAGCAATTCGCGAACCAGCGGACCCCGGCCCAGTTGAGCAGCAATGTGGAGGGGTGTGTTGCCATCCCGGTCCCTTGCGTTGATGTCCGTTTCCTCCGCGGCAGAGAGTACGTACTCCACGACCTGGGGTTCGGCACACTGCAGAGCCAGGTGGAGAACGGTTGTGCCGCTCAGAGCGCTGGCACCCTGCGGGTCATCTGTGTCCTTGATCGCCTTGGCGATGGCAGTAGTATCGCCGCTCCGGAGGATTTCGAACAGACGGAATGTGCGAACGGACTGTTCGAGAGACATGCTCCCGGTCTCTACCTGAGAGAGCGAGGGCAACTCCTCCACAGTATCCATATCCTCCGCGTGTTCTTGGATAGCCGGGGGTGGGCTCGAGTCCTGGGCTTGTTTGCGACGGTTGTGGCGGCTGCTGCTGCGGGTGTGTTTCAACGAGGTTCCGTTCGACGAGGCGGAGGCGAGCGAACTAGTGTCGTCTTCTTCCTTGTCTTCGCCCCTTGACTTGTCACGGTGGAGAAGGGAAAGTGCTATGGCACTCTTAGAGCGTTTGTGCCTGAGGGGCGCCATATTAGTACAATTTCACATGTGAAGGCACCAATATACCCCAAACAAGGAACTGGGAGAAGAGAACAGGCCCAGAGGCAAAGGCCAAAGCGAAGGTATTCCCATCGACAACATGGCCACCTCGAACCATGGATCGCATGTCCCACTATCACTCACCCTTCAGGTCTGTCTGACATCTCGTCTTCTGTTGCTCTCTCTCTCTCTGTCTGTGTGTCTCCCTCCCTCTTTGCTATACGCTTATGGCAGGGCTGCTGCGATCAAATGACCTCTGAACTGAATACAAAACAGCTCAGGTTCTAGAGTAGGAAAATAAATTTGAGAGGGGGGCCTCGGGCCTTGTTTGGGGGGCAAATGATGCTGATCTCCGTCTTGGCAAAATGAGGAACTCGATCGATCGCGGCACATTGCGATCGACGCAGGGAGGATGTCAGGGTGGTATTCATTGTTATACATGCACTTGCAAGCAAGGCAGGTCTCAACATCTAAATCTATCATACAAGAGCCACACAATATACAGAATACTACTCAGTGCAATCGTCAGTGGCTTATCTGGTTTCTCCGCTGACCAGAATCACAACGCTGCCCAATTGACGTTTCATGTCCTCCTTGCCGACATCGTGGGTGTCTTCAACCTCGCCCCACTTATCAGTCTGCCAGGTCACCTCCAAGCTGGCCGCTTCACTCGCGTCCTCGATACCGAATTTCTTGACATCGGCCCGCTGAATGTGGCGGAAGTTCTCACTCCACTCAGTCACCAGGCGGACCGCAATCAAAAGGCTCTTGGAGGCAAGGATGCCACGCTCCAGGCCTGCCAGGTCATGCGCCGACAGCTCTGATACCCAGGTGCGAATGCTGTCCTTGGTCCCCTTGGGCTGCGAGAGGGGAATGATGCTCTCGGTGTCCAAGATGGGGATGATTTCAAGACCGGGCCAGACCTTCGTAGACAAGAAGCTCATAATATCCTTGGCGACTCGGGTCTGAATATCCCGCAGACTCTCTTGGGGAGTTCCATCCGCCTTGAGATCCATTGCGTGGACTTCCCGCTCCGGCTCCCAGCAGAGGAGAGTATCTGTGTCTAGGTAGCGCATGGCAGTCGTAATAATCTGGTTTCGGGTGGTAGAATCGCCCTTGGCATCTTCGAGGGCGATATCGGTGGCACGGGCGGCAATGGAGGTCATAGGGATAAGGTGGCTTTTGAGCGCCTGCTGAGCAGAGGTCATCACATCCCATTCCAGGGCGACGGCATGGGCGAGGTGAGGCTTCGTAGAGGGAATTGATAGGATGGCTTTAGTCGGCGTTCTCACGGGTCGCTTGTCAAGCAGGACCTGATATTCCTCTAGAAGACAGCAATGGTTAGAGGTCCTGTTCAGACGGGCCACACTTTCAATCAGAATCTCTGCATCCCATCATACCTGGCTTTCCATGTACGTGCACATCCTTCCAGAAACGTTTCTTGAGCGCATCGGTGAGCTTGAGGGTTTTGGGTGCCTCAGTTTCGGAAGCTGTGGAGGTTGCATCTTTCAATTCCGAGGACTCTTTCCGCTCTGGTGTAGCAGGGGCCTTGGGAGGGGGGCCATGGGCAGTGACCGGATGCGCAATGGCAGATCTGAAGGGCGACGAGTGGATGTGTCGGCATAACGAGAGGGAGCGTCGGGCGAGGGAGAGCTGCGGTAGCGCAGCACGAGGGAAGGCGACCATTACGATTCAAGCAATGGGGTATATGAATGAAGATTGGTGGTGGTTCCTGGTTCCAGAGCAATTGGGAACATGGGAACTTTTTGGCCGAAGTCTTGGCTCGCCACACGCGCGCCACATCTTAATGACACAACCCGCATAGATCTACTCGGATAAAGTCGATTTGTCTCGTCGAATGATTTGACGTGCTTGAGGCTCTCTTGGTTGTTCTAGGCCAAGTCCTCTGCACCGTTGCATCGGCATTAAGGTACCATTGACAGGGCGTGTGCGCATGTGTTCATCTCTACGCGATACATGGGGAAGATTGCGTGTATTTCAATCAATTAGTGATTAACTGCAGTTTGGAGAAGCGATGAGATGTAGAACCAGAAAACATCAAAGTACTTCAAAATACCGCCCTTGCATCTAAAAAAAAAGAAAGAAAGAAACAAAAAAAAAAAAAAAAAAAAAAAAGACAAAACGTCAAGAGATGAAGTCCGAAGACAACATACTCCATCGAAAGATCTTGGATATCTCGTTTTCTTTTCTGACGCCTTCATTGCTTGCGTTCCGTGGTATCAATCAACAGACCAAAAAGACCGAAAGCGCTGGGAATGAATAAAAACAAAACAATAAATCAAACTCAAACCAAAAAAAAGGGTATACTGCTGCAAATGGATATTTTGGGTTTAACGCGGTGGCCCAATTGGGGCCGGGTATCCAGAAGTAGAATTGGAAGTGCTAGGACGACCACTGTCAAAAGAGGTGCGCGGGTCATGCTTGGGCGTCATGTCACCAGGCGCGGTGCCGAAGGGAAACTTGGCGTCGAAACGCGTGGGCCAGCCATTGCTGGTACTGCTCTTGTGGCTGTGTGAACTACCGAGGACAGGCCCATCGTCCTCGGGGAGATTCACGCCAGAATCATTCCATGGGTTGCGGTAGCCGCTATCACGCGACTCCATGGAGACAAGTGAGGCCTTGGAGGCGTTGCTCGAAGCATGCTTGAAGAACGACCCCGGCGAGGCAGAGTGGTTCTTGCGGCCGATGAACGAGGAGAAAGACGAAATGCTGCCGGGCTTGCGGAGGCGCTCGAAAATAGAGCCCCGCTCACTGGTTTCGTCGGAGAAATTGGGCCGGGTGGGCGAGTCGGTGGAAAGTGGTGCAGGGGCGTGTTGCAACAACTTCGAATCGAAGAAGGGCAAGGACTCCTCGAAAGAATCCGATTTGGGACGAGGGATCGCTCCCTTGACAGTGTTGGCGTCCAGGCCGTGCGCAACAAGGCGGGAAATCAGGAAGTCAATCGCATCCTTCAATCCACCGGCGTTGTTGCGCGTGTAGCCGAGTACAACACGGTCTTCGGGTCCCAAAGTAGGAGAGGAGGAACCGGACCCCTCTTCCGCGGTAGTAGGAAGGTCGGTACCAACGTCAACGTTGATATCGACCTCGTACTGCTCTTTGAGCTTGGTGCGAACATCAGCAAGGAAGTCAGGACACTTGAAGTAGTCCTGGAGCTCCACAGAGCTCTGGAAGTGAAGCTCGTGGCTCTCCGGGACCATTCCAAGTAGTGCATCCACTGCTTGAGGAACCTGGTACTCGGGACCGGAGATGGTAACAACATCGCTTGCGAGCTCCGTGCTAGGGAACTCGATCTTGCAGTTCCATTTCTTCTCCAGCTCGTCGATCTCGGTCATACGGGCCAACAGCTCACGGTGATACAAGCGGTTGATGACAACCCGCTCAGATACGTACTCGGCATCCTGCAATGTGGTCAGTCTTGTGACTGTAGGCGCTGTCGGCGATATGGAACTTACCACTTTCTCGACCATGTCCATGATCTCCTGCTTCACCAGGTCCAGACTCTGAGCGTTGCGGGCAGGAGTCCGACAGATGACGTTGTCAACCTTGATGTCGTCGTCTTCCTTGCCCATACCACCACGATCCATGGCGTTGGAGAACTTCACGAAGACAGAGTACTTCTTCATGATACGTTGAATGTGTTGTCCACCAATTCCAATAATCCGCTTGTGGTACTGATCCGGCACATGGAACGAGATCGAGGCGGGCATCTCTTGCTCAACAAGATCGAGACCGTTCTTGGTCGATTCGTACTGGTTGCCACAGACGTCAATATAAAAGTTGTATTCGTTGAAGCCGTCAAAGATGATTTGAACGTTGCCTGTAAGCATGTTAGCAATCGGTTTTGCAGGCTCCCATCTGTCTGCACTCACTCTGACCCATGATCTTGTTGATCTTGCCGTTCTTCTTGCCGCTCACAAACTCCTTGTGCTCGTTTGCCAGCTCGATCTTGACGCGCATCTGGTATTGGCTTCGCATAACGAAAGGAATCTGGTTGATGACTGTCATGGCGGCCTTGACGGCATCATCGGAACCGTTGATCGTGAAGGTCAGGTTGTCGAAGCTGACCTCGGCTTCCGAGTTGGTGCAGATATCCGAGAGCATGGAGCGAATGTCGGCAGTAGAGGGGGCACGAAGACCACCCTGAGCGGGGTCGGGCATGATAATCCACCAAGAGGCACTGTAGAATTGACCGGCCTAGATTTCCGAGCATTAGCAAAGTTCCACCATTTGAACAATATGCCACGTACCAAGGCCATGATCTCCCTCACGGTCCGTTCAACATGCAACACCTCGGTGCCTTGGATCCGAACCAGGCCGCGTTGGCTGCCCAGCTGGGGGAACAGAACGTAGGACCCGTTCATCTCCATGACCTTCCGCACTTTGTCCAGACGGTCAAGCAAGATGTTGTCGATCTTGCTTGAGCTCACAACCACATCCTTAACGAAAATCTTCACTCCCATCACCAGCTCGCGCAGCTTCTGCTTCGCACGAGCAATCTGCTCAGGTGTCTCGCCGGTAATGTACACTTCATCCTCGCTTCGACGATTCGCACCGGGGGGTATATATCCGAAAATCTGAGGGAAAGGAGGGGGGAAATAGATGGCGGTGCCGGTAGCAGCCTCGATGAGCTTGATGTTCTTGCGAGTCCGACCACAGACCAAGGTGTGCATGGTCGAGTCGAGCTTGATGGCGTCCACGTGGCGTTTGAGCTGTGTTCTGGTCAGCTGAGGCTCCTCGCACATGCATCCCAACTTACAATTTGGTCGATCATGATGAGAACTCTGGTTTTCGCATGCTCCGAGCTCTCCAGGTCGCCATAGATAGCCACTCGGAATCGCTGGTCCAGACCGTTATCCGAGGCGTAGCCATAGGATGACACCACTGCGCTGTCTGCATCGTGGAGCTTCGGGGTGAGCAAGAATATATCGGCTCCGGTGTAGGCAGCCAATGTATCGAGGTGCTCGAGCACACTGGCTCGAATTCCCTTGGGCGAAGCATCCATGATGAGATGCATATCAACATCGACGGTCGCACATCGCTGGAGGGCCGTATGTTAGCAAGGGATGTTTCTGTGGGCGTGAAAACCCTGCCGATGTCGCCATCGAAAAAAATTCATCCACGTACCAACATGATCGGTGTTTCGTTCAAGATTTTCGCTCGCATCTTGCGTGCCATCTCTCCATCTCCAGTGACACAGACGTTGGTGACCAAGCCATTTGGGCGGCGTTGGAGGGATGGCACTGCCTTGGCCTCGGAGGTCGTGAGCGTAGCTTCCACCCGTCCACCTTTTTCCTCCGTGATCTTCCGGCATAACGCTTGCAATCCTTCGACGTTGTTCGTGTGGACGGGGAGTTGATGAACCGAAGTGCCGTCTGGGGTTCCTTCAGGAAAGGTCCAGCGTTGCAGGGCGCCGGGACTCGCGTGCAGCACGTCCTCGACATCGGGCCCCGCGAGGGTAGATGAGAATGGGACGTTAAAAGACAGATTGACGGTCGGGTCGATGCTCGTCGGCGGTGTCATGGGCGGTGCCCCGTGTGGTCGGCGAAAGGCCATATCGGTGTGAGGTCTGGACATCCCGAAAGTCGGCGTCATTCGTTCCCAACCATGACGGGCCTGCCCCGTAAAGTTGGATATCTTGTGCATGACCAAAAGAGAGAGAGAGCTCTAACCCCTTGAACGAGTCGAGGGGATAGAGAGAGAAAGAGAGGGAGGAGTGGGAAGAAAGATGGCAGGGATGGGAATGACCAAGTGTGGGCGTTTTCGATCCGGAATGGTGGAAACGATGGGGCCGACTCAACGCTGGGAATTTGTTACTATATTCTTAGACCGTAGTATGTTTAGTAGTTAATAGTTAGTATTTAGTATTTAGTATTTATTATTTAGTATTTGTTTATTTATTAGTCTTCCTCCAGTTTCTTACTTACTTTATTTACTAACGTTAGTTAGTTATTATGTGTACTCGTACTGGTAACTGGTAACTCGTACTATAGCCCCTCTAGTTACTCTTTAGTCAACCCTTCTAGCTCATTTCTAGCGGAGTCCACCTGGGTCTCAGACTCTCCTACAGAAACCTGATCTCGAAAGGGCTTCTCCCTTCTACTACACTCCAGCTTAATACCTGCATTACCTCCATTACCCCCAATACTCAGTCAATACGTTGAATACCCTCACTGCCCATACGATACAGTCACGTGAACCCGTTGATGCATGCGCGTCCAGGCTGTGCAGACCTCTTTTCGTCCTAGCAGTCTAGCACGTCCCCATCCCGGTTTCCAGGAGAGTCCGAGTCATCCCGTCACGGTAGATCATTTCGACCCTGTGTCTCTGATCCACTCCGGTTCAGCCGGTTCATGTGGACACGTACCTCGGGGGAAACCTGCTGTGCATCCGGTATTCTGCTAAGTACTTTCTGCAGTATTTACATTTCTCTACTCGTACTCTTGACTCTGTACAGATACAAAGTCAACAGTAACAGTGAATGGACGACGTCATTTGCTCGTATAGGCGGGGGTCATCGTCAAGATCGTAATCAATTCCGACTGGGTGGACCGGGCTGCTTTCACCCTGCAGGGGCCCCGTTCCCCGGTTTCGCCTTGAAACTGATCCTTTTTACTCATACACTAGTACAGTAGTACTCTCGATACTTTTGACAGCCCTGTGAGGATCGCCATAACGATCTCGGCATTGGACCTAGACACCTGGGCAGACAGTACCGAGTACCGGTTACGGAGTGTGCAGTACGCAGTACTCACATATAAACATATGGACTGGATCAATCGCAGATTGGAAACCCAATGGTTTAAGATTGTGGAAAGCCAGATATCGCCTAAATACTTAAGTATATATGCTCCAACTGCCGAGCCTTCTAGAAAGGCTCCCTTTCGAATCGGCGTTCCGGCTCCTGGAAGACTAAGATCTAAATGCCCCGTACTGAGAGAACTGGTTACACGGCCTGGAGAACTTGAGAAGTATATCTATAGTTAGAGCAACTCTAGAATGAACGTGAGTCTTGAATAGAAGTGGCAATTTTCATACTTAAAAACTCGATTCCAAGATTGCAAATGCCTTCAATTTCCATGATCATTCCTTGCGTCGCCTCTCTTACACAACTTAGGAAAGCAAGCACTACTTGGTATCTATTTTCAGATCCGTCACACAGTGTCCAGCAGTAGCTTTCAACTTGAACAGTATCTCGTTCAGTTTGTCCGTCGAGACGCCTGGCAAGGAGTCCACAGCGACCTCCTTAACATGGTTGATAGCAGCGTGCTGCTTCTCATCGTTGAAATGATGAAGAGGGATTCTATTAACCTCTTGACCGATCAGATCTTCAAGCTTGGCTAGCTCACGGTGATTGAGCTTAAGTTTTGGAACTGCGACTTCGTTGTCATCGCGCAGTTGGTTGATCGCGCATTCGCGTAGTTCTTTGCGTTTCTTTTTGTCGCTGGCAAGGGCGAGCACTGTGAGTGCGAAGAAACAGAAGGCGGAGAGTGTTGGACACTTCATTTTGATGTGTTTTTAGGTACTTAGTAGTACTTAAGTAGTTAACCTGCGAACCTTGGACACCTTTCGATGAATGCCAAGCTGCCACGGGAATTGTGCTGCTTTATATAACCCCAGGTCATCAAGAGCAACATCTTTAAAGAGTTTGTGCTACCTCTCAACATCTATTTTGTGGTCTACGGATATTCGGGACTTCATGGTGACACCTCTTCAACGATAGACCATCTCAGATGCTTGTTGCCATACGTCTTGGAGCATATTGATTCGCCGTGGCTCGGTTGCTAGATTCTGTGCCACCCGCAAGTTCAACATGCTACGTCGTCATTCACATTGTTTTCTCTCTCTTGGCCGTCTGACGCATACCCTAGATTCACCTATTGGTGGTTTATCCAGACAGTCGAGTTGTTATCACTGGTGATTACGATAGGGGTGTTGAGTATATTATTGACTGGAAACAGGGCTCGAGAGAATCCTGGAACAATCTAAATACTTAACAGCAAGCTTCTAAGGCTGCTTGAAAGACTTCAATGCTCACTGCAACTTCAGAATCCACATATATACCCATGGATATATCAACCCAACTACCAGGCCCAACCGTTACCGCTCGTCCGGCCCGGGGCCCCAAATCCCTGTATCCTCTGCTTTCGATTCCCTGTGACCCTGCGCACCGGTATTACACGCCCGCACTGCGTGGAGCCGTGGCGCATGGATTGGCCCTCCAGGGCTTCACAGGACTGAGGGAATGGATACTAAGGTGGAACCATCTGGATTGAAAGCGCAAGCGAGAGCCTATTTAGGAGGACGGTCTGCATTTTCGCTCCTTGGAAGTGCCAAAGCGCTGGGGACTCCGAGCCCATTCTGAGCAATGGGTATGTTTGCTCATAGCAGAACTCGCCGAGAGAGCTATCAGCCCTGGAGAGGGTGGTATTCACATACTTCCGGACAAGGTTGGTCCCTGACGTTGATGGGTTCCCCTCGTTAGATCGTCTGATTGCGGGATCTGCGTCCGAATATGCAACGCTTGCTTGCCGTGGTGAGATTGCAAAAAGAGGGACTGGGAATGGCAGGGGATGTCCCAGGGGCGATAGAAAAGTCCAGGACGATGCATATGGATTGCTTGAACGTAAGTCGCTGGAAATCATTTAAATACAAAGTCATGAGATGAGCAGAATCAAAAACAAAAGAACATAGTATGCTACTGATAACGCTGAGGGGCTCTTTGGGCTGGATCGGTTGCACCATCATAGGCAATGCGATCTGTCTCTTCCCCCTCACCTGGATAGTAGCGTCGTTCTCTGATGTAGTACGGTCTCTCAATGTATTCTCCCATTGGTCTCTCCTCCATGAAGACGCTAGGCTCACGGGCCGGGGCCATTGGTCGAACGCTCCCAACTCGCTGAACCTCATGTGGCTCTTCATACCGGGGCTGCGGGGGACGAACGCTCGCAGTTCGAACAACTCTCTCCTGGGGCACTCCACGCTCATCAACATACACCGTGTGACGAGGGGGAAGATACTCGGCTACTTGTACACTGGCGCTTCGTGCGTAGGGCTCGTAACCATCATATGGGGCAGCATAGCTCTGTCGCTCTGGGACTGGTGCAGGACGAGCATAGTCAGATGTGACACGCCGGTAAATTGGCTGAGGCGGAGGCATCTCCTGCACATAGCGTCGTTCGCTGTACGGCTCTTGGACAACAGAAGGTGCACGAACGCTGGCACTGTGATGTTGCGGAAGTCGCTCCTCGTAGACATCCTTGGACATCTGGGAGACAGGGCGAGGCGGAGGTGGAGGAGCCATTGGTTGAAGCCGTGGGGCCTGCAGCAGTTCGTAATACTGATTACCGTGCTCATCGACCACGATGCGACGCTGGGGAGGTGCCATGATCCGCGCAGGCGGTGCTTCTTCGTAATAAGGTTCCCGGTAGCTTGGGGGTGGCATGTCATCCACGGGAACGTATCGGTGCTGTGGGTAAGACGGAGCTTCTTCATAGTACCGCACACGCTCCTGCACTGGACGTTCCACGACGTGCGAGGCGGCGCGGATGGGTCGCGGCTGGGCCTCAATGTACTCACGAGAATAGTCTGGTTGACGTGCATACTGCACGCTGGCAACTCGTCTAAGATCGACATCCTCTCGAATTGGCCGTCTGACGCTGAGTCGAGACATGGTTCGCTGGGGCCCTGCCTCCGGCGCAATCTCGTGGTAAGGATCGACTTCATAAACAGCCTCTCGCATTGGGGGCCCACGACTTTCGTAAGCTGGCGCATACTGGGGGGACGCTATGTCAATGTAGACAGGACGTTCCTGAGGGTGTCGACTGCGAATTGCGGAGGGATCGTCGGCAAATGGTGGTGGTGAGACCGGTTCTTCCTTGATAAACGTCTCCGCCGGTTCTACATTGGGTCTTCTGTGCGGTGCTTGGCGAATTCCATCATCGCCTTCACGCAGTCTCCTCCTTTTCCGGGACACGACGTTAGGAACTGGAGCACTAGGGCTGGCACGAGCAGAATCTGGGTCCGAATACAACTGGACCGTGCCAATTTCGGGTCGCTCGGCTCGAATCTGCTGAACTGAAGGGGCCTTGGCCATGGCCAATGGAGACACGCGAGATGGCCTAGGTGCTGCTGGGGATGTAATGTGGTTCCGCACTACCTTCACATGGGCGGGGGAAGTAGGTTCACGGGGATCCTGCGGTTTTTCGGCGTATCTGATATTTTCCCGAGGCTGTCTTCCCGCAGCACCTCCTATCCCACGAGAGTAATCGTGGTGTTCTATTGGTGGCGCCGCTGGAGCGGGTGGTGAATAGTCGGGTTCATCCTCGGTTTCCATCCGTTGTGATTCGCGCAATCGACTGGCGGAAGCCTCTGCATTTTGGTGACTAGCCTGCTTTTGGGAATAGGAGGGACGCTGGTCAGCAACAAGGTAAGCATCTTGCAATTCCAGATCAGATCCAGGGTTAAGAGCTTCAAGTCGCTGCAACTCATCCCCGTAAGCTACTGGGGCACGAACAGCAGGACCTGTGGGTGGCACAACGGCCGCAGGGGATGGCTTTCGCTGCGGGACAGGGGGCGAATCAGGAGCTCTACTGGAGTAAAATGAATTGTCGTCAAAGGAATCATCACCAGGGCCACTTGACTCGGATGGGTCGCTCAACGAGACTGGCTTTACCACGTCTAAAGCTTGTTTGAAAACCTCTGAGACGTCAAAGTCAGGTTTCGTGTCCTGGACCGCAGGTCTCTGTCTGGTCTCCTTCTTCTGCAGTTCCACCTGATCACGTAGTGCTCTTTCCAATCTCTGCCTTTGCAGCTGTTGCTCTGCCCTCACCAAGTCATCTGACTTGGTCAAAAAGATCGGGTTGATCTCAGAGGTAGGCTTTGGAGCCATGCGAGCAGGCTTCGGTGCAGACGACGCGTTCGTGTTCAAGGTACTATCCGTGTTCTGGAAGGCAGTTTTTGTGGTATCTCGTACGGGTGGGGTATCCAGCGCGGCCTTGGCCTTTGGATTTGTAGGCTGAGGTTGCTGCGCCTGTGCAGAAACATGCTTGCCGTTTGCGGGTCCTGATTTCCGTACGAGATGCGGAGGCACAGTGAGTCGGGGGTGAGTGCCAGAGAATATCTGGTCCTTGATGTTCAAGATCTTCTGAAATTCTTCAACATCATCACCCGCCAACGGTGCTGAGATAGCCATCGGACCTGCTGAAAGGTGAGTTGCTGTACCATGAGTTGTAGCCATGATGCAGATGAAAAGCTAGGGAAAGGGATCGATGAAGCTATGGGGGGAAGAGATGAGATTTAGTTGCTGTAATCAGGTATGATAGCCAGTGAAAAGTGAAATATCACTTGGATCACTCTGATACCCAGACGAGGTTCACGAGTTTTCCCAGAGATGAAGGCACAGGGAGTAAAAAAGTCGAGAAAACAGCTTGACGGTCCGCGCGGGATTACTAAGGTCACGGGGAAAGTGTACCGGACGGGGACCAGATGAGTTGCGCCCACCTCCTGCTTTCATGTATTCACCATTGACATTCTTACCTCGCTTCTCAGCGCCTGTTACGACCTTCTCGAGACTCTCTTTTGTGCGGCCTCCAGTACGACTTTGCGCTTCAAGAACCATGGCGACAAATGGCACCAATGGGGTCAATGACTCACGGCCAGTGTTTTTCTTCGATATTGACAACTGTGTAAGTGAAGATAGCTGGAAGTAAGTGTAACGAAGTCGCTAACTCTCGGGTGTCTGTCTAGCTTTACTCCAAAGGTTAGTTTGCGCGGTTCAGACCTCCATGGGCGACTATGAAGTACGAAGTATTTATCGTTGACTTGCGCGCAGCTTGCAATATCCACGATGAGATGCAGACATTGATCAGTGAGTATTTCATCGAAACTATTTGAAATTGAAAGCTAATTTTCGTTTCCTGATAGATAAGTTCTTTGTCAAACATCTCGACCTTAATGCCTCTGATGCCCATATGTTACACCAGAAGTACTACAAAGAGTATGGCCTCGCCATCGAGGGCCTCACTCGTCACCACAAGATCGATCCTCTCGCTTTCAACTACGAAGTTGATGATGCGCTTCCACTTGATACTATTCTCAAGCCCGATCCCAAGCTGCGCGAGCTGCTGAAGGACCTGGATACTACCAAGGTGAAGCCTTGGTTGCTCACGAATGCCTACGTGAACCACGGAAAACGGGTAGTAAAGTTACTCGGCATTGAGGACCTTTTCGAAGGTATCACTTACTGTGATTATGGACAATTGCCGCTGGTCTGTAAACCAAGCCAGGACATGTACGCCAAAGCGGAGAAGGAAGCTGCCGCCCCTAGTACAGAGTCGTGCTACTTTGTTGGTATGTTTGGCGCATTTTCCCCTGGTTTTTGGATGTACCAAGCTGACTTTATGATCTCGCAGATGACTCGTACCTAAATTGTGTTCATGCGCATGCCCGGGGCTGGACGACAGCCCACCTTGTTGAGCCTGGGGTTCCTATCCCCTCCAAGCCAGCATCGAAATACGTGATCTCAAGCCTTGAGGAACTCCGTATTCATTTCCCACAGGCCTTTAAGCAAAACCAGAGCGGCGATGCATAGATTAGACTCGCCCTGATACCCCTTTCACTGTTCCTAAGTTTTTTGGTTCATGACTATGAGTATATGATTATGTCTTCCAAGGTTAGGTGCTCCCGGCTGTATTTATACATGGGAGATACAAATTATGCACAATGGAGTTTATATTAATTAAGCACGATCTTCAGTATAGACCGTCAGCTTACTGATCATTCATTTCTTATTAGACGTTTTATATTTTGTTCTCTTTACATAAGGGCTGTCAATGTTGTGTCTGCAGTAAGATGTATGTTTCTGCCTCAGGCATCAGGCGATCAGCGGAGTGCGCCAACTCCTGAGCTCCGCGCCTCCGCCCTTTCAACATCCAAGTGTCAACTATTATCCAAGGGCTGACTCTAGCTCTGGAGCTCTCTACAAAATGTCTGAGGCTTTATCTGCCGGTACAGTCATCGAATTGACCGATGGGCGGCAGGCGACTGTGCGCTTCGTTGGCAGCACCCACTTTGCGACCGGAGAATGGATAGGCCTCGAATTGAATGAAGCCACGGGAAAGAATGATGGATCTGTACAGGGCGAGAGATACTTCGATTGCGAGCCAGGCTATGGAATGTTCGTTCGGCCAACAGTGGTTGGTAAAGTCGTCCCAAACCCTCCGCGGGAGAGTAAACAAACCGCCAAACCCGCCACCACCGCTGCAGCTAGCAAGACCCAACCTTTAAATGGCCTCGCTGCTGGCTTGAAAAAGCAAGCTGGAGCTCCGCCTGCCAGTGTCAGACGACAGAGTGTTAATACAGCCTCTACGCCTACCCCAGCGCCGAGAGGGGCAGCCATTCGATCATCTCTTCGGGTACGTTCTGGTTTGCTGTAACCCATACAACATGTTATCTTGCTAACAAAGCATCATGAACATAGTCGCCTACAAAGTCCCCAACGAAACAGCTCGGCACTACCGCAGGCCATGCCACTCGTACGTCGATCGGGGCTGCCTCCCGTCCCTCCGCAGTGGCACCCACTCGACCCCGGTTAGCCCCAGGCACCAGAAGCTCGCTGGCATCGACTGCTACTCAGCCGGCGACTACCAGAGCTTCCCGACCTTCGATATCTGGCCCAGCATCTCGAACTTCACGACCAGGTTCCCAAAGCACAGTGGCTTCATCCACCGGTGGCTTGTCAAATCGCCCTTCATTAAGACAGATTGGAACCGCCAAAGCATCGGATGGAGGAGATACAGGGATGAGCGGACAATCTGGGGATCCCACCGATAACGAATCGCCAGATACCGAGGGGGAGGGTGCACAAGATGCCGCCCCCGCGCAACGGGGGCCTCGACAGTCGATGACCGCAGCACGCCCCGCCGCATCACGACCCGGAGCTCCTGCTCCTGCTTCGACGCGACAAGCCCAAGCGGGTGCTGTAAACCGCGAGCTGGAAGAGCTAAACGCCAAGCTCAAGGTCATGGAAAAGAAACGATCCGACGACCGAGAAAAGCTCAAAAATCTGGAACAGCTCCAGTCTGAACGTGACAAATTTGAAGCCATTATCCAGAAACTTCAGGCCAAATACCAACCGCAGCAGACGGAGATTACCGACCTTCGCAAGAAGCTGAAGGATAACGAGGCCCGTTATGACGAGCTAGAACGGTTACAGGCAGAGCATGAATCTCTGATGGAGATGGCTGGCTTGGACCGTGAGATGGCCGAAGAAACAGCCGAGGCATTCAAGCATGAGTGTGCAGCGCTACGTTCCAAACTGGACGAGTTAAACCTGGAAGTGGAGGTTCTCCGAGAAGAAAATGAGGAATTCAGCCAGGTCACCAGTCCCGAGGAAAGGTCTAGCCATGGATGGCTTCAGATGGAGAAGACCAACGAGCGTTTGCGTGAAGCGCTCATCCGCCTGCGTGACATGACACAGCAACAGGAATCGGACCTTAAAGCCCAAATCAAAGAGATGGAGGAAGACCTCGAAGAGTATTCTGCTGTCAAATCTGATTACGAGGCCACTAAAGAGAAGCTACTGGTTGCGGAAACAAATGTGGATGATCTCAAGCAGCAGCTCGAGACCGCACTAGGCGCCGAGGAAATGATCGAAGAATTGGCAGACAAGAACATGCGCTACCAAGACGACATCAATGAGCTGAAAGCTGCTATCGAAGATTTGGAGTCCTTGAGAGAGATCAGCGATGAAATGGAGTACACGCACATCGAGACCGAAAAACAGCTTCAGGAGGAGATTGACTACCGGGAAGGTGTCTTCAGCGATCAGTGCCGAAAAATTACACAACAAGACGAGGTCATTGTAGACCTTGAATACACACTGAATCGCTTCCGAGAGCTAGTTTCCAACCTCCAGACAGACCTGGAAGAGATGCGGGCCACGAAACAACTTTCAGAGGCGGAGACCATCGAGAATGAAGCACGTCAGCGCACGATGCAGGACCTGGCCACCAAACTACAGGCCAACACAACCAAGTCTCAAGCCAATTATGTTGATGTGGAATTGAATCGCATGGAAGCCGATGAAACCGCTCAGCAGCTTTCCATGGTCAAGCTCTATCTCCCTGAGTACTTTGAGGGTGAGAACAACTCTGTCCAAGCTTTGTTACGATTCAAGCGAGTTGGATTCAAGGCCAATATCATGCATACTACCCTTCAGGACAAGGGAGCCGAACACTCGACTGTGGCGCATGAGGAGGTGTTCCAAGCTCAAGAGGTCCTTGGGTGTTTGCTGTGGATCTCAAATGTGTGCGATCAGTTTGTGAACTACATCACAGGTTGCTCACCTGAGCAATTTGTCAACATCAAGGTTGCCATGTTTGAAATGGAGCCCGTGGAGCGTACATTGAACTTTTGGATCGAGACTGTGAAGAAGAACGAAGTAAACCTCGCAAAATTCGCAGTTGAGTTGCAGCGCTCCATCGCACTGCTTGCACACTTGGCAGAGACCCTTCTTCCTGCCAGCACGGAAAAGTTTGCCGATGAATTATGCCTTCGTGCCAGATTATCTCAGTCGTACCTCGATCATGCAGCCACGGCAATCACGCGTGTGAATGCTATCATCAACTCCAAAATGGTTGCAGCAGAAGAGGGCGACGAGGAAAAATTGGTTGTTCTGGAGAAGCTAAGCGCCTTTGACCCTCAAGCGCGTGGATACAAAGTATCCATGGGCAAGATCAGTCGGGCGCTGGATGATCTGCGGTCAAGATCACTTGCACTTTCAAGCGAATCTGATGAGCCTTTCAAAAAGGTCGAGCAGGACACCCGATCCCTTTTGGAATTTGCTCGCAAGGTCGGCGAGAGCCTGGTCACTCTTACAAGTGACGAAGGTCGCATAGAGCCATACAGTCCGCAAGAGATTTTAGACAGCATGTCACAGGCAGCTGTGTCATTCACCTCTCCTGAAAAACCAGACGATAGCAATGACCCCGTTTCATTGCTCTTCACGAAATTGCGGGAAATTGGTGAGCAGTTTGAGGAACTTGCCTCCATTTCGTCAGATCTATCTCGTACCACCGAATTCGAGAAAGGCGCGTTCCCTTGGATTGCACGCGCCGCGGAATTGAAGTCCAACAAGATGAGCTCTCCGGATGCCGATGAAGAAATTCGACAACTGAAGAATGAAATTCACGAAGCATCAGCCGCACTCGGTGTGAAAGACAACACACTTGAAGAGCAGGGTCTCAAGATCGAACATCTTGAAGCCCGAATGAAAGAGGCGAGCAAAAAGGCTGCCATGGTCAAGGATCTCGAGTCCAAGATCGAAGAGATTCAACTTGCGACAAGTGAGTTGGAAACAACGCTCGACCAACATAGGAAAGATCTCACCGCTGCCGAAACTGAGCGAGACGAGGTCATGTCTCGCCTTGAACGAATGAAGCGGATGTCAGGAACAACCGGCCTGGGTAACTCGGGCAATGGCGTTGTTATCGATAGCGAGGCATCGTTGGCTGCCATGCAAGAAAATGAAAGCCTCCGTGCCGAAGTTGCAAGCCTACAGGCCGCTGTGCGTTTCCTCCGCGAAGAGAATCGTCGCTCGAACATCCTCGATCCCTACTCCGTCCAGCGATCTACGGAAATGCACGCCTGGCTCGATGCACCGCTCACACGCGCCAAGCCAACCGCCGAACAAGAGAAGGTTCAACGCACTGCTCTTGAAAGCCGAGACGTGATGACACATCTCCTCAAAGTGACCAAAGAATCTCACGTCACCGATCTCAAATCCACAATGGTTGCCCCAGTCAGCGGTGATGGTGACAATGTCAACCGCACTACCTGGCGCCCATCAAAAACCCGTCTCCGCTACCAGGTCCTTCAGCAGCGCGAGAACTTTGAGCATTGGGCCGAGTGGCGCGATGAAATTGTTCACCATGAACGCGAACAAGACCGCCTGGTCGCTGCCAAGCAGGAGCGTGCAATGCGTGATCGTGTTTCTAGGCATGCCCATAAGGGCTCCGTGGAGTTTCCCCAGGGCTTGGGCCATGGCATGATGGGTCGTGCCTGGCAAATCTTGGGTATGCAGAAGCATCGTAAGACCGGCTCGATAAGCACACCTGCGCCGGATGGCGTGGAAATTGTGTCCACCGACTAAGCTTGTTCGTTTCAGCGAGGACAAAGTCGAGCTCAGCTGACCTCTTTATGGAGGTACATTCTTTCTTGTCCCTATCTTGTGGTTGTACCATATTTGTCGTTCTGATAGCTATATTGTTCATTTCGAGATACCCTGCAGCAATAGCTAGCTCTAGACTCTATGTACAAAATCAATCGATTCTCTTTCTTGATATCTTATTTGGTTTGCCTAGCATCACACTCTCCAGTTTTAACGTATTACATACCTACTCATGTTTTTTAAAGCGTCCGAAGCCGTCTCAATGCCACGAATCAAGAAATTAAAACTGACATGAGTTGAGGCGATCTTCCACCGTGTGTAGAGATTAGGACACGAAGGCAAGCTCATCTGCCCCGGCGCGTTGTGAATATTCGAGGAGGGTCACCTTCTAAAGTTCCAATTTAGCCACTTGTTATCTCTGCGTACTCCGTACTGAAAATGGGGTTCTCGAATCTCCCCGAAAGGATGCTCGAAATGTCGTAGGCCGGAAGTCGTCTGGCGGATAGACCTCTATTTTCGGTTAAACCCCTATATATGTCCCTCAAAATAGACTTGTAATTACACATCAAGACTCTCATTCACATCCGGTCTACAGGTATATTCGTTTGAGATTCCGAGCCTTCATTGAAACCATATTGTGATGGACAGAGTAGTTGGATCGCTATGTATCGAACGGTGATGGCAAAATGAGTCTAGTCACAAAATGTTTCCATGAATATCATATAACAATGTTAGGAAATGTCATCATTCTACTATTTACTTAAAGGATCTGCTCAGGGGATCAGGTCTCAGCCGAGGTTTAGCCTTGGAGGTTGGAGCAAGATTGTCGGCTAATTTCCCCTTTAGGAAATCCTACCGACCGACATCATGACCATGTATCAAAAACACAGTGAAAGGCGACTATGCCTTGATATATAAGACAGTTAAGATTGCCAGTCAAGAATGAGATATTCTAAAGACTCCTCACTGTCACACGAGTCATCACAATCAACTTCTTTTACCCAATCGACTTTAGTTATACTTTTATCTATTGCCCTCAATGTTTGGTGTCAAACCAAAGGGTGGGCTTCCAGCCAAAGTCTCCCGGCCCTTCGCTGGCAAAACTCATTCTGCTGGTTTGACTAAGTTTTCCACATCCACCCGCCGGTCTAGGAAAGAAGGAGATATCTCATCGGTGTTTGTCTCATTGTCCAGCCAAGAAGAAGCAGCTCCTCTCGATTCGCGATTCGCAGAGCAGAAAAAGAGGCTCCTCGCTGACCGAAGCGATAAGATCAAAGAAAGCTGGGATCGCCTACTCAACAGGCTGAGAGAAGAGACTGGCACCATCAAGAAATGTGGGCCAAGTATCGTCCCCTGTATCGACTTCAAAGATATCCATGCCGCCCCGGAACGTTTCTAAAAGGAGCTAAGGAAACGTGGAGTTGCTGTGGTCCGCGGTGTGATTCCTGAAGATGAAGCAAGAGGCTATAAGGAAGCCACTGAAGCCTACGTAGCGGCCAACCCGGGAACAAAAGGTATGTTGGGTCCCATTGTCAAACTCCCAACTCAATACTGACTCCATGCAGCTTTCCCACCAAATGACCCCCAGGTCTTTGAGCTATATTGGTCAAAAGCACAGATGCAGGCGCGATTCCACCCCAATATGCTTGAAACCCAGCGCTTCCTCATGAGTTTCTGGCATTCATCCGACCCAAATGCTTTGGTCTCTCCTCGGCACCCTCTCAGCTACGCTGACCGTCTGCGGATTCGTCAGCCCGGCGATACTGGCTTTGCATTGGGGCCTCACATTGACGGTGGAAGTTGTGAGCGCTGGGAGGATAAGGGATACGGGTTAGGGGACGTCTACAAATCAATTTTCCAGGGCCAATGGGAAGATTACAACCCTTGGGATGCTAGCACCCGTATCCCTGCTGTGGCTGATCTCTACAATGGAGCTGGAGCTTGCTCCATGTTCCGGATGTTCCAGGGATGGCTCGGCTTATCGCATACTGGTCCTGACGAGGGAACCTTGATGGTGAACCCACTTTTATCGATGGCCACAGCATACACCCTTCTGCGTCCTTTCTTCCGCCCGATCACAGCTCATCCTGGAGATAACCCATCGCGAATCGCTACCGAGACATTCCTGGAGCCTTCCAACTGGCAGTTGGAGGATCAGCCTAGCAGCAAGCTCGAGGGTGCTACTCCCGGGTACGCTCAAGAGCTGAACTCGGTCCTTCACCCTCATCTAGAGCTTGAGAAAACCATGGTCCACGTGCCCAAGATTGCGCCGGGTGACTATGTAGCTTGGCATTGCGATAGTATGTCTTTTCCTAACCCACCTACTCTCAACGATGTTGTTGGTACCAAGTGACTGACCATGATAATAGCAATCCACGCCGTCGACAAGGTACACCAGGGTACTGGAGACTCCAGTGTGATGTACATCCCTGCCTGTCCCGTCACCGCCGGCAATGTCGAATATGTCAAGCGCCAAAAATCGGATTTCCTTGCCGGTACACCTCCCCCTGACTTCCCTGGTGGTGTTGGTGAGAGTGCGCATGTTGGGCATACTACCCTGGAGGACCTTAAGTCCCTCACGACCCAGGAGGGAATGCGTGCATTTGGCTTGGAGAAGTGGGATTCAGAGAACAAGGATCTCTTGCCTGGACAACGATGTGTCCTCATGACCGCCAATGAGATTTTGGGGTACCGATATTAAGTCGCTAATTCTCGGGAAATAATACCCCAAGGATCAAAATTTGTACAATAGAAACCAGGCTCAAAAAAAAAAAAAAAAAGTGGCGCATTATCTTCCTTTTCATCTGTAATGTTGGTCGATCTATCAGACTTTGGTCTTCCGTACTTGCAAGTCCTTCACTCAATGAGTTCTATCCGCCACTAGTCTCTCAGATCACTAGGTGTTCAAGGGATTCCAAGATTGAAGTGAGTGCGCATCAGGGCATATAAATATCTATCTTTCCCATGCGGCATACGCCTTTCATGAATTTGGGTATGTTCAGTACGTACAGGGACGGAGGACGCAAAATTTAAGCAGACTTATATGGCCGCTGTCAATTAAACAAGAAACCCACCCTACCATACGACAATGGGGAAATGCAGAAGGGTATAGGCTCCACAGCTATCATGAACATACAGCAACTTTAGAAGACAAAGGGGGTGGATCTAAGTAAAAGGGGGGTGGCAGCACTATTCCCCCATATATATTAATATAGAAAATACGAATAGTACTCCAAATGAAGTTTTGGTCTTAGAAACTTTAGAAAGAAAAAAAAGAGTGCCCTCCTGGATTCGAACCAGGGTCTCCGGAGGGGAGGCCAGCACACGGTTTAGAACCGGGCTGGCTTCGACCCCCGCAGCGCCTTTTCCACTCGGCCAACCAGGCTTTTACTATTTATTACAGGTGGATCCTGTCACATATCCAACCAATCCTCGCCATTTCCAAAGCTCCCTGACCCACTCTCCCGCTGTTTCCCAAAGATTCTGTCCTCGTCATCCATGGATCAACCCGCGTTTACCATGAAATTGATACTTTGAATGGCTTTTATATCTGTAAGCTATTTAATCCCCGCCTTGCGCTTATATATAGCCTTTAGTGCAAATATAGTCTCCCGTAAAGATCGGAAAACTAGCATTGCAAGGAGAGCAACTATAATCAAAGCCACACAGAAGATCGAACACGTTGCAAACCCACGGCAGGTGTACGCAAACACCGACCACGAGCCATCCTCGAGGGGCTGGCCCACTGCTAAAGCCACCTGCATAGCAGATAGCACAACACTCAACACTCCAAACACAAATAGCAGAGGGCCATAAAAGCGCGCAAAATACGCACCATAGTACCCATGGACATTATGGTACGTAAAGCGGCCTTGGAAAATCGTGATCCAGAAATTCAGACGTGAGAGGCGTAAATCACCGAATTTGTATCGCAGCGAGACATTTTCATCGGGTAGATGCTTGAACTCCATGATGAACTTGACAAAAGCAGAATATTTGATATTTTTCGGTAAAAGGCGACTACTTTCGTTGGTAGCAAGGTCGAAATCCGATTTGTGATCAATAAGAAAAGCATAGGAACGCATGAACCCCAGAATTGCCTTTTTTGTGTTCTCTCGTTCATCCGCTGAGATGGGAATCATCGGGTTTGCATCGTCAAGATAAAATTCCCAGAAGGCATGCGACAAGAGGTACTTTGGCATTGGCTTCACAAAGACTCTATCGTAGATCCACACCAGATGCAGGCCTGGATCTTCGGTTATGATCACATTTCGTCCTCTCACGATTTGGTGCCTGAGTGAGGAAATGTGAGTGCTATCCAGTGTTGCGACAAGCCAAAGATGAGGTGAGAGATCGTTCAAGGTTTCGGTCATGAATTCAGATTGAAGATATTCATAAACACGGTGGTCGTTTATTCCAAGTCGGGGTTCACCAGGAAGGTAATCTTTTGGGGGCTTGATTGATCGAGCAACAGAATTTCGCGTGAGATCGCCATTGGGTGTGATCTCAAGTTTATCGTAGAGCTGTTTTTCTTTCGAGAACGGGGCCATTTCAGTGGTGAGCGCTCGCCTTCAGGGGGTATCAAAGTGCCCTGGAAGACCTGTAGTAGGTGCGGAGTACCCACTTATATGAACGACCACGCATGATTTTGAATTACCTGAATCTTAGCAATTTTCCGTAATTTTAGAATGAGTGGAGAATTGACGTAGCTTTGATGTTTGCTTTTTCTTTTGCCATGGCACAATTGAATGTGGAAGTGAAGCGTCTGCATAGGAAGAGGGGCCAATCATCAGAAGTCCGATGTGGTTGTGTAAGAAGTTGCTCACAGTTCCAATACACAGTAGTTCTTGAAGCCCACTGTGAGAAGAGGAGTCTCGAGTGATTGAGTAGAGAAGAGAGAGGTGGAGCACTATCGGCGAAGAGGGGCTGTTTGGGTAGATCTACCAACCACCAAGTAGGGCAGTGTGATACTCTGTGCCTGTAATGTGGATCTTCACTCTATAAGTACTGACTTCTCATTCGCACTTGCATGTTCTCAAAGTGCATAGGCGCCGCGTTGCACCCAGTTCAGCCCCAATCCCTTCACCTGACCCCAAACCCCATCCTTCTCACCGTCTCTTACCTTCCTACCTCACCTCAAATCTCATACTTCTACCAGCTGGCTTATTTTACTATGAACATACTACTTCATTTATTAGTGTTTTTGATCGACGCACTGATTGCACTTCTATCACTTTGCTCCCACCACCTCAGATCTAGGTTTTCCGAGAAAGCTGCTGAAGAAGAGGACCTAGACGAAGATCCCTGGCTTGTCCAGGTTCATCCCCTCAACGATGAGACCGAAACGGACATAGATATTATCGCAATCCATGGCTTAGATACAAAGTCACCCGATACATGGGAATACAAAATCAATGGCAAACCACCCTCAAACTGGCTGAAAGATAAAGCGATGCTTCCGAGCATGATCGGAAATGCTCGAATATTTACATGCGACTGGCTAACGAAGAAGTTCGAATCACCCGACACTGCCAAACTGCGGATCGAAGAAATTGCCCAATCCCTTGTCGTTGCTATCAATGCACGCCCACAGGGTGACAACCGAAATCGACCCATTCTTTTTGTCGCATCTTGTTTCGGAGGAATCATCCTGATGAGAGCTTTATCCTACGCAGTTCATCAGGATCCCATCCTTTCATGTACACGTGGGGTTATATTTCTTGCTACTCCATTCGATGGAACTGCTTTTGGAAAGATAGCGTACTGGGCAAGGCCTGCGCTATCGTTTCAAGCCTGGCTGAAAGGATTCAAACTCAGTCCAAGATTTGATTATGTCGAGGAAGGGAGATGGAAGCTCCATGACCTTACCGAACAATTCCATCATCGTTGCCTTGAGTACAACTATTCTACCTTCGCCTTCTACGAGACAGAAGGCACTAATCTTCTGGCCAAAAACCTTCCCAAGGCACTAAACTGGATATCGAAAAAGGAATTGGTAGGCTATCCTGCGAGCGCTGTATATTACGGAGATTGCTTACTATCTGGAAGCTTGTCGAGAGGAGATCCGCAGCACCCCCGATGTTCAAAGAGCACCCGGGCCCTCTTCATCGCCCACATGCAAAGATGAACAAGTTTCATGGACCTGGAGACAAAGACTTCAAATCTGTTGCCGAAAAGATCCAGCAATATCTCAGGGAAATACGCGAAGGAACATCCCTTGAGAGACTGGACAAGGAATTATACCGATATTACAACACCGACAAGAGACTCCAGGTTGAACGACTATCAGAGGATAAGGTGTCGATGGACGTATGCTACATCAATCTTACCATCGTGGAACAAAGCACGTTAGGGAGCGGATTCTCGAACAAAGCTCAGGATAAAACATCATCTTCCCCATTCTCACTCGCCAACCGATTAGGGGTAGAAACCCCAGACGATGAAGTTCAAATCGACATTCCAAAAATCTTTTCTAGGTTAGGCAAATCAGAAGCGCCAAAAAGGGTGCTGATTCGCGGCCGTGCTGGTATTGGAAAAACGACATTGTGCAAAAAGATTGTTCACGACTTCCTCCTAGGTCGTATTTGGGAAGATCTCTTTGATCGTATTTTTTGGTTGCCGCTGCGCGATCTCAAACTTCCCAACAACAAGGTCAAAAATATGGGAGAGCTTTTTGACAAGTACATCTCAGGCCCGGGAAAAGAAGACCTTGCACATGGGGCATGGACTGCGTTGGATCAATCGAATTATGATAGAACCATCTTCGTTCTAGACGGTCTGGATGAAGTCTCACAAGGATTGCCTGGTGATTACGACATACTGAGAGAGCTTATGAGGTTGCCCAACTTGATCGTGACCTCTCGCCCATATGTATCACTTCCAGCTTGGTTGGGAGAGAAAGACATTTTTGACCTTGAGTTGGAAACCATCGGATTCTACCCTGATCAAGTCAAATCCTACGTCCAAACCTATTTCATCAACGAGGAATGCAAGCCCCCGGAACCAGAAAAGGCCGAGGTGATTCTATCATTCCTTCACAGACATCCACTGATGCAGAGTCTCATGCGGATCCCGGTTCAACTCGACGCCCTATGTTGGACCTGGGCCTGGGATAACGCCTCCGCTGGTGACGATGACTCTCAACCCCAGACAATGACCGCTATCTACAAGGCCATCGAGGAACGTCTATGGAGGAAGGACGCTGAAAAACTTGGAAGAAAACTGGGACACCATCAGCTCTCAACTGAAGTCAACGACCTTGTTAAACCCGAAGCTCATATCCTAGAGCTCCTTGCTTTCGCTGGAATTTATAGCGATGTGATCGATTTTCGGCCTGAAGATCGCAATTTGATCTACATACACTCTGAACGGTCCCCTGAGGACTTCCACGGCAGGCTTGATCGGCTATCTTTCCTCAGATGCTCTAGCCCATCTTCCGATTCGAAAGAAGACAGAAACTACCACTTCCTTCATTTGACATTCCAAGAGTATTTTGCCGCGCAGTATTTTGTCCGCCAGTGGAAAGCCAACGAGGATCTGGATTGTTTGAAATTAAATGCCGGCCATAGATCTGCTCGTCACAGAAACCACATCTCACCGACCAAGTTCCTCGGACAAAACAAATACAACACTCGCTATAACATAGTGTGGCGCTTTGTTGCCGGTATCTTAGACTTGGATGGGGAACTGGAAGAACTAGAGAGATTCTTCAGAACCCTCGATCAAAAACCACTCGATCTGTTGGGTGTAGTCCATCAGCGACTCCTCATGCATTGCTTGAACGAGACAGGGTCCGACTTTTCACTTCGAAGCAAGATTGAAGACCACTTATCCAAGTGGCTAGTGTTTCAATGCAGATCGATGCAACCCGTGAGAAAGATATACCCTCCCAGAATGTACAGGTATCAAACCCTAGCGAGTGAGGCTGAGTTTCCCGGCAAAGCTTTTGCTGGATTGTTAGATGAATGTGATGGAGTCAAGATGGTCGGCTTTGATTCAATCAGACGTGTTGTCCGCATACCACTTCGAGTCACAGAGAATTTGATTTCGATGCTGGATACAGCATCTGATGCTGAGGCGCAGTCCGCAATCAGTCTGCTAAACCGATCGAGCGATTCACTACCTGAGAAGGTCTTACTCTCCATCGCGTCTCGCCTTTGGAGGAAGACTAACTCAACTGCCGCCATCACCCAATGCAGCTCCGATTTATCCCAGAGGGATGATCGCAAGCCAGCCTCTTTTGCTCGGGCCAACATTTGCGAGGTTGTCGCTTCGATCCTACAGAGCTACAAGCTGCCAGAGGATCTTTGGTGCGAAATCGCAATGAAGTTGAAGAGTATGAATTCGACCGCTCGAGATCATGCTTCCCAAATCCTGGCCAGCCAGCAAATACCAAGGGATCAGATATTATTTGATTTCATCGACCAGTTAGAAGGCATCGACCAGCCAGAAAGCCAATCCCGGAAGTCAAGAGCGGTTGCTAAGCAATTTTTGCGTCACCAATCGACCTTTCCTTCAAAGGTGCTCTCGTTGATACAGGAAAAGATTGGGTCCGAGAGTACCGACACCAGAGTCAGAAATGCGTCAATTTACGCTCTAGGTGGACATTCGAAACTACCGGAGTCGCTCATTCGCTTATTGGCGACGAAGCTGTACCAGGACCAAGAAGCTATACGAGAGACTCTCCAGGTGCTATCACGGCTTTCAAATCTTCCCGATAATCTATCAACCGAGGTCATTCTGAGCAAAGACTTGGAGGAGGAAAATGACCATTGGCTCAGATACAACAAACTCTCTAGCGAGTGGTGCCGCAAGACGAGATTGTCAGAAAAAGCCCTCGAGGTGTTAGCGGGCCATTTGAAATCTCCTGCATCTTCTGTCAGATTCTCGGTCATTCACATACTGGATGGACAATCAAACTTACCAGAGGAAATTCTCCAAGAGATAGGAAAGTGCCTCCAGGACGAAGATCATCGGGCTAGGGTAGCTGCCACCAATGCCCTGAGTCACCGGCCATGTTCATCCGAGCCCACCATCGGAGGAATAACATCCCTACTTGATGAAAGGCTCAGTGGATTCAGCCTCGCAAAGTTATCTGCCTTGCGCGTTCTAAAGCATCAATCCAACTTGCCGAAAACCGCCCTCAACAAAATTGCGAATTGTATTGACCATCCGGACCCTGCAATCAAAATAGCAGCTATTGACGCCTTGAGCGGCCGTTCAGGGTCCCCAGATATATTAAACAAAATTATGACCCAGATCGAAGACCAAAGCGCAGGAGCTGTACGAGCAGTCACATCAGGAGTCATTGAAGCCGCGATAAAAGCATTCAATATTAGTTACGCCTCGATTCCCAACAGTTGGCTCACGGTGATTGAGTCTGAGATCAACGAAGAGGACAAAACTACTCGAAATGATGCCGTGCAGGCCCTCATCCGGCTGCGAGATATATCCGAGGAACACCTCAATTTGCTCGCCGCTCGAATCAACGACGAAGATATAAAAACCAGGCTGGCAGCCGTAGGTTTCCTCGAGGGAAAGCATACTTTGGCCGAAAGTACCCTGCAAATCATGGTAACGCAGATCTGTGATTCGAAGAACTTGAATCTTGCAGACCCCATGAACAGTCCCTTCTTTTGTCGTTCTTTAATAACCATGTTCATGCAACGGGATACGCTGCATTCGGAGGTTCTCCTCCGTCGTGGCCAGGTGCATCGATTTCTGCTCCCTCTGCTTCAGCGGACTTTTTCAGAACACTTTTCTTGGTACTTCCAGGATGGCGAGTCTTATCTTATAAGAGACAATGAGACCAGAAGGCAAAGTCTATGTAATGAAGATGACTTAGAGGCAGGCATGGATCTAGCTCGGCAAGAAACCGGGTTCCCATCGGTAGTGGTTTCTTATTAATGAATATGTCTAGATTGAATCGACCCGATCGAGAAGAAAAGTCACAACAGCCGAGACTGAGGCACTAGAAGTGAACAAAGCAATTGAATTGCATTGATTAGACCTAAGAAATAGAACCACCACATATTACCCCCGAAGCAAATAACCAGCCATAACCTAGATCGGGGTATTCCAGCGCGCAAAAGAAAAAGGACCAAAACACCGAAGTGTCTTAACCGAAAAGCAGAAATCTAACCTAGAACATTAATGAGAGGAACAGTCAAGGGATTATTAAAAAGCACGAAACACCCGAAAGCATCATTGTGAAAAAAACTTGACATCAAAAGGCCAATCCGATACCGGATTCGCGGAAGCGTGTTGTCTCGTTACCCTCGTATCCATAGAGAGGATGGTTTTGTTGTTCGCCTTCGAAGATGGTTGGTTGGCAGAGACCGGGACCGGGGTCAAGGTCCTTCTCTGGGGACGAAGGGTGGAATGAGAATGATGTGCGTGGAGTGATGGCGCTGGAGAAGACGCTTGAGATGGAGCTGTTGTTTCGGGTTCTTGGGCCGGTGACGGTTGTAGCTGATGCGGCGGTTGTGCCACTGAGAGTGCGGGATCGTTCCCAGTTGAAGTTGTCTTCTGGGGGAGAAATCTTGGATTTGTCATTGGGGAAGATCCATTGGGTGACGCGGTTGGAAACCGAGGATGGGGTTGGGGGGAAGGTGTTTCGGTCGAAAGATGGAAGTGAGGGACGGCCAAGAGATGACATGGTTGGCATTGTGCGTGTGCTAGCGGACGAAGGTGAGACTTGGGATGTTGGGGAGTACTTTGAGGGTGAGGTGGTCGTAGAGTCTGTGTGTAGGCTCTTTGTTGAGGGAGGTGTTTGGGGTACTCCCCAAGACTGAGTATCGACTACTTGGCTGGGCAATGGCGTGGTCAAGCTCAATCTGATGCCTCGTGTGTTTGATGGATGGGTTGAAGATGCTGCCCGAGCTTCTTGAACAGGAATCTCCACTGGAGTGACTGTAGAGAAATGTGGCACCAAGCTGCTGGTGATCCGGACTGGCTTTTCGATAATCGGGGATTTCCCAAGCGAGCGACGGTTCTCTGAACCAACTGGCTTGCGGGAAACCGAGTACGTTGTTTGACAGCGGCGATCTCGAACGTTGGTGGGGGTAGTTAGGGCTCGTGGTGGGGCCGGGAGCGTCATGCGCTGGGGGCTTTCATTGAGCTGGAAGGAGTCGAAAGAAGGTAGGTCCGACAATCGATTACCTGATCGATGTATCCGGAGGTCAAGGGGCTCATACTTTGTCGCAGGGGACTGCAGCGTGTGTTGCTCATAAGCTGTTGGCGATTGGAAAGATTGTACTCTGCGGAAGTCTGAGGGTGCACTGATTTTCAAAGGCATAGTTGATGACCTTTTCATTGGCAGACTCGCCCGAGTAGAGGCTCGCGAGGCCAAGTTTCGGCCTTCGTTCAACCATGATGACAGTGAGTTGCGATGTCGATGGATGCTTGGGCTAGGGAGATCATCATAGACCACCAGCTTCATCGGCGGCACTAGATGAGGCTGAGTGTGACATATCTTCATTTCTCGCTCGACACCTGAAGAGTTAGCATCTTCTCAAGTCTCTACGTAGTTTCAAAGTCACTATTTACCAGTGTGAGCGGGCTGGCTATCCTCGCAGGTCAAGCATGATCGCATCCAACCAGTGAATAGCGACCCTACCTTCTCCAAAGCAAGCATGATTGCGACCAGCGCTGAGAGGTCAATCCATGAAGAGAGAGGAAATAGGAAATAGAAAAATAGAAAAAGGAACAAAGAGACAAATCCCCCACCTATGGGGATTTAGGCCTGTCAGACCCCAAATAAGAGCATCTGACCGAGAGTTCACTGACTTCAACTAAAAAACCACTAAAAACCAGGAGCTATGCCCAGCGAAGCAGTACATCCTAACGCCAACGCATTTAGCACCAAGATCGTCAACATCGGAGTGGATTGAAACAATGTTATTCGTTAGCGCCCGGTGGAGTCGTCACATCCGTGCTTATCACCTTTGGGTGTAAATTGGGCGCTTAACGAAATTGCCAGGAGTCTCTTGTTCACTATTTCTATGAATATACTGAATATACAGCTAATTACCCCAAACGTTGTCCGGTTCCAAGTCATAATTCCATCTAGACCGTGGATTGGCTTCTGAACTAGACGGTGTTGCAGACTCCTCTTCGATTGGTTCTCCGGAGGGTCTCCTGGCCAGTGACACTCGAGTTAGCAATTTCATTTGAAGATCTTTTCCCGTGGCTCAACATACGAAAATCGCCGGGGCTCGGGCTCTGCATGAGCAGAACCATAAGTTCTCTGAATTTGAGCCCGGTCTTCTTCTTCAGCCTCCGTGTTCTCCACCACAAGGTCCACTAGCTGGCTGCGTCGTGTGCCGCTGGAGCTCGTGGAGCTAGGATTTCGCTGCAAGGAACCGGGTGTCGGCGAGCTAGGGTCGGGTCTAGGTGGATTGGAGCTTGGCGTAGACGTTCTCCTGTTTCCACTATCTGCCGCCCGGCTTTTCTTATGCCTGCGGGCCTTTTTGACATCGGACCCTCGGTTTGAATCCTGATATCGCCTCGCGGGCTGTAAACGTTGATCTCTGGGCACCTCGTTGGCGGTAATTACTGGATACTACGCGCCGTTAGCCTCCTGTTCTCGTGTTTCGTAGTGCTCCTCCATTTACTCACATTCCAGTCTCCAAACTCGAGTGCGCGGGCGTTGATGAAGAGTCGTTCATCTTCATCATCCATGGTGACCTCCTCTATGTCACTGTAGGAGCGGAACCTCTCTCGCGAAGGTTGACTTGGGCGTCTACCTCGGTGATCCTGCGATCCTCCACCCAGCAACGGTGTACGGCTATTGACCTCGCCGGGCTTGGGAATCCAATACTTGGCCTTCCCACCCCGCTCATATCTCATGCCATCCATCACTCGTTTCACCCGCGATCCCGACTCTTCGTGGGGAACGATATTGTCACCCGAATCAAAGAGTCGGTATTCGTAATTATCACCACGCAGAGTCATCAAGGTGTCCTCCCACAAGTCTCGAACTCCGAATGCGTCCCGCAAGGCGTATTTGACGGGCATACGGGCGGCTGAGATGGTAGGGTCTGCATAATCGTGCCATGAGAACGCATACCAGTGTGCCATGGCGAAGAATGGCATTTCAAAACAGATCAGACTATCCTGGATGGCAGCCGCCAGGTTGTCTGGCGTATACCCTGCGACGTGACCAAGTGCACCCAGCCACTGCAAGATTGACAAAAAGAAACCCTGCCAATAGGACGCAAAGATGATAAGCTTGATGCAAAGGAATTTGGGAACTGGTCGGAATGGCACAAGGTCGTCATGCAGACACACCCAGAACATGGCCAGGGAATAGAGACTGATTGTGACACTGAGATTGTACACGATACCTGTCCAGAGGTATCCCGAACCCAGCCCAAGGTATCCCTCCTGGTAAGTGTTTGTTGCCTTCATGATGATCGATGCGAGGGCCAAAATAGGCTTTAGCCATGCGTATTGCAGAATCCCGCGTTTGACGGCGAGAAATGTGTGAGGATCCGAGACGTCAATCTTTGGAAGGAAGTGATTGAGGGGCCAGGCATGCGAGATGGGAGGGCGACCATGCGCCATGATGATTACAGATCGTTCACCCCCAAGGAAGTTGATTAGGAGTTGGAAGAAAGTGTAGATGGTGAATGCCTGCCAAAGTTAATCGTCAGTGAGAGCTTACAGAATTCATCGGAAACGACATCAAGTACCTCATAGATATCCCGGACGGGATCCAGAAACTGAGCTGCAGTGAGGGACACGATACTGGTCCATGATGATACCGCGTATATGGGAACCCTGAGCTGTATTAGCACACTCGTTCTGCCCCTGAGCTAGCCACTCGAAACGAACTCACATCAACAATATGCGTACCACATAGCGCTGGAGAAGGGGCTTCCGGTAGTTTTTCCTATGTAACTGATGAGCGATAACTCGAGGTATCGGGATAGAAGCTCGTACGTTTGAAACCAAATCGACCTGCGGGTTGAGATAGAATGTTAGATCGGCGACTCAAAGCTCATGTCGGTACTCAGAGACCATCACAACCAGGAGGTACTCACACCAAGGATAAGAAAGAGGCGACCAACGCCGAGACACCAGCAACAATGGTGATGGCGCGTGCCAGGCTGGAGCCTGTTCCCCCTGCGGCGGTCGTCATGTTGGAAATTCGGGAGCAAAGCGGTTCACAACCGCGAGTTGTTGAAGCTATTCCAACTCATGCCGCACCTTCAATCAAAACATAGTGTTAGGAGCGAAAGTGGTGGGGAAAGATGGAGCTTGTGGAGCAAAGGGAATGTTGATGACGATTCGTGACACCGCCCGGACTTCTCGACTTTCAACTCGCGATTTCCCCAACACAGAGCAGCGTTGGTTATTTTGTTATCCTGGTATCCATGATCGCAATATTGTTACTGGCTTGTTAGACTCGTCCGCGTTCTGCGCGCGCTGGCGTTGTCCAAGCCGGAAATGGCGAGCACCAGCTTGACGTCCACTTTCCTGACGCCGGATCCCAGTTTTAATTGGTGTGTTGGACTCTTGGATCCTCCTGGAAGTCGAGCTTGTGTGCTAATTGTGCTAGGTTTTTCCTGCTTGAATTGATCGTGTCTTGCATCCTGTAAGTTTCCGCGGAGCGACAGCTCACACCCGGCTAATTGGGAAAAAGTGCCCTGTTCTTCTTGCTCTACTTTAATCGACTCTTCGCGACTGTCATCTCGTACGCGATCCGAGCGTACACCTGGTACTATTACCGCGCATATGTCGATATCAACGCACTGCAGGTCTCCCTACTTGGTGGGAGAATCTTCTTCAAGGGCATTCGGTACCATGGCGTGAACGAGACGATATTCATTCATGGAGGGTTCATTACGTGGCGATATTGGACACGAACGGTCGAACGAAATGATCTGACGGGGATAAGGCGCAAGACCGGTGTGGCCGACGATGCGTCGACACAAGGACATGCACGCGCTCCACACGAGGGGGACGACGGTCTCGGGGAGCAGGCTGGTGTGGGAAAGACGACTCAACTGCCGTGTCGCATCACAATTAAGACATACGGTCTTGAATGGTTCATCTACAATCGGACTCCGGCATACGACAGTATTCTTGCTGGATTCGGGTACTCGCCCAAGAATGTTGACTTGGACGGCGACAACTCCAACCCCCCAGTGTCGCGTTCCGGGGCCCAAGATGGAGGAGATGGCATCGACGTTGACTTTCAAGCTCCGCCAGGTCATCGGTCAACCTTGAAAACCATGTCAGAGCGCAGTATGAGCGATGGTGGGGCCTCTGTTTATAGAGAAACTGAGCTATCAGACCCTGTTTCGAACATGCTGCAACTCCTACCAGTGCGATTGGATTGCAAGAAAGGAGCAATAGTCATGGGAAATGAGCACACACGGTCCGTCCTGACAACGACATTCGATACAGGAACAGGCACCATGGATGCTTCTAACTCGGGCCCTTTTGACTTGTATCGGCAAACATTCTCGTTTCACCTTGTTAACCCCGTCATCCAAATGAGACCGAATCCCGACTTCAAACAGAGCCAGCCCGCAACTGCAAAAGCTTTAGGTGTCGCGCAAGAGAAGCAGAAAGGGTCGAAGAATAAGAGACAAAATGTCTTCAACTATCAGTTCCAGAAACGCAAGGTCTGGCACAGTATTCGTGACCTTGTCCCTTACTTTCAGAGTTCCGTCGAATCTTTCCATGCAAACAGCAAACAATCCAGCATGCCACGAAGCCAGGCAGAGTTTCCTGAAGTGCGCTGGACTGGCCTTTCTCGATATCTGGACGAGGGAGGTGAAGACGATCATGAAAAATGGAATTCTGTCGAATATGCTAGGTATTCCACTCTTGTGGACAGCCCTAGTATAGACATCACTTACTTCTGGGATATTCCTGGGCGAGTGGTTATACAACCAACGTCAAGCGATGAGCCCCACCCTGTGAATACCAACATCAATTGTGCTTCTCCCCCAGAATGGGGTATCGATGTCAAGATTGAGGGAGGAACGATCAACTATGGGCCATGGGCTGATCGAGAGCGAATTGGCCTCCAGAATGTCTTCTTCCCTAATTTCTATCGCAGTGCGGAGCCTGCTGAGCAGTTGGCGCCCGGTGTGCTGCGACAAAGCACATCTTTTAGGTTGTGTGTAGAGATCAGCGACGAACTTACTCTGCGCATACCCACCAGAGAGTCATCTAAAGACTGGCAATGGAAAGGTCGTGCCGACGCTGTTGGGGGTGCGTCACGGACGAAGAAGCCAGTTGAAAAGAAGACGACTCGGGGTAATGATGGGGAGAAAGGCCATATGGGACCTGAAATCCGTCCTTTTGGGTGGCTTTCCCTTTGCGTTGCCGCCGACTCTACCATAACCTATACCATGGATATGGTAGCCTCGAGCACAGGATTCCGTAACGAACTTTCCCTTGACCTGCGCGAATCAAGGCTGTCTTCCAGTATCAATCACGGCTTGTTATGGCAATGTCCACGACAACAGGTCACTTGTGACCTCTCCAATCCTCTGTCATGGAACAGCCTCCGCTCTTGGAGATTCACCGCCGAAAGCCAGAAACTACAGTTGTTCCTACTGCGTGATCACATATTTCTTCTGACTGATCTGGTAAGTGATTGGGCATCGGGTCCACCTTCAGACTACTACACATTTGTGCCTTTTATCTACAATCTCGACCTCAATTTCACCGACTTTGAACTCTTTATCAATGTCAACGACCGGAATATTATCAGCAATCCTTCGGATCTGGAGGACAACCGATTCATTGTCATTAAAGGCAAGCGCCTAACATCAAATGTCTTGACACCTTTGAACAAATACCTCCCCGAGCAAAATGCCATTGAGTTCAGAGTTGGCCTCGAGGATGGCGGCGTGGACTACGCTACCCCTTTGTGGGATACTCTCCATGAGTTTTTGCCTGAACGGTCTATGGCTACTCTTGAAAGTCTTTTTATCGGCGGTTCGTACAATTACTTCCAGCAGACTTCTCCTGAATTGACCGACACTTTGGTCCTCAACATTGATGGTGTCTCGCCCAGGCTCTTCCTTTTTGGATTCTTGATCAAGAGCTTCATGACCATCAGAGAAAATTATTTTGGCGAGGAGATGCACTTCAAGACCTTGGAGGAATACCAAGAGTTGGTATACGCGGATGAGCCACCATCGAATCCAACTGGCATCAATCCAAACCGGAAGTCAAATGACATGGACGTGCTTGTCCGTGTCACAGTTGACAAACCGCGTGCCCTGCTTCCTGTGAATATCTATGATACTTTCAAATGCATGGGCCTTAGTGCAGCCTCTCTTGAGGTGGATTTGCGATTCACCAATTATTACATGGACTTGCAGTTTTCTGTAACTCCGCTGAAACTTGATTTGGAGACCATTCAGCCAGAGGGTCCGTCTACAATGTCTGCCACCCAGCTATTTATCGATGGCGTCTCGGTCTACGGCCATCGTCTCTTCGGTCTGCCACCACTCGAACCGACTTATGTTTGCAACTGGGATTTTGAAGTTGGCAAAATAGTTGGAGAATGCTCTGCCGAGTTTCTCTCTTGCTTAACCTCCTCTGTGAAGAGTTTTGATTTCTCGTTCGACAACGAGGAAAATGCACTGCCAACACTATTCCCGGAGATTCTGCACGACGTTACTTTCTTGAGGGCTAAGATCGACTCAATTCATATTTCTGTGCTTTTGGAGCAGTCTGCTATAGTCCTGAGCACCCAGCCTTTGAATGTGAAATTCAACGACTGGGCCAATGCCACATTTTCAAAACGCATGAGCCTGGTCATACCAGGCATTTCGATCGCTGCTGTGGATCGCAAAGTTGCTAGTCAATCTAACCCCCTGGCTGGGGAGACAGTGTCTCCAATTGGACTAATCCAAATCACGGTTGGGTTGAAGATGGCTTTGCGTAAATCCGACATTGTGGAAAACAGAAGACTTCAGCAAGAACATATCAGAATTCATGATCAGCGAACTCATCGCGCACAGTGGCTTCTACTTGATTGGGACGAAACAGGTCCTGCCTCAACTGTGCATGAAGAAGATGATGTGTTTCCCCCGACTATGGCGATACCCTCAATGCCAGAGCCTATACACCGTGGGATTGGCTCGAGCTTTACACAGTCAATTCGGGGAGCCTCAGCATCCCGTCCAAAGGGGAGTGCCGAGAGCTTCCTTGTTCCATCAGAGGCATCAAGTCTTAAGGGCGTCCGGATACATAGTGGAAGCAGTCCTAGGGTTGCTTCCGATCCAGTGTCTCAATCGCGACCTGATCTTCCTGACCGGGGATCAAGTTGGTCTGTGTCTCAAGGTAATCGGTCGAGAGATGGAACTCAACCTGGATCCCGAGCAGGGAAATTCTCGTCATCTACAGTGAGAGATACAAACCCATGGATCATGCCTCAGTTTTCATATCACAAGCTCCGGTTCGATACTTCCGAGCTTCCGTTGCCATTCTCAAGTGACGATGATCATTCCCGAAATGATGACCCTTCAATACACCAACGGCCCTTGTTTCTTACATTTGACGATGATCAAACGACTTACACAAATCTGGCAGTTGATCTGCCACTTGGTATTCGAGGATTCTGTACTCCAAGATTTCTTTTGAGCATTGCTTCTTTATTGGATGGTTTGGAGCCCAAGCACCCCACACAGGTCATTGACTCTCTCCAAAAAGGTGTGATATCAAGCATTGTGGGATCGGACAAGGCTGTCAGCAAACCAAAGTCCTCCACAGCCGTTTCTCTGCGTGTTCCATCCATTCAATTCCGACTGGTTGATTTATCCGAAGCTCCCAACGATCAAAAGGTCGAGTTTCGAGATGAGTATAGCATTGGGATTCGCCGCCTGCGGACCGAATTCTGCAAGAAGGTTCACCGTCAGAAGGATGACATTCTTCAGGGTGTGAAGCAAGATATTACAGCTCATGTAGCAGCAGATCATGTATCACTGACGGTCGAGGGAAGTCGGGCCGACAACTTCCACGAAAAAGCCGTGTTCAATACCCACTTGGAGGACTTGAATGCCTGGCTAGTTACTTCGCCCAATGTGCGCGCTAATCTTCAGATGCGTACATTCGACACGATGACAGGTGCAAAATCCGTGGAGCGTCTTGCATTCCTTGTCCGGCGAGCGACGACGATGCTCGATTCTGTCGCGTCATCATTCCAACAGCTTTCAACATCTAGCGAGAAGCGTCTGAAATATCTCATGTATTCGCTTACTCAATCATCCGCTGATGTTCCGGATCCGATATTCCTTGCTCGCATTTCTTATGTTCTTCGGGTAGCTTCCACACATCTTCGACAGCATGATTCGTGGAAAATCATCTCTCGCATTCGCGGCATCTACAAAACGTTGCCAGACCATCGTCAGCGTGATCTAGAGCGTAAATGCTCACGTGTCAATCCTCCTTTGCCAGCTAATTCCAAGAAGACGGTTATCTCTGGCTTTGATAGCTGGCGAGCCTGGGACCTAGCTCACGTCGAGAAAAGCTATGTCATGCGTCGAGTCTGGCCTCCCACTGAGCCCGACAAGAAGAGCCCGCAACCTTCCATTTTCGCATCATCCACCATCCAAACCTTCCGGTTCTCCCTAGACCCTGGCCCCAGAGAAAGCAATCTGATCATAGAGAACCTGTCTACTGCTGCGTCTCTCAATCCGAATTGGACAGGACGCGAAGGTGAACAACAATATCGCAGAAACCTCATCACCTTGCAATCGTATTGCGACTCTTCTGCCCTAAGAATTCGATGGGAAATCCTGGATCTAGTTGAAGGCGTGGTCAAAGTCATGTCTAATATTACACTGGAATCATCGCCAGGTCATGCTCCAGCCGATGCAACCGAGAAGAAAACACCCACAGAGTTGCAAGTCATGGTGGGAACTGACTTTGGATCCATAACCCTCGATGGCATCAATGTGAAGCTTGCTTTGGTGGCTAAGGCTCTTCGAGGCTCGCTCGTTCAAAAGTCTCACGGTCCCACGGACTCAAAACACGAAGACCTTTCCTTGCTGTTCAGCGCAGAAGGCTGCTCATCTGAGTTGCAGAGTCAATCTACCAGTCTCATGCTGTCCAGAATCGCTGATCCCTACCTTAATCTCTCTGTCGCGTCAACACATGGCCCTAATGAGTCCAAGCATGACTGGAAGTTCGCATCCTCTTGCCGAAAGCTTCGTTATGATATAAAGGAAGACCCTCTCAGCTTGGCACACACGGTTGACAGACTCATCGCGGATGAAGTTCGGTACATCCGACAGCTTGTGGACAATATCAAGCTCCCAAAATCTCAAGTCGAGCAAGCAACGGCTTCGGACAAGCCCACCAAACATACTTTCCACGTGGCCATGTTCTTGGAGGACTATAGATTAACTTTCAGCCTCTTACCGTCACTCACCTACCTTGTCTCAGGTGAAGTGGCTCGCATGTCGGTCATGCCTGCGAAGGGATCAAAGCTCGAGGTTGACTTTGACATTAAGAAGAACTCACACATGTTTGTTTCCGGGGAGCACGAGCGATTCCATGTTGTTTCGATATTGGAGATACCCCCTGTAAACGGTCGAGTCCTTGCAAACTTCCTCTCAGATCGCAAGGAGGTGGAGGTTGATGTTACAATCGAAGTCATCCGCCTGGAGGCCAGCTCCGTGCGCAGCCTTTTGGCTGTTTTGACGGGGCCCGATGTCTCCCATTTGGTGACAGATCTGAAGCAAACTGTCGACATTCTCCAGGCACATTTGGAGGATGTACTGGCATTACAAAAGACATCGCCCAAACCCAAGCCGTCATCTGATGGCCAAGAGATCCTTTACAAGTCACGTCTTACAATGGCTGGATTTGAGATCCATGCTATTGCACCTGGTCTTAACAGCAAGGACTACTCCGCAGAGATGATCTTCAGTCTCGGAATGATGCGAATGCGACTTGAAAATGGTCTCGACCGGGGCTATGCCATGGAACACCCTGAGTTCAACATCGATGCCTCTCAAATCAGCTTCGAACTGCTCAGACAAGACAAATTCAAGAGCCGCTCATACGGCGGTTTCACTGCTGGTGTGAAACTTGAAGGAACTTCCGCGATTCGCGAAAATGGCGAGGTCACCAGAGCATACCATTTCACTAGCGAGAAATTCGACATCGAACTCTATGCGGAAACGGCAGCTCTTGTGGTCGATATTGCAGTCCATACACAAGAGCGCATCAAGACATTGGATCTTTCCCATGAAGTCAAGCGCCTTAAGAAGTTGAGGCGGCGTGGTCATACCAATTATTTCACGGATGGAGCTACCGATGCCCCCGAGATCCAGCTCAACGACGATGCACCCCCGGAGACGTTCCTTGATGCACTATACTCCTTGCATTTCCGAACCATTCAAGTTGCCTGGAACATGGCTACAATCAAATCCAGCTCTGGCCGAAACCCTGAAGACTTGTTGTTTTCTATACAACAAGTTGAGCTGTCCAACAAGAAAAAGAATGCAGCTAAACTTCGGATCGAGAATATGCAACTTCAAATGGTTCCCTACGGCGCAGACAGAGGAAAGCGGTCGCTCAACTCAGCCCTCATGCCGGAGCTGGTATTCAATGTGGCGTACGCATCCAAAGGAAAGGAGCTGTGGCTTGCTTTCCAAGCAGCTGGTAAATCCCTTGATATACGAGCTACGTCGGAGTTCATCATCCCAGCGAACATGATTCGAGATTCTATTGCCACCGCAAGTGAGGCACTCCGCGAAGGTCAAGCCGTTTGGGCGACCAGAGCATCATCGTCCGAAAATACGGACACGGACAAAGATCGCAACCTTTTTGGTAACAAACGATTACGGTCTCTCTTGATCGATGTCGACTTCGCTGGTGCTACATTGACGCTTCAAGGAAAGCTTGGTCATGACCATCAAACCTTGCTGGCTGCTACAAGGCAAGGCTACAAGGCCTCTGACCAAAGGTATTTCCAAGGAGACGCGGCAACTACAGCGACTGTTCGCGCTCCTGGTGTGGCTCTGAAAGTTCAGTTTGAAGACAATGGCACCGATGATCCCGCACTCAATGCAGAATTGAAAGTCGACCCTTCTACCAACACTTTGCACCCAACTCTTGTTCCTCTCGTCAAGCAAATGACAGCTACCGTGAAAGAGATATTGGGCAACCAGCAAACCCAGCAAACTGAGCAGAGCCAGCAACGCAGACCGTCTACAACGGCCAGATTACAACCACAAAAGCTGATGCAAGAAAAGCCTTTCGGTGCCGATGATCCCACTAGCATTCTTGGTCGATGCAAGGTCAATCTGGGACTGCTGTTCTGCAAGCAAGAATTCAGTTTGAGCTGTCAACCGATTGCAAGAGTGGCCGCCACTGCGAGGTTTGAGAGTGTCTATGTCACCATCAACACTGTTCTTTCAGAAGAACAGGGCCGATTCCTTGCTCTCTCACTGGCATTCAATGGCTTAGAAGCTTCTGTCAAACACGTCTACTCCAATGAGTCAACTGCAAGCTTTGAGGTCAAATCCATGGTGCTTTCACTGATGAACAACAAACATCTTGGCCGGAAGAATGGAATGTCCGCCATTTTGCGAGTCAGCCCAATGAAGGTTGCAGTCAATGCAAAACAGGTTCAAGATTCTTTGCTCTTCAAGGAAATCTGGCTTCCATCAGACAATACGCCCAGTTCAGGCGAGAACATCCCGCCAGAGCCGTCCGAGACCCAAACCTACATCGTACAGCGATACCAGCAGGTTGCATCGGCATCAGCTTTCCCGTGGAACACTACCATCGCGATCGAAAAGTTGGAAATTCAGCTTGATCTTGGCTCCACGCTGGGCAAGGCGCAATTCGCCATTGTCGATTTGTGGGTTGCTACTAGCAAAACATCCGCCAGTGAGCAGAACATGTGTATCAATTTCGGTTCTGTTGCAATCGAGAGCAAAGGTCGCATGAGTGGAATTGTCGAGCTCGGCAAGCTCAAGGTTCACACATCCATCGAATGGCCTGAAGAATCCCGCGAAGCCGGCCATACTCCGCTGATTCAGGCTTCTGTTGCTTTTCACCATCTCCAAGCTAAGGTTTCCTTTGACTATCAGCCTTTCCTGGTCGCTCGGATCACCATGTTCAATTTCTTGATGTACAACGTCCGCGATACATCCGGCGACCAGAGCCAACGGCTGTTCAGTATTTTGGATGGAGACAAGGTCCAACTTTTCTGTACATCACTCACAGCATCTCAGAGTCTGGCTCTTTTCCAAGCATGGCAGCGCTTGATTCAAGATGTTCAAGCAGCCTACGATTCCTCCTTACGCGAAGTTGAGCGATACTTGCGCCGCAAATCTTCAGCTTTGCCTGAACGCCCCCAAGTTGGTCCCAAGCATCTGTCAAAAAGCAAAGAAGATCAACCTGAGAAGACACCTATCTCCCTTCACACCGGAGTGGTTGTCAACATCCGTCACGTCAACCTGGGAGCATTCCCTAGCTCATTCTTCGACAATCAGATCTTCAAGGTAGAAGCGTACGATGCTCAAGCCCGCTTCGCCGTGTCCCTCGAATCCAAAAAGCTTCACAGCGCACTTGGTCTGACTCTGGGTCAACTGCGCGTCGCTCTCTCCGGCATCACCCGTCCCACCTCTGCCCAATTAGACGAACTGTCCGTGGACGAAATCGCCGAGCGAGCCGCTGCCTCTCGCGGCGGAACAATCCTCAAAGTACCTCGCCTGGTGGCAGGCATGGAAACCTGGCAAGCACCAGGAACCCATCAAATCGACTACACCTTCCGCAGTACATTCGAGGGCAAAGTTGACGTCGGCTGGAACTACTCGCGCATCAGCTTCATTCGCGATATGTGGGAAACGCACTCGCGGGCACTTGCTACACGACTTGGAAAGCCCTTGCCACCTTCTGCTGTTCGCATCACCGGTGGGCCGGGTAGTAGCCCTGAAGGAGACACCGAGAAGCAGGAAAAGATTACTGCTGTTGTCAACGTTCCGCAGTCCAAGTATACATACACTGCGCTTGAGCCGCCTGTCATTGAGACGCCGCAGTTGCGGGACATGGGTGAGGCTACGCCGCCGTTGGAGTGGATTGGGTTGCAGCGTGATAAGTTGCCCAATGTGACTCATCAGATCATTATTGTTACTCTTTTGGAGATTGCGAAGGAGGTTGAGGATGCATATGGGAAGATTTTGGGATCGTAGTCACATACTGCGTGTCAATTCTGCCCTTCCGAGGTTCTTGGTGATTTGTTATTCACCATTGTATTTTTACTGTTTAGTTAAGTGATACCATTGCTCCATGAATGTACATATTATTGTATTAGAATTTTCAATCGGAGAGTGCTAGTAACGAGGTTAATGGGGACCTGGATTCGAACCAGGGTCACTGGAGTACAGACTAACACGGCTGATGTGCACGACTCAGCCTCGCGCTAATGCATAAACCTTGGCGTCGTTGTTCTGGCCGGCGGTTACGTTGCTTGGCGAGACATATAAAGCAATGGGTATCCCGGGTTTGACCAAGAAAATAAAACCCTGGTTTGCGCACGGGATCTCGTGAGATTATTATCTTCCTTTAAACAGTCATGGCGGTTTATCTCTCCCAACCTATCCTTGACGAGCTTGTTCAATTTGTCGAAAATGACCCCACCTATGAAGACTCCGTGAAGGCAATGGCTTCTGGGATTCTCAGTTACTACTTTTCGGCGGCCAATGGCTACGCAGTTGCACCAGGACGAAACCGAAACAACAACTTCGTAGACTTCTTCATTCTCCGTATTCAAAGTCGGTTCCCTGGAGAGCGAGGTCTCATTGATCATACAGTTCCCGGAGCAAAACGCGCAAGTGATCAACTACAGGCGTCGTTAGAATCACTTGAGAATGCCCTTGAGCATGCCAACACTCAATTTGGAAGATGTTGGGCGATTATGATTGATGGGATCGATTTCAAGTTCTACGAATATCATCGAAACCTACCTGAGCACGCACGTCTTATCCCCTGGGGCCCTCCCAACCAACCGCGGAACTCATTCCATGCGCGCAATGATAGTGCTGAACTTGATTGGATTCTGAGACATATGGCACAAAATGATACTCCGCCCGTTAAAGACGCTTCAATGGATTGAATAGACATGGTATAAAGGAGAGTTGAAGGTTGAACGGACATGAATAACTCGGTTTCAAGTCCAGGATGAAGGGTGAACCAGATTTCTGGCCCATTTAATGCAATTATGTTATAAATGAACATGAGTTAACAACTATAGTCCAAGCCATAAGCCAATCCAGAGAATGAGTTGTTGAAAAGGATTATGTACTGTATGTGTGAAGGCACATTTAAGACAAGCTTTCCCAGGAATTGTAGCTCTGGTGGTAACTGGGGAGGTGAAGGTTTGCGGAGTCGCAATTCCAATGATTGAACAAGACCTTCGGCTCTAACCTCACATCCTTCCCTCTTTCCAAAACCGCGGTTTCCATGTATCCCGCCAGGTTTAGGTACCATACAGGCTTTGTACTCGCAGTCCATACAAACGTACCGATAGTCGAAAGAATAATTCTTCAGACCAAGACATTCCAAGTGTTGCCAAGCATAGCATTCAGAACAACGGATACCGCACGTCTGCAGTCCAGTCACTCCAGTGCGCTCGCCGCAACAAGGTATAGAGGACTCGAAACTTTGTACGTCAACGTTCTTGAACTGGGATTCTGAAGCGTAGTAGCATTGCTCAGCAGCGAAGGATGCCTGCGAAAATGCTACGGCATCTCGCGGTTCCAATTCATGAAGAATCATCTGAACAACCTCAAGCGGCATGTGGACAGGCCACTTCTCCCTATGGGCGCGAGGCTTCCTCCAGCAGTTTGATGTTAGAACCCGGGCTAGAGCGCGGAACCCAGGTGAACATTCGGTGCCTGAATAGTTGGAAAGCAATACCAGGCCCCTAGAGGCCAGAGCGACCTCACGAGAAAGCTCCACAAAAACCAGATGACGTGGTGAAATTACAATCAAGCAAACGTCGTCATGGCTGAGCCGAGAGTCGCCAACATATGATTTGGCTGTTGACACAGCCCCGTTTATCATGGCTGTTGGTTCAAGGTCATCCTGCAAGATAAGAAGATATCCATGAAACCAATAGACATCCGCGTCGGGGTAGCTCCAAAGGGGAATGGACGCGAAAGAGATCGGAAGCTCAACATTGCAAACGTTGCAATCGAAAGACACCTCAAAATCCCAGGCTACAAGACGCAGGAAAGCAACACAGAATACCCTGAATACAGGAGAATCGTATCTCCAAGTTGAAGGGTCATCGAGATAAAAGCGCCAGACAAAAGCGAGGTCGGTAAAGAATCGCTCTTGTAGCTCGTTCATGGGTGTAGGGATGCCAAAGTCGATTTCAAACGTCTCAAATTGCTTTGCTTGTGCCTTGTTGCTCACACAAGTATAATCACTCAACATATATTGAGGCTTCCGCATCATATCAAAGTTTATCCGAGATATTTCATGGATCTTGGTGAGATTCATTTGTACCGCCGAAGGTGCAGATAATTCATTCCATAAGGAGATTGTGAAAGTGTCTGCGTCTATATCGGCAGTGTATATGTAATTCAGATCCCTGTGAATTGGGCTAGAGAACGGGACTGCTTCCCATCCTTCAAGGTTGTTGGACTTGTCGCATAGATGTTTGATTGTTCACAATGTCGATAATGTCAATTCATCGTGAGGGGGAGTTATTTGGCCTTCAGGGCGATAGCAACGGTACCATTCCCCTAAGAGAATATGTCAGTGTTCGCAAATCATATAGTACAGACCATCACCAACCATTGAGGTGTAAGTTCCAGAGCCCTCTACACCCTATCTCCTTATCCGGAAACCCTAACTCAGCCAACAAGTCATCCTCAGATTCATCCAAATAGTCATCCATAAAGTCCTGGAGGGAAAAGTTTTATGTGTAATTTAAGGATATGCTGGGGTGTGGAGCTGTTATACGCAGTGGACTGGTGTGATCATCGCATGGAAAGCAAGGTGAAGTTTCTCTGCGAAAGAAGGAAAAACACTCACGACTCGAAGTACGTCAGTTTTGTGGAGAAATATTTGAAGTCAGCTGACTTACCTGCCCAGGTGGGCACTGGCTTCTTATTTTATCATTATAATTATTGGCTAGTTAACTGGCAATCTACATACAATAGCGACACATCAACCACTAGTAGCTTCCATAGGACCTGAAAGGGCCGGTTACCAAGATATCTTCCGACTTCAGGACAATCATGAAATCAAAATGTACAGCACTCTTGAGAAAATATACAAGGCAAGGTTTGACAATCAACATAATAATGCATTTTTACAAACTCAATCTATCATCTAGCATACGAGAAACCAAGGTTTCCACTAACAAAAGGGAATTCATTATCATTGACTGGGCATTGAAAACACCCAGCCCGGATCGGCTTCCAAATTAAAGACCGAATTGAGTGCGCAGGGAAGCAGCGAAGCGGGAAATAGCTTCATCAATCTTCTCAGAGGAAGCAGCTGCAAAAGTAGCACGGAAGAACATGTTTTCTTCGACAGTGTCGCGGTCGGGCTTGAACCAGCTACCACGGGACAGGAGGACACCTGCGTCGACAGAAGCCAAGAAGATCTCTTCTTCGATCTCTGCGTGGGTCTTGCCGGCAGCTACGCCGGGGTGCTTGCGCCAATCAACCTTGATCCAGTGCTGGTGGGAGTGTCAGTAAAACAAGAAAGAGGCTGAGAGAGATGGAGAGTTATGACTTACGAACATGCCTGCGGCAGGGGCGTCCCAGTGAGCGATCTCGCGGGGCAGATGCTTTTCACAAGCATGAACGAGCGAGTCGCGACGGGTAGTGTATGACATGCGCAGGTTAATCAACCAATCCAAGTACCCAGAGTGACCCCAGTGCTCATCGAGAAGCTTGAAGAGAGCCATTTGAGCAATACCGCTAGGGTTCTGCGAAGACACCTCGAAGTTACGAATGAATCGTTCGATGATTTGGTCGGAGGCAACGATCCATCCGACACGGGTACCGGGAGAAACAACCTTGGAGAAAGACTCCAAACGAACCACACGGCCATCAACATCCATACTCAGGAACGAGGGGACCAGAGACTTGATGAAGTCCTCGTGGGTAGCAGGGGGAGGAACTGGTTTAGCGTCCTCGCCAACATATGGCTGCATTTGTAGGAAGTAGTAGGGCTCGTCTTCGACGATGATGACATCGTGCTTCTGGGCAACCTTGTAAACGGCACGGCGGCGGTCTGCTGACTGGGTGGCACCAGTAGGGTTCTGACCTGTGGGAATGGTGTAAAGCACATGAGGCTTGCGAGCGCCGCGAGCGTTGACATCCCAGTTGCTGAGAATGTCGTCCATTGCTTCGGGGAGGAGACCTTGTTCGTCCATTGGGATGCCGGCGGCCTTCAGACCCAAGGGGAAGGCAGTTTCAGCGGCACTGGCAAAGGTGTATTCCTCCATGAGGATGTAGTCGCCCCGCTCGCACAGCAAACGGAGGGCAGTGTCCCAGGCGTAGGTGCTGCCCGCTGTCAAAGTGCATTGCCAGTCAGAGTAGGGGGGAGCATGGATAATCTACTTCATTTTAGTAGTGAATAAGAGTAAACGGGGTTATCCTTGCTGACCTCGGTGTGCTCAGTCACAAAACGAAGCAATGGCGCAGCTCCGGTAGCTTGTCCATAGTTAAGTGCAATCTCCAAGTCTAGGAAACAATCTTGTTAGTATTCAACCAATGCATGAGGCAAAGGAACATGGCTCGTACCATAAGTGCTGGTGCCTTCTTGGATATCATGCTTTCCAGCGCGCAACACTGTGCCTGACTTTTGAGTCTCCTCGGGAGAGAATCCTGGCACGGTGGGAACCTTGATATCGAGGTGCTCGAAGGGGAAGTATTCAGCCGAGGGCAACCCACCGCCGAGAGAGATCAGGCCTTGGTTCGAGTTAGCATATAATTTTAGTAAAGGTTGATTGAGACTCACCTGGGTTCTTGAGGTAGCGAGCGGCGGTCTTCAAAGTGGACGCCTGTACGAAGCAATATTAGCAACTATAGGGATCACATTGCGCAATTGATTGCTCACCTTGCGAGACTTGGCTTCAACGGAGAATCGGTCTATACATAAAGAGATAGTCATCAGTACGAGAAAAACATAATCCCAAATGGTTTCGAATAAACCAAACAAGCAACACTGGACTCACGTTCGAAACGCTTGGCCTTGGGCTTGGTGTAACAAACCTAGATGTATCAATCAACAGTCAGCATCTGTAGTGAAACCCAATTGACCCTGCTGCAATCTATACTCCGACATTCAAGGTTCATTCAAACTGCAAACTGCATATAGATCATACCGGGCTCTTGAACATATCACTGTTGCATGCTGCCGCCACACCAGTGGGGATGTTGGCCGTCTTTGCTCTCCACGCAGAGATGCCATTGACAGCAAGTGGGTCCGGAATAGGAACGGTTGAAGTGTCGGACACTCCTACAAGGTTGACATCGAGGGCCGCGGGGGGACTCATTGTGATCGGAACTGTAGCGGTGTGAATGCGAGATCGGAGGTATAAGTGCAGTGTAGATGAGCGAGGTGGGGGTGGTTCAGCAGGATTTAACTGCAATTCTGAGCCTTAAGAAGAAGGAAGCAGCAATCCAATATATATTAACTCCAACAAAGAGACACTTGAGAGCAAGAGGGACTTCGGAGCGGCGAAAGCTTCACGGCGAAAGCGGACCGGCCTCTTATCGCGTTATCAGTTCGGGCACATGACTCACTCGGGGAATACAAGGTTGTTTACTTTGTATATAATACGGCTGTAAATTCAGGATTTCAAGCTAGATAGGCTTAATTTACTTCCATTTTGACTCGCTGATCTCCAGAAACTAGGGCGCACTTGTATATTTCCTCCAACTTTGACTCGGCGCCTTGTACTTGACACCGCGGGGTCACAGGCGGTGAGGAAATATGCCGACATCTGCCGGACAAAATCAAAGCGGTAAAGCCCACCTACATCGGAGCCAAGAAAGTCATTGTTGTTATGAAGCTAATTCAAGATTGCTCAACATATTTACCAGATGACCCATCAAGCTGCGTCTCCAGAACTGCTGCTTTGCCCTCAAGAACACTTTTGATGGCATCTGGGAGCTTCTGCGCCAGCTCGGCCACCGTGGATGCACGCCCAGCCCACAACTCACCACCCGCGGCAGCCTTGGCGATACCTGCATAATCAGGTGTAGGTGCAAATGAAATGTTGAGGTCTTCGTTCGTTGCACGGGAGCCATCACCCTCAGGGTGAACAAGCAACATGCTGCGTCGAGGAGCATTCCAGCCCTTGTTGTTTAAGACGATGGTCAAAATGGGAATTCCATATCGGCGAGCAACCCAGTAGACAGATCCAGGCACGGAGAATAAGAATGAGCCGTCGCCAACAACTTGGCAGATGAATTTGCCCTTTCCAGGACCTCCATGCTGCACATCACTGGCGAGCTTGATTCCAAGGGCACCACCTCCGGACCATCCAAGGCCACCTCCTCCGCAGTTGATCCATGAGTTGGGCAGGGTAGCGGACACCTGATCAGCAACAAACTGGCTACATGTCACAGCCTCGATGGCCCAAATAGTATCGTCGGGAACACCCTGGCGAACTTGTCCCATGAGATAATTGATGTTCAATGAAGCATCATCCCCGCCTTCGGGTACGGCAGCTAATGCTTGAATCGCTTGTCGGCGTTGGAGGTACTCCTCGTCCCGGCGCTTGCCCATAGTCACGTTCTCAATGGAGCCGATAAACTGCTGTAAAGACGCCTGCGAGGCAACATAGTCATTGATCTGCTTCAGGGCATTAGAGGATTCGGCACGGAAGGTTGCCATTGCATTGAGGTAGAAGACCGGGATCTGTTGCTTCAAAGGATCAACATCAATGTGAATGATCTTGGCTGATGGTGATGGTTTGAATTGCGTGGGAACCCATGGAACATCGCAATCAATAACTAGAATGAGGTCGGAGGTTTCGACCAATTCGTGCCCAGGATACTTCATTCCGAGCCATGCTGGGTGATCGGCAGGGAAACACATGTCACTACCACCTGTATCCAGGACTCGGATTCCCTTGAAGTTGGTAGCCAAATTGACCAGCTCAGTCACTGACTGAGCTTTTCTCCCCGAGTATCCGGCAATAACCAACGGGTTCTTCGCTGCCGCAAGTTCAGAGGCAATGAATTCCACTCCAGAAGCGGGCAGCGCTGTTGGCGACACAGGATTCCAATGATTCTGGTTCAACTGATACGGCTCGATCTCCTCTTCCATCACTTCTCGTGCTCCCATCAGATACACAGGGCCCTGTGGGTCACTAGTCGCGAATTGAAGTGCGCGGTTCACAATCTGCTTAACATTTTTGCCGGTTTTGATTTCACCGGTATACCGACAGTATTGCGCAACAATCTGTTTCTGATCGGGCACATCTTGGATCCAGTGGATGTACTCTGTTCGCGAGCCTCTCATTTCACCCTCGATAGTATAAGGTGAAAGACCAGCAAAGATGAGAACCGGAGCGCGCCCGCACGAGGCATTATGCACTGCTGCGCCAAGTCCCTGTGTTCCGACATCGACATGAACAATCACAGCTTGGGGCTGACCGGTCAATCGCGCATAGCCATCGGCCATCGACAAGGCCACCATCTAAATCGAGTTAACGTGAGCGGGAGACGATGCAGTGGGTCGCATGATGTAATTATTGACGAACCTCATTGGGACAAGTAATAATTCTTGGGAATTGATCCCTCTTTTCTTTCTGGCCTTTCACCATGGCCTCCAGAATGGAAGGGTGGTCAGACCCCAGGTTAACGAAGACATGTCTCACGCCGCCCTATACGATTTAGATGAATTAGTTCACTTTTATGGCTGCAACACCCGAAGCGTAAGAAGCAACTCTAACCTACCTCCCACAGAGCTTCAAAGAAAGCAAACGAAGTCGTATAACTCCTGAAATAGGTGAGCGACAATCAAGCTGTTTTGGGTAGAGGTCTGACATCTTTCTGTAGAATTAGGACAATCTTGGTAATTGACAGAATTGGGTTCTCAAATACCCGCAGAGATTCCCAAGACCCTATTATAAGTTTTTTTGTTCAGCTGAGGGGCAGCAGTGCTGATCAAGCCCCAGAACCTGGGGAAGTACAAATTGAGATCTCGGCCATAACTCCGATGAGGAGGCGTGGGGGTTGAGGTGCAAATGTATCGGCTTAACCGTACCTCCCGGCAATAAACTATTCCCTTGGATTTCCGAGCAGTCGAAGCTCTGTCTTTCGGAAACATCCCCATCGTAAGCATCGAGCGCCTGGTGGGCCGCGATCGAGGGGCAATTTGAGACCCACCGGGATTTGGTCTCCGATCTGAGTCTCAACTGCAGAGCCCAGAGACTTACTCGTACTTGAACTGGGAAAGACAGGCCATGTTACTAATGAATGTGGCAGAAATATCACATGTACAGGGATTCGAAGCTTACTTTTGGGATGTTGGATACTGGGGGTATTAACCTACACCTGATGCTCCACAACAATTCACCCAGTCCTTCAGCTCAGGTGATCAGATGCTGCATCTCCGTAATCCATTGATCTCTTTCTGAATCTCTCGCAATTCATGATTTCACGTGAAATTCAGGCGGTCAATAACTAGCCAGGCTCAAATTCACATCACTTCGTTTCATCTATTAGCGTTTCATCAGACCGAGACATCGACAATTGTGAAGAACCTACAGATCCACGTGTACGGAGTACTGGGGCTCCCCAATATCAGTCTCAAGCTTGAAACCACCGCTGAGAACGTAAATTTTATGAAAGTCTGATTACTGTGGTCCAAAATTTAGGATTTTTATGCTGCGTCAACACATAAATAAAGTTCCGAATCCCTGACAGGATCATTAACTTATTATTGAGATTGATCTTCAAACATATGATAGTTAGCTTGAAACATCGCGCCTTTTGAGATGATCTGATTTGGATCTAAAGACAGATTTGCCGAGACTTTACCACGCGGACCACGCGATCTCGGCACGAATCTCCCCAACCGCTCGATCCTGTCTCCGCTAATTAGATAAATCGGGGCAAGCCACAGTAAAATCTTTGGCTATACTTTAGCCCAGGCTGTTAGTAGATCTCAAAATCCAGAAGCCTCGGTTCATTCCTTTGAGTACTAGTATCCTTTTTAGCGCACGCCTTTGGTTTCGGGCAGCACTGTCAGGCTATACGCTTGCAAATACGCCCCTGCTTTCGCGTAACGGTTCCTGTCTCGATCACGGGCCGGCAACAAGTATCATTTCCACGATGCCCCACCCACGCCAGCTTCAATAATGGATCCTTTGTGTCGGGGCGTCCGGGGATTTTGAGTCATGTATATAGGGTATCGGTCTCTCTCGTTTTCTGTAGGTTTGCTATTATCAAAGGTTGTTTTAAACTTGTCTCACTGTGAGATTTTTGCACTCGAGCTTTGCTTTGGTATTCCAAAGCCGGTAATATGCAGACTCAATAGCGACTATAACGGACTGCCTACATCCCGAGATCGGAAAGACCGAGATACTTACAGGTCATATCCAATATGGGGACCGCAATGGCCCTGGAAGGCCGGAGCCTAGCCATCTTTATTGTCTCAATTGTTATGATGACGCTTTCCATTGCCACCGTCTCATTACGGACATTTGTTCGTTTGAAGGTTATTCGAGCCTTCGGTTGGGATGACGCTTCAATGATTACTGCAATGGTATGTTCTATGGTGAAACTGCAATGTGATCTCGTGCTGAACCTTGAAATTGTGTTAGTTCTTTTTCATCCTTTTGAACTGTTGTTGTATCATTGGATCGATGAACGGCGTCGGCCACACATACACAGACTTCACAAGTGTCGAGGTTTACAAAAAGGCTCTCCTGGTATGTGCTATCCATGGATATAGCAGAACAACTTTTGCAAGGGCTCAGTTTGGAGTGTACTGACCTCCAACTCTTTTAGTGGTGGTGGCTTGGTCAAATGCTTTATGTGTGGACCTCTGCTGCAGCCAAGATATCTATCGCCCTTGCACTTCTTCGACTGACTATTCGGAGAAGCCATCGGATAATATTGTGGTGCACTACAATCGTCACAATATCGATTGGGCTTATGTTTTGGCTCCTGTTACTCTTTGACTGTTGGCCTATCTCCTTCTTTTGGCGACAGGTGGATCGCACAAGTCAGGGGAAATGCCTTTCTAAGGCAGTGCTCTTGAATTCCGCTTATGTTTACAGCTCTTTAACAATATTGTGCGACCTAACGTTGGGTATATTGCCCGCATTCCTAGTGTGGAGACTGCAGATGAATTGCCGGACAAAACTCGCAGTAGGGGGAATTTTCAGCCTCGGGGCACTGTACGCATTTCTCCCACGTTCCGCTACGCCAAGGACACTACTGACTTTTTTCGAAGTGCTAGCGTGGCAGTGGCTGGCCGGGTCCCATTTTTGCGATATTATTCCGATCAAAACTTTCTTTGTATGTTGACAGCCAATTGTCCCTCCTGAATGAATCTCGAAGCTAATCCTTTCCTCAGACTCCACCTGGCAGATCGCGATTTGGTCCGTCGTCGAGACTGGCCTTGGCATTACAGCGGGTAGTCTCATCACTCTCCGTCCCTTATTCCGCTGGCTTCTGGATGAAAACAGTGCTCCCTCTGAAGATACCCACCAAGAGGATCCACTAAGACAGTATCCACTGCGACTCCTGAGCAGCGACGGCTTGAAGAAATCCCAAGACACGAAATACTGGCGACCTGACATTGACCTTGACGACACTAAAGGCATGTTGATCACAGTGTCGTCACCAAGGAGGAAGAAATTTAGTCTCAGCAACAGCAGCCAAGAAGCTCTGCATGCAGAACCCAGTCCCACACTTTCGCCCAACCGTGTGACTGTCCAAAAAACATTCATACACGTTGTATCCGAGCGACCAAAATAGTTGCAATGGAAAACAAGGTTCTTTTTAAGATTTGGATGCTTTTTCCTCTCCCGTGGTCGGGGCTGTGCTTTACCAAGGTTGGGTTGCCCTGATCTGGCTAGCCCAGGTTCCCCAGGTTTGAGACTCGTAAGGCAACCCGCAAAGCCACTGCTCAACTCAGCTCAGATCCTCATTGCCTGGGCTAATCACCTGCGTGTGATCTTGATGAAAAAAAAGATTCACTGGTCAGCTCATTTACTTGCTTTTCCTGCAGGTTCAGCACGGGCTGAGCCGGTGGGCCTGAGTCGCCCTACGGCGCACGATGGGGTGGATGTGTGACTATCATTGATATTATCATTGGCCCACTCAAGTGCAAGGAGGAGCTGATCCTATGAACAGTCACAATTTCTGCAGCGGCTGAGAGCAACACGAACGCTGGGTCACCCCAACTACCCCCGAAAAGGGTTTAGACTGCCGACCTTGGCGTCGGATCGCGTATCTCACCGACACTAGAGCCCCTATAGCCTCATGCAGGTTGAGCAGAAAGAAGGAATTCCAAGGCGAGCACTGGAAAACATGTCTAGCAATGTGTCAGTGTGCAGTGGATCACCACTCGGGATCCCTTATATAAAGCCAAATCCACCTGCCACATGTTAGTTGAAACCCAAATTCACACCCTTGCATATAATTTTCCTCTATATTGAGAATCCATAATGTCGTTGTGCTCTGAGGGCCACGATGTTCCTTACATCATTCAACAAAGACGCGATGCCAAACTTCCTCCCATGCGTAAGCGTATCATCATCTGCTGCGATGGAACATGGCAATCTGCAGTGTCTGGGAAACGGAATGTACCATCGAACGTGACGCGTCTCTGTCGCGCTATGAACAGTATCGGAACAGACGACGACGGCAACCAATGGCAACAATTAGTCTGGTATGATTCTGGTATCGGAACAACCTCTCTGGCCTTGGGTGAGAAAATCCAGGGCGCGATCGGCCAGGGGCTGGAAGGCAATATTGTGGAAGCATACAACTTCTGCGTCCTAAATTATAACCCCGGAGATCAGATTATGTGTTTCGGTTTTTCAAGAGGCGCATTCACAGCTCGCGCTATCGCTGGACTTATCTCGGACATTGGAATTTGCAACAAGCATGATTTGAATCGCTTTCCGGATCTCTGGAAGGTTTATAAGAAGAATAAGCCGGGCGAGAGATTTTATTGCAGCGACCTCTGGTTCGAGTGGATGGAAGGCAAGGCCGATGAGAAGCAGGGCGCGAAAGGCGACGAGTTCAAATTTTCGAGACTCGGGCAAGGTGATTGGGCCCAGGAGGGGTCAAGGAATGTTGAGGTGGTTGGAGTCTATGACACTGTTGGCAGCATTGGAATGCCAGCACTCTTTGGGATGAAGCTTCCCAAGTGGCTCACGTGGTGGTCTGATCAGAGTGGGTGGGAAAACGTTGATCTTTCAGCCAGTAAGTGACGGGCATACACATTCCAGACTGTCGGAGACAGAGTGATGAACTTGGCTAACACATAAACCTCAGACATCAAACATGCGTACCAGGCTCTAGCTCTTGACGAGCACCGAGACTCATTCTCACCTACCTTGTGGTACTTGCCCAACTATGGAGAAGTGAGTTCCGAACAAGTTGCAGATCAAAAGAAAGTGGTAGAGAAGAAAGCGCAGGAATGGAAAGACATTTTGGAAGAGGCCACCAAGCTCAAAAAAAGCGGCAAGGCCAGCGACGAGGATATCAATAGCGCAGCGCGCCATCTCAACAGAACCGCCAAACTCATCAACGAGGAGGCTAGGAAATTGGTCAAAATGGAGGATGACTGCAGACACCGAAACCATCCCCGAACTTTGAGACAAGTGTGGTTCCCCGGTTATCACGTCAATATCGGAGGCGGCTCGGACGACAGCCTCCGGAATGAGGGTGACATGGAAGAAATGTCCAGTATCACTTTCGCTTGGATGCTTGATCAGATCAAACCCCACCTCTCGCTTGACGAAGAGTACCTTGTCAAAGAAAGAACCGACATGGAATTCTACATTTCCGAACTTGGCGAAAGTATGGAACAGAAAGAGAAATCCTGGGCTCAGAAGACTTGGGCAACCCTGAAGAGCCCATTCCAAGCCGCAGTCCCAACAGCAATCAAAGAACGTCGTTATGGTTGGGGCACCGGCGAGCTTGCAGATAGTTTCACACCATTCTTCTACCTCAATGGATCCAAGAGACGTACTCCGGGCTATGATTATCGCGACCCCGGTGGAAATCTGCTTGCCGACACCTGTGAATATGTCCACCCAGTAGTGGGATTCCGAAAGCAAGCGATGTCAACGTACACACCTCTCGGGAAGGGTTCCAAATACGAGCGTCGCAAAGCAGTCAGCCAGACTGGCTGCCCATCGTTTGAATATACGCTGGGTAACTCGCGTAAATCGTTGCCTGAATGGCCCTTGGGTGGATTGGACTCCTATGAGAGATTGTTCATCGCTAGCAAGGCTGCATACGATTATGTCGATGAGTTGGATCTTCATTTGAAGACTGGGATCAAGACACCACGCCGATCCGTATGGGGTATTCGAGATATTGATCTTGGAATTCAGTTACTTACAGTCAACGCACCAAATGGTGAGCGTTCTGAACAGAATGCTTCCGGTTCAAATGCCCCAGAGGCTCAATTGAAGGGCCTCGAGGCCAAACGTGCAGAATGGACTGCCACAGAGACGGCAATTGATGAGCAAGTTATTCACGTGTGATTTGCTTGGGCGATATATTGCAATGTACCATCAGTGTTAATTAGCGATCGCAACTTGAGAATGCCATTGTGGTTCTAAAGTTTGTAAAGTTTCGGAATGTTCCCCTAAAGATATATGTTTGCCCCTAGTAAAGGAAGTGATGCCTGAGGCATACTTAAATGCAGGTTATTTTCCGAAATAGACCTACATTTACTTATGTATTTGTGTATTTGCGTATTCAAGATTCAAGAGTACCTTCCAGTCAATATCCAGTACTTAAGTAAATTACCAACTAAAGTCCAGCCCTACACGACCGAAAAACAAGCATTAGTGGACCCCCCATGACGTTGGTAGGGCTGAACGCATCGTCATTTGGCTTGGAACTGCTAGGCACCACTGTTTTCCTGGGCCATTGCTGTTCAATCTAATTTTCCACTTCATCCACATCCACCTACCTTGTATCCACCACCTTGTACAGTCTGGTTCTGCCCAGCCCTTAGCCAAGAGCATACGTCATAATAATACCTTCATGGATGCATTATATCCCCGGGACTGGAAAGATGTCCTGGAAATCCTGGCTGCTACCGGTTCCATTCTCTTTGTCTCAATATTATTGTTAATTCGACAACCTCTGAGCCCCAACCGCTCTATGTGTACCATGGTGTCACGCAAGTTGTACAATATGTCCCAGGGGCAGACGGTAACCGCCCAGTTAGCGCGCGACCCGTCGCAGTGCCCGCAGAAAGTCTTTCACAGGCTCTTTGAGGGCCACCATTCAGTGCATGCACATAGTGATTCGGAGTCCGACTCGGACAGCATTTCAAAATGGGAGCAGCTGGATGAATTGCAAAAGGCTCGCTCTTGTGGAAATTTTGGCACCACGGAGACAAGTGAACTGTTCCTGAAGGTTGGCAAAATTCTTTCAAAGGTGGCTGATCAATACATTAATCTGATTACAATACTTAGGTCTATCATGATGCTTTGTGCTCCCTGGAGAAAAACCCTATGTCCGGCGTGGTCTCTCCGCCTCTGTTGGGCGGCACTGGAGTGTTGCCCTTGACAATTGTCGCCCCGTTGCCAGATCTTTGTCGCCATTTAGCAAATTGCATTGTGCGTGCCGAACATGAGATTTTTCTGGGTACTAATTTTTGGATTCACTCCGATGCATCAACCCTGATCACGAATGCCATCCGAGAGCTTTCCAAGAGAGCGGGGGAGAGTGGCCGAAAGGTAGTAATGAAGATGATTTATGATCGGGGAGATCCTCGTCAGGTAAGTCCCATCACTCTGTTTGGCCTGTTGTGATTTCTAACGCGGTTCGCCAGGCCTGGGACAACAGGCTCAATGTCAAAGAGGATCAATACGTTGGCGGAAAAGTGAGACTCCCTGCGGCGAGTGAGATCCCCAACGTTGATCTTCAAGTGATCAACTTCCACCGACCCATTTTTGGAACATTCCATGCGAAGTTTACTGTGATCGACCGTCGCATGGCTCTCATACAGAGCAGCAATATCCAAGACAATGATAACCTGGAGATGCTCTCACACATTGAGGGCCCCATCGTTGACTCATTCTATGATGCTGCCTTGCTCTCCTGGGGAAAGCCTCTAGAGCCCCCATTTCCACTTCTTGACTCTCCCGCTAAAGACGCCCCTATACCATGCTACGGGGCTGAACAGGAGAAAGGGGTCTCTACTGCAAATGGCATAGCTGCCCTCCCAGAGCATACGACCAAATCTCCACACTATGATCATGACCTTGATAACGAGGCTCGGAGAGTCAACGAAAGCATGAACCCAATTGAGAATGAGACACCTACACAGGCTGTGAGCCGGCATCTGAGTATGTGAAACTACCCTTCCATCTCCAACCACACTTCTGACATCCATCTAGATACAACCATCCAACCAAACACAACCGGCGACGCACCCGACAGCGACCAAGATCCTAAAATGACCCCATACATGGTCCTACCCAACCACGAGCCCTTCGCAATGGCAGTAGTGAACAGAGAACCCTTCGGATGTAAGTACTAGTCGACCTCCCCAAAAATCCTCACTAACTCCACCCAAGCCCCAAACCACAGCAGCATCCACACACCCCAGAACTCAGCCTGGATCTCGGCAATCAACCACGCCCGGAAATCCATCCTCATCCAAACACCCAATATGAACGCCGAACCTCTGATGGATCCTCTCATAAATGCTGCTCGTCGCGGCGTCACAGTAACCTGCTATCTATGCCTCGGCTACAACGATGCAGGCGAGCTTCTTCCATTCCAAAATGGGACCAACGAGATGATCGCGAACAGATTGTACAATGCACTCAAATCAGATGAAGAGAAGTCTCATCTGCGTGTGTGCTACTATGTTGGCAAGGACCAGATTCGTCCGATTCATAATAGTTTCAAGAAGCGCAGCTGTCATATTAAGTTGATGATTGTTGATGAGCAGATTGCTATTCAGGGTATGTTTACTTTTTGTGTTTGGTATTTGCCTTGCTAATCTTTGATTCTATAGGGAATGGAAATCTCGATACACAGTCTTTCTTCCATAGTCAAGAGATCAATGTTCTTATTGACTCTGGGATGGTGTGTCGTGCTTGGACGGAATTGATTAATCGCAATCAAAACACGGCTAAGTATGGTGCTGCTAGCCCTAAAGATGGCTGCTGGCATGACCCGAAGACGGATGAGATACCGCCTGGGTCGATGGGGCCTGTCCCTGGTCGTTTCAGTTGGGCTAAGGGGGCGATCGGGGCTGTACAGAGGGTTCGAGGTGTTGGGGGATTCTAGATAGATGATGGATATCTATGGACAGAACATATGTAGCTATTTGGTTTGGCTTCGGTCTCCTACTTCAACATTTCAGAATCTAGAAGCAAGTCATGTCTCAAGGTTAGATATTGATGGGCAATCCAAGTGTGAGAAGTGATGAATCTAGGACTCAACAATCAGTGTGGGTGTACCAGCCCGTGACACAGACAAAACTAATCGACCACAGCCGAAATGAAGGTAACGCAAAAAGTGCAACGACTTGCTCCCATGAGATCTCCCGTCGATGCATCCTCAACGTTATCGGAAACGAGAAATTGCACTTATTCAAGTGTTCTAAGACGAATGCAATGTCTCGCTCGTACGATCAACCAATAATCGACGTAATAAACTACGTCTACAAGTACCAGCTAGACGAAGACGACGAAACACTCTGGAAATGCGCCCGCACCTCCCTCCTCGACTCAATGGGCTGTGCCATCGAAACAGTCACAAGCAGCCCCTCATGCCGGAGGTTCCTAGGCCCCATAATCGAGAAAACAAATGTGCCGAACGGGTTCAAAGTCCCCGGCACGGAATTCCAAGTCGACCCTCTCAAAGGCGCATTTGATCTGGGAATCTTGATCCGATATTTGGATCACAATGATGCACTCGGTGGTGCAGAATGGGGCCATCCGTCTGGTGAGAGTTGCCCTGTGCAGGAACCCATGGATACCACTGACTGGTTCAATGCAGATAATCTCGGCGCCATCGTATCAGTCATGGACTGGCTTTCGCGGGCGAGTATTGCAGGTGATATCGTTCACTATGGGCCTCCGCTGACTATGCATACGCTGCTGATTGCTTTGATCAAGGCGTATGAGATACAGGCGTGTTATCAGATGCAGAATGCATTCAATGCCTATGGCATTGACCATGTCATACTTGTGAAATTGGCTTCGGGGGCTGTTGTCTCCTGGCTCCTTGGACTAACGGAAGATCAAGCCATGGCGACAGTGTCCCATGTCTGGATGGACGGTCATCCAAGTCGGCTGTATCGAAGCGGTTGGAACATCAGTTCCAGGAAAGGATGGGCGGCGGGGGATGCGGCTAGGAGGGCTGTGCAGTTGGCTTTTATGGTGGGTCAGGGTGCGGAAGGGGCGCTGGGGGCGTTGAGTGCGCGACCATTTGGATTTTTGGAGCGGACGTTTGGGGATGGGTTCGTTTTTCCGCGTGCTTTTGGGTCGTGGACTGTGCGGAATGTGTTGATCAAGACTATGCCTGTTGAGGGACATGGGATCTCTGCTGTTGAGGCTGCGGTTTTACAGGCTGGGTTTCTCCGACGGAGGGGATTGGTTGAGCCTGCGAAGCAGATCAAAAGGATATGCTTGAGGGTGACTGAAGCTGCGTGTATGATCATCGATAAGAAGGGACCGTTGTATAATGCTGCGGATCGGGATCATTGCATCCAGTACGTGGTGGCTTTGGCTTTGTTGAAAGGAAGTCCACCTGAGGCCGTGGACTATTTGGACGAAAGCCCCTGGTCGAAAAGTGAAGAGCTGGAGATTCTGAGGGGGAAAATTGTGATCCAGGCTGACTCTGAACTCCAGCGAGATTACTTGGATGTTGAAAAGAAGAGCATTGGTGCGGGTGTGACGATTGATCTTGAAAATGGCCTCAAGCTGCCTGAGATATTGATCGAGTATCCTCTGGGACATGCACGGAATCCTCAAACACCATCTACAGTGCAAAGGAAGTTTTTCAAGAACATGAGCCGTATGTTCTCGGCGGCAGAAATCAGTCGCATGCTTGGAGCGGTTCAGCAACCGGATATGCTGATCTCAGACTTCATGGACCTTTTCATTCCCTCATCCACGTCGAAGATGTAAATAGTGATTATGGGTGAAATGAATTCCAGGAACAACCAGGTTGAAATGAGAACTGAACGGTTCAGTCAAGGGTATCTATTTCTATGTCTGGATTCTCTCAATCAACTCTGCCAACCCCCTGAAGCGTCAAGTAAACATCCGTTCCCCATCCCCACAAGCTCTGCACAGCAATGCTACCACCGAAATATTCAGCATACGCCCTGCTAAGGGGGAGTCCATAACCGAGACCTGCAATGGTGCTTTGGTTCCCACCACTGGCAGAGATGGTATTCAGGGCATCCATTCCGCTTTCCTGGCTTTGGAAATCATCTTCCGAGAAGGTTGTGAAACTGTAGGACCAAATATGGGGCAGGACCTCAGCCGGAATACCACCCCCTCGATCACGGATGCGGATTGTGATACTCTGCGAAGAAGGGGTCGAGTGACCAATCTTTTCATTCCGATTGGCCCCATCACCCTCCGAGTCCAACTCAAACCCAGTATCAGTGCTATTATCATTGTCTCCCGGGGTGGGCGGCTGGTCCCCCGGCACATCTGGCGCTGCAGCGATCGTCACTTCAATAGGTTCGCGCTGATTTCCATTCTCAACGGTCGCCCGGAACGCATTTTTCAAAAGTTCCGTGATGATATACTCGACGTGTACGGGGACATGAGCAAAGGTGGCTTCAGGTTCCCCGCCAATCTCCAGGCTCGGCCGAACTCCATACTTGAGTTCGCAGATCTCACCGACAAAATCCTCGCATGTCCGTATGATGCGCGCTGGCTGCAAAGCCGTATCTATGACACCGATGTAATTCGGTGGAATCGAGTTCTTGGGTGCAGGGGTACCGGGAGCGGTGGATGAGTCGCCGCCTATTGGCTGGGAGGCATAGTGAAGTGCCAGATGCTGCTCGGCGATCAAACGTGTACCAATACGCGCGCGCAGATGGGTATCAAGGAAACTTGTTACATCTGCTGGACTGACGTATTTCCTGCATTCCAAGAATCCACGTGCGAGAACGGGAATAGTGTTAGTGTGTGTCTGGACAAGGTCTGCCAATACATCTCCAAATTGGTTTTCTTCTTCAAGGGTTGTGATGCGACGCTGTTGGTAAGGCAAGAGAGTCGATAGCGAATGGAGATAATTATGGTAGATTTTGGAAACATGTGGATTGGAGACGACAATGTAAGGTAGGTTCCGTAATGCCTGTATGCGGGAAGCCAGTCGGGCGGGGAGGAGGGAGAGTGTGAAGTTGGCCGAGGCCAAAAGAGCCTCCTCATCCAATGGAGGACGACCATGCCTACATGGGGAAACAGTCAGTCCTTGCCTTGAATCGTCATTTGAGGAACCCGGGAGATATACTTTAGTAAATCTGTTAGGGTCAGAGGCCGGCGAGGACTCGCAGCCAGCTGCGCGACATTGTCTCTGGCGACGTCGAACGGACGACCAGCCCAATTTTGACTCTGAGTGGAGGACCAACGGGAGAAGTGACACTGAATCGGTGACCTGCAGGATCGTAACGACCGAGCTCGTATTGAAGTCGCCATTGCGGATTGTTACAATGAAGCGGAGGAGTGGGAGAAAGGGCGAATTGCCGCGGCGGTGACGATGATCTGCATAAAAGCGGATATTGTCGGTTTGTCAACATTCAAATTGTTTCAGATCCGACGTTCTACAGTCTACAGTTGGGACTTTGGTCCTCTAAGTATCGATGATCTTACTTGACGATTCAAACAATCATAACAAAGGTCCCATCATGGGCATTTGGCAATTCAAACGCTAGTCATAAGTATGCATCACTTCGTGCATCAGAGCAGTCGCATAGTTGGTATCAAGGCATCACGCTTAAAAGTAAAAAGAAGAAAAAGCCCCCCGGGTATTCAGTGTCTGTGTCGCATCTTGTGTTGTTCAAAGTCAGGATAACGGGCGACTGTAAGGCTCGAGCGAAGCTGGGTTGTTCCCTTGACTAGTGATTCTCCACCGCGCCATCTCGCTCGACGTGGACGTGAGGAGTGGATTCGAGAGTCAGAGTTTGGGCAATGTCATCAGGGAACTCGATGCTGTCATTGATCACCGTTAGCTTCCAACTGAAAGGTGTAGGCTTGGCCCAAATCGCGCCAGATCAATGCGTAACTCACGTGAAGCCCTTGATGATGCTGTATTCATGTCGGATGATGCCACCCTTCTCTCGCAAGTCAATCTTGGTCCTAGAGAGACCGGTCAGTGTGGTTCATATTGGAATGGTGTAGTGCGACACACTTTTCCAGCTCCTCGATGGGAGCATCGGTCTTGAGGGTGATCTATGGGATGTCAGTGAGAGATCAAGCATTGCTTTCAAAAAAACACATACGTTGTACAGAGTCATGGTGGCAGAGACTTGGTTGTGAGAGAAAGAAAAGAAGAGGAAGCCTGGAGTATTTTATACCCCCGCGATAAGAGGGGGGTTCCTTTGAAGCAGGTACCTTAAATGACCCGCATTTGACATGCATATACTGCATTTCTCTGCTATTTCTCTTCTTTTTTCTTTTCTGATTTTCTTATTGCTGCTCTCTTTTGGCTTCCTGTTTTTCTTATACTTTGTAATGAGAAATATCGATTTTTGTATAGAGCACTACATCTACCCTTTTTGACAGGAAAACCTGTAAATGAGCAGTAACGTGTGGAAATTCTGTGCTTCGTTTTTGTTAAATTTCTCAGTACGACCTGAACACAGTCTCACAGCCCCTTTGACGTACTAGGGCTCTGCGTAAAACCCGAGAAATCAGGTATATGCCTGACGCGGGGCTAGAGCCCCACGTAGTTGTCTTTCTCGCGGGCCGGCATCTTCATGCCGTGCATCCCCCGATATGAAGGACTCTGGGGTGTCTTCCACCCTTCCAAAACCTGTCCATCTAACTCGTATACCTCCACACCCAGTGGACGGCAGGTCGATCCCATGCCATCTTCCTTATCGTCCCAGCCCCACTGGGAAAGATCACCTGGAAGTATCATCAGCATGGACTCAATACGTGCAATCTAGCTCCATACCTCCAGGACACGCCGACAGCGCACATAGAACATCCACTTCAGCAAAAAACTCAAAGTACTCGCCCGCACGTGCAGGGGATGTCTCCATAAAATATTTCCCGTCCTTGTCCAGACCCGTCACCTGAAACACATTCAAGACATCATGGACATCCAACTCCGTCAACCCATACGGAACCACCGAGCGCGTCAAGTTCGAGTGACAGTGGAAATCAAACGTCTCCCCACCCATCAACAGATTGACATAGGGATCGCACCGAGTCCCCAGCAAATCATGCACCCGTCCTCCAAACGGCGTAGGCCCGAAGACAACCTCTGGCTTCCGCTTCCCATCCGGCCCAAGTACGTCATGCAGCTGCCCGCCGCCAAGCGAATCACCAGTGATCGTTACCAGGGGCCGTAGGTAGGGCAGGTTGGACCATAGTCGGTCGCCCACGGAGACGTGGGAGGCGTGAATCTGTCGGGTACGTGCAGCCCACATCCGCTCTCGGGGGTTATTTGCGTTCCAGATGTTGAGGTCACCCACTTGGGGTCCATTTGGCGTAGTGAGACGGCAGATGTGACCGGCAGGTACAACCCAGGCTTGAGCGGAGCATGGTCGAATGGTGAACTTTTCCTTGGAGGTGCGGGCAGATGTGTCGGAGGCAGTCTCAGAAATTGATCTGTACAGCTGTGATACAGCATGCACGCCCGACTCGGGTGGCGCTGTGTAAGCCGGAGGTGGTTGGCGGGTGGACATACTTAAGTAGTGCTCTGTCAAGGGACTGTAGTGTTCAACTTAGATTGTTCCTAGGTGAGATTGGACCTCAGAGAGAAGTCCAAAAGTCAATCTACTTCAAGAGTTTAAGCTTCATGCGAGATCGAATTCTTTATATTTGGGGGCTGAGGGGAACTTATAGTGGAAGGTCGGATGAACTCCCCGATATCGTTGATTAACGGCCCCGCATAACTAACCGTGAGGGGAAATTGGCATCTTCGAATGGATCCAAGGCGTGCGAGATAACGTGCTCTATCAAATTTGCTATGACTAAGAATATCTGAGCTCTTCTCTACCCCTCTAGAGTTGGAATGGCATCAAGCTACTTCCTATTCTTTAGTAGTACCTCTCGAATTAGTGACCCGTGTCAAGCGTATATTCACGCTATCTTCCCCCCAGACCCGATGGTCAATAACTCAAAGGTCAATTTCTTACCAAGAAGAGAGATTCCTCGGGGAGTATCTGCATAGCTTTCAATTCTAAAGTGGTACTGCTAGTCAAAAGACACCGTCTCGCAGTGCGATGATATTGCCTGACTGTTCGGCCTGTAACTCCAAATCTGTGCTAACTACGGAGTAGATGTTGATATATAGAGCCAGCGAGTCCTGCAGAGCTCTCAGGTGTCATTGAGCATGCTGCTCATTGTATGCACGGTGCAGATAGAACCCTTCTGAGACTTTGCTGTTGAACAAATTCGTTGACTAGGGTTTTTGTCATGAAAAGGAAAGCTTGGAAAAGTATTGTCAAAAAGACCACCAAGAGAGACCAATGCATCAGCTTTCCCTCGATTTCGGCAAGCTCTCTAGTCAACAAGTCTTCGATATCAAGATCCTCAGCCCTTCATGGCTCTCTTCCGGACATTGATCCGGACTAGATTCCTTCAGCCAATGAGAAGCTGCGAACCGTTAGGAGATTGCGATAACGATAAGCGGATCTCGGAAAAATAAAAGTGCCTGTAATCACGTGCAGGGTCATATCCAGCCAATGGAAGGGCTACAATTAGTACCGCCCTGTACCGCGCATAGGGACGGCAGAATCTATTTTTCAGCGGTCAAATAACTATTTTCGAGCCTCGAATAATTTCACGGAGTCGTCCTTACTTGGTTGTTCTGCCATTCCTTTTCTCTGATACCAGAGAGGAGCTGTGAGGTATCGTACCTCTTTACACACAGCATGGAGCAACAATCCAACAGGGCGCATCGCCCTACCAAGGACAAGAAGAAGTTTGAGGGTAAGTCGAGGCCGCTTCAATGCTCAAAGCTGCGGATTTTCTCTTATGTCCGTTGCATGAGCACCAACTAATCAACTACTCTCTGGTATAGGTGCCAACCCGAAGGCATTTGTGTCTTCGAGACCCGGAAAGCTCAACAAGCAGGCTGCGCGAGCACACGATGTACGTACATGAAATTTTTTTCCTCGTCGGCGAATGGGCGCTGACCCGGACTTTCTTATAGGTCAAAGAAAAGAGACTCCATGTGCCTCTCGTGGATCGCATGCCCGAGGAGGCCCCGCCCGTCGTCGTCGCAATCGTTGGACCTCCAGGTGTTGGCAAGACCACCCTGCTCAAGTCTCTGATCCGTCGCTACACCAAGCAATCTCTCAGCTCGCCCCAGGGTCCATTGACCGTTGTCACTACCAAGCGCCAGCGTCTTACTTTCCTTGAATGTCCGTCCGACTCGCTCGCGGCCGCTATTGATGTGTCCAAGATCGCAGATATTGTGCTCCTCATGATTGACGGAAACTTTGGATTCGAGATGGAGACCATGGAGTTCTTGAACGCCTTGTCAACGGCTGGTATGCCCGGTAATGTTTTTGGTATTCTGACACATCTTGATCAATTCAAGAAGCAGAGCACCTTGAAGGATGCCAAGAAGCGCCTCAAGCACCGCTTCTGGAGTGAGCTTTACTCTGGCGCTAAGCTGTTCTACCTGTCTGGTGTTATCAACGGCCGCTACCCCGATCGCGAAGTCCACAACCTCTCTCGTTTCTTGTCCGTCATGAAGAACCCACGTCCGATCATCTGGCGCAACTCTCACCCATACGCGCTCGCGGATCGCTTTTTGGACATTACACCTCCTACTCAGATTGAAGAGAATCCCAAGTGCGATCGCACAGTCGCGCTCTACGGCTACTTGCGTGGTACCAATTTCCCCGCTCACAGTGCCCGAGTTCACGTCCCTGGTGTTGGTGACTTGACTGTCGCCGGTATTGAGAGCTTGCCTGACCCTTGCCCAACTCCTTTCATGGACCAACAAATCCAAAAGGCGACCGGGAAGTCCAAGGCCCGCAAGCTTGGCGAGAAGTCGAAGTTGCTTTTTGCCCCAATGTCTGATGTTGGTGGTGTTCTGGTCGATAAAGATGCTGTCTACATTGATGTCAAGTCTAATACCTTTGACCGGGACTCTGACGAAGACTCCGAGGATGAGGACCGCCGCGGTCTCGGCGAGCACCTTGTTGTTGGTCTTCAGGGCGACCGCAAGATGCTTGGTGAGGTCGACCAAGGTGTTCGTCTCTTCCGTGGTGGTGAGGCAGTTGACAAGGTAGACGATGATGAGACTGGCCGAAAGAGCCAGCGCCGTGCCCGCATCGCCGAAACCGAATTCAACGACGAGGACATCCCCGAAGGATCTGACAGCGAAGAAGACGATGAGAACATGGACGAGGACGATGTCACCGACGACGAAGGTGAACTCGACATGTCCGCGCCTGCAGACTTCGAGTCACGTTTCAAAGCGAAGCAAAATGGAAAGGAGGCAGAGGCAGAAGATATGGCATTCGCCGATAGCGATTCTGATCTGGGCTCCATTTCCTCCGTCGACGACCAGGAGCTTGAGAGCGGCGACGAAGACGAGAGTGAGGATGGTGAGGATGAAGACGATGAGGAAGATGACGAAGATGAGGAGGGTAACGTCCGTTGGAAGGAGAACATGCTCGCCAATGCTAAAGCCACTCATGGAAAGCGCAGGCCTTGGCGAGTCACCGACCTGTCAAGAATGATGTACGATGAATCAATCACCCCAAGCAATGTCGTGAAGATGTGGCGTGGCGATGATTCCGACGACGAGGACGACGACGAGGACGAAACTGCCGATGATAACGGCGAGGACTTCTTCAAGAAGACAGGCAACGAGAAGAAGGACGAAGAGGACTTCCGCGCTGTTCCAGAATACGACTACGACGAGTTGGAGCGCAAGTGGCGCGATGAGGAATTGATCGAATCCCTCAGACGTCGCTTCATTACTTCTAAGCTATCTGGCGGTGGCTCGGATGATGAAGATGATGACATGGATGGAGATGAGGATGATGAGGACGAGGGCGATGGTGACTACGAGGATCTGGAGTCCGGCGAAGTCTTCAACGGCATCAAAGAAGATGGCGAAGATGACGATGACGAGGATGACAACGAGGCCGAAGAAACCCCAGACCTGGAAGCCGAGCGTGAGCGAAATGCCAAGAAGAAGGAAGAGCTCAAGCTCCGTTTCGAGGAAGAAGATCGCGAAGGTTTCGGAAAAGCTGAGGATAACACGCGCGATGGTATCGATGGCGAATTTGGAGAAGACGACTGGTATGATTTACAAAAGGCGAAGCTGCAAAAGCAGACCGACATCAACCGCGCCGAATTCGACAGCCTTGATCCTGCCTCGCGTGCCCGCGCTGAAGGCTACAAAGCCGGCACCTACGCTCGCATTGTCCTTGAGAAAGTCCCATACGAGTTCGTCGCCAAGTTCAACCCCCGTTTCCCTCTTATCGTGGGTGGTCTTTCCCCTACTGAGGACCGCTTCGGATATGTGCGCATCCGTATCAAGAGACACCGCTGGCACAAGAAGATTCTGAAGACCAACGATCCGTTGATCTTCTCGCTCGGTTGGCGCCGCTTCCAGACGATGCCTATCTACAGCACGTCTGACAGTCGAACAAGAAACCGTATGCTCAAATACACACCTGAGCATATGCATTGTTTCGCTACCTTCTATGGACCCCTTGTTGCCCCCAACACCGGTTTCTGCTGTGTGAACTCATTCTCCAACAAGAACCCCGGTTTCCGCATCGCCGCAACTGGTGTTGTTGAGAGCGTTGATGAGCACACAGAAATTGTCAAGAAGCTCAAACTTACTGGTGTGCCTTACAAGATCTTCAAAAACACAGCTTTCATCAAGGATATGTTCAACTCCTCGTTGGAAATTGCCAAATTCGAAGGTGCCTCCATCAAGACAGTCTCTGGAATTCGCGGTCAAATCAAGCGTGCGCTTTCCAAGCCCGAAGGACACTTCCGTGCCACCTTTGAAGACAAGATTCTGATGAGTGACATCGTCTTCCTGCGCGCCTGGTACCCCATCAAACCCCACCGCTTCTACAACCCCGTGACAAACTTGCTGGACCAGGTTGAGGGCGAGAAGGGCGATAGCGGATGGCAAGGTATGCGCTTGACTGGTGAAGTCCGTCACGCCCATGGCATTGCCACCCCCCAACTCAAGGACTCGACCTACAAGCCCATTGAGCGACAGGAGCGTCACTTCAACCCACTCCGTGTCCCCAAGCAGCTTGCCGCGGACCTTCCTTTCAAGTCCCAAATCACCAAGATGAAGGCCCACAAGGACCAGACCTACATGCAAAAGCGTGCCGTTGTTCTCGGTGGCGAGGAGAAGAAGGCCCGCGATCTCATGCAGAAGCTCACTACCATGCGCAACGAGAAGCAAGCCAAGCGTGCTGCCAAGCAGGAGGAGCGTCGCAAGGTCTACCGTGCCAAGGTGGCTGACAGTCTGGAGAAGAAGGCCGAGCGTGAGAAGAGAGAGCGCAATGACTACTGGCGCAAGGAGGGCAAGAAGCGTAAGAATCCAGATGAGGAATCTGGTGGCCGTGGACGCGGCAAGAAGCGCAAGTGATCTCTTCTTTGGACATGTCTTAATCTAGCCATGGTAGTTTGCATAGATGGCGTTTGGACCCAAAACTTGTATCTATTTACATATTGAATGTTACTCTATATCAGAATCTTTTACGTGGCTGTGTGTTGTTAAGAGCACCAGTCGTAAGGTCTTCAATCGTTAGAATAGTTTCCGGATGATCGGGGAGGATGTCGTCGGTCCACATACCTCAGGGCCAAACTCCTTCTCTAGCTCCAGACCGTCCTCATGGTCCTCCGACTCATTTGTCTTGGACTTCCTCGCAATCACCATCGGTAGCGTCTTGGGCAATGCGTCGCTGGCAAGGCCGATGCGGAGATTCTGACTTCCCATGTAAACCACAATGACCTTGGAGCCAATGACCTCGGCGGGTGTCTCCTCTGCATCTTCCATGATGGCATCGCCATCTGCTTCAGTATCCCCTTCCGCAGCCTTGTTCTTCATCGCCTGTTCCCGGTCGTGATCCTTCAGCTGCGAGAGCGGATGAATTCTGGACATAGCTCCGTCTCTCGAACTGTAGACCCTATCCATGGCTCTTTTGCCCATGGATTAACCAAGGTATGCCCTCTCGGCCTCATTCGGAGGAGACTGTACTCCCTGTAACCCTGGGCTAGATATCGTCCATCCGCGGAACGGTCACCTAAAGCCCTAACTGGGCGGCGGCCGCGAAACAACGTTGAATATGGCTTCGTTCCCTAACGAGCGTCGGATCATTGTCTATTTAATGCTGGCGATTTCCCCAGTTCTCTTTCTTCTTTCTCTCTAACTACACACATTCTACATACATTCTCACATCAAGTTGCTTTACTACATCCACTATCAAAACATCACTTTTTGCCCACCACAATGGCTCCTGTTCCCAACCTCGACTACAACAAGCTCGCACCGCGAGTAAACAAGGAGTACACTGTTGAGGATTCAAACCGACTCAGCATCATCGTCATAGGGGTGGTTTTGGGCCTCATTTTTATCGGCTTGCTTTCCTGCCTGTACGCCCTTTTCCCCCTGATCGGTGGCTGAATTTACATACTAATGACTCCCAAAGCATCAAGCACAAAAAGAGCAAGATTCAAGGGAAGATTGAGTCCCTGAAGCAGGCACGCCGGGCAAAGAAGTATGCCCGGAAATGCGAGAAAGCCTCCAGGAAACTGGGTAAGTTTTTATTGCCTTGCTGCCATTTTACCTTATTTGGTCATTAATCTCATTGTCTTCAGATATGTCCGAGGCTGAGAAGGGCAACATCACTCAGCCTAAGAAGGCTCATGTCGCGCGGCCCAGGGAGCCTGAGCTGCCTGACATTGATCGGATCACGGAAAACCTCACTCCAGAGTATATGTCGAAGTCTCCTGCTTTCTTGTGAATGGAGATGACCGGATGCTCTGTCGGAGAATGATCCTTGGTTCTCTATCGTTTTTCATTTGTTTCGTCATCAGCTTGGCTTCACTTCGAGTTTGGTATTTTGTCCTTTGATTTTGACTGTTGTTCGATTGGATCATTTGTATTTAATACCCATTGTTCTCACTGTTAGCGAAAATCGAACTCGATACCCCCATTATTCAAAGTGCCCAGGTTATACTCGATTCGGGTGCGGGTATAGTTGTAGTGCACTATAGATGCCAGACTTCTTCCCAAGCCCATCCCTCTCAACTGTATTCTACTAGTGTACCTCTATCGTTTCCTCTCCAAATACTCTTAGTTCAATCCGTCGCTTGTTTTTTTTTTTTTTTTTCCTGGGGAAATTAAATGTGATGGCGTACACGTGACCGCGCGGACAACGCGTCGAAGGCAGAGGCGTGGGCTTTCCTCCCACCAACCTGACCCTGGTCTTTTTGATACTAGTACGGAGTACCTTGTGGCGCACTATTGGATTGTTCCTCATATCCCTCACTGCAATCTTCACCCTAAATCCTTGTCGGGTCACTCATCCGGGGTCTGCACAGTGGAGACCAATTGACTCGTTTGCCGCCTCGTGCTGTCGCAACCCTTGCGCGCGTGGTTGATTGCCACTCGATCGCTTTCCCCATCACGAACTGGTTGGGATTGCAACTGCTCTTGAGTTGCATATATCGCTTAGTATCGGACCTTTCCGGTCCTCGATGCGGTGACTGGAGAACAGGGAGGCCATGCGTGTTGAGATCGTGCGCGACAACATCCAATTAAAGCTAGGTCGCGCGTATTCACCGAGTATCGCTATCCAAAACTACTCTCTTAAATCACCCACAATCCGCCGACCATGAATGACGGTCGCGAAGCACAATCTATTCGCGGGGTACCTGATGAGGCCAGTGCGAACACCTTGGACGCGATGTCCCCTGTGCCTCACAAAACGCCTCTCGCCGAGAACCAAAGTACGCGATTACAAGCCCCGCTATCACTTCGTATAGATGGCTTGAATGCTACTGTATCCCATAGCGAGGGAAACCCGACACTGGCCTACGAGTCATCAGAGCGCGGCAGCGATACCTCCCTCGACGGTCGACGACCAGATCTGCACTCCGCTAGCACCCTCACAGATTCCCTTTTCAGCTACCCTTCCTCTACAAATGGCGCCGATCAGCCGACACACCTCGATAACTCCCACAATTCGAACGAACATACATCGATATCGCGGATGGAGCAGGAACCCCAGGATACCCACATGGCCCCGCACACCCAGCCGGTGAATGGAGGCTCAATAGATCGATGGCAACCATCACTACCATCAATTAAAGCCGGCAATACTTCCTTATCACCTCCGCCCTCGCCAAAACATTCGCATTCGCGGTCGCAATTCGATGCCGGGTTGGCTCCCGGCCAGAAAAGAACAGCAGCTGGCGACTACAAGTCCAATATAGATATTCCCAAAACCCATAGTACTGATACGAATGGAGTTGCAAGGCGACGTTCGAAAAGTACTGGCTCCTCGTTGTATGGGAGCAGAATTGCACAGGTAACGCGCTCTCTCATCTTCCTTCGAAGGCCATTACTCATCCCACTAGCTTTCTGTACATATTCGTTCACGACTATCCTACGCGGCTGCCAAGGTTGAACAGTCCCGGCAGTCGCAGTCTCGCGGGAGTACTCCCCAAAATACACTTCGAACGCAACACAGCACATCGTCATTAAGTCCATCTGCGCCAAGCGACATTGCCTCTCTGCCAGCTGGAGCCTCCACGCCTTTCTCCATCAACTCACAGTCATCCTCCAATGGACATTCTCACCCAAGCCATAGCCGCTCACGATCAGCATTCTTGTCTGATCATCTACCCCCAAATACCAAATTAGCACCGCCTGTCGATATTATTTTGTCGAATGGTCAAGGTCAGCGCCGTCGACCAAACCCTAACTCCATTGTCAAACCTTCATCTTACAGTCCTGTCGCCCGCCACCGACGCCATCATTCCTATCAAGAGAATGGGTTGAGCAGGCCACTCAATGGTACAGCCTTAGGTCCAGAGACTCCCTCGCTCCCATCAACACAGGCAAACGGACCAACCTCCACACCCAACGGGCTGTATGGCGGCCGCACACCATCCGAAAACACATTGATGGAACAAGACGCCATTGAAACCTTGATGTTTATGTCCAGTCCCGAAAACTCGGGATATCGCTTTAGCCCCCGACCAATGCAACCCCCAAGCACCCAAAGTAGTCTCAGTGAGACTCTAATGGCCAATAACGAATCAAATCGCAATGGAAACCTGAGTTCACAGAGCTCCAGGTCACACAACAGTCGAGGCTTCGATACGAAGCCTGGAATGGAAGCTGGGGCAGGTGATGACATCGATCGCTTGTTGGATCAAATGAACAGCGACAGCGAGGACGAGGGACGATATGAATCGATCCGTCGTGGTATCAATGGGGCTCATCCTTTCAGACACGCTCAACGCCCGAGGTAATCATGTCCTGGCCTGCGGATATACGATGACGTCATTTTGTATACACTTCAGCGTTCTGCGTGAGCATTCTTGGAGCGAGAAGGAACAGTTGACTAAATATATGCTCTATTATCATATTTTGCCTGGAGACAACTTGTTCGGTGTTAATGTTTCAAATTTTGAATCAGCTAGTCTAACCTAATAGGCGACTGTGATATATGCACCTATACATACCAGATTTTCCCTGGAGATTTCCTATTTGGGCTATTGCTGGCTGGTTTCGATCGCCTTGTAAATCAGTTCTGCGAGTTGCGGAACGAGGTCCACTGATCTTAGCTCAACGGTGAGACTCTCGGGCTTTCTATTTTGCCTTCTCAAGTGGCGGTAAGGAACATCAGCAAAGCGCGAACTCGCTGACGTTGTGCTCTTCCATATTCACTTCAGCACCTTGATCACAATATTCGTTCATTGCCACTCCGGAGCTCTCCGGTAGGGCACTTTAAAGGATTAAAATTTCCACAATGCCCTACTGGTCATGCGAATATGAGAGTTGTAATAAACCAGCCGCGCAGAGAGCAGGAGATTGCTTGCTGTGCGATAGGCACTTTTGTCGCACGCACCGCCGAGAGCCGTGGCACAAATGCCCAAAACCAGAGGTCTGTGATCCAGCTCAAATATCAGCCATAATACAAATGCTCATCATCCTATAGGAAAACTGGGACTCCTACTCTGCTCAATATGCAGCTACAGAGGCTCGTCATATAGACGAGCTATGCCTTCGAATAGATTGTTCTAAATTATGCTTGCATGCATCGATGCTCAGAGAAGGCATCCCGTGTACAGTTGACTTGTCTCGCAAGAGCTTGATGATGGGAAACCAGAACATCCACACAGAAATCACCTTCGATGATAATATCAAGTGGCTCGCACGTTTTCGCCTCGCAAGAACTTCATCACCGCCGCGGGAAGTTCGTGATTGGATACTTCGAAGTGAAGCTGCTACTATGATTTATCTTCAACGATACACTTGTATTCCCACGCCCAAAATCTTTGATTGGGCATGCGAATCTGATCCAGAAAACCCACTTGGAGTTGACTACATTCTGATGGAAAAGTTAAACGGAAAGTCTCTGGATTGGCAGACGGCGACACCTCAGCAGAAAGAGAAGATCATGCAGCAGTTGGTTGATATCTTCCTCGAGATTGATAGACATCCTTTTGAAGCAATAGGATCACTTATTTCCTCGACGGAAAATGTTATAACCCTTCAAGGTCTCGCACATCAATCGACATTCCAAGCAGGAAAGGGACCACTCGGCCCATTCTCTTCTCCGCTCGAGGGCTCAGAGGCTATTTTCAAATCCTATCTCACAATGATAGCTAACGGCGAAATTGATCCCTGTTATCCGGTGGATACATATCTTTTCCATCGATTTCGCCAAGATATTGCAACCGCCCTCTTCAAAGATGTTCCATTAGGCGAACAATTCTTTCTCAAACATCCAGACGACAAAGGTGACCATATTCTAGTTAATGACTGTTTCGACATTGTGGGTGTCATAGATTGGGAATGGACGCAAACTGTTTCCAAGGCGGAAGCATTCTGTTCCCCTTGTATGATGTGGCCGGTAGCCGAGTTCTACAACGGTCTGAATGAGCTAGCTGCTGATGAATTGCGGCTAGCTGCAATCTTTCGCGAAAAGGGCCGCGAAGATCTTGCCGCCTACATCGTCGAGGGCAGAAAGGTCCAGAGGTTTTCCTTCGCTCTTGGGCCTGAGAGCTCTTTTCTAGATATGCAGACACTTCCGCATCTCTTTGCAGGACTCCGGCGGGCCTTTAAGCTTGAAGATGAGGAGTGGGAGGCATGGAAGAGCAAGGCTCTCAAGAAATGGAAAGATGATGACTTACTCCTTAGCTTGCTAGAACTAGAATGAAATGAGGGCGACAAGACGCTCGGAGGCGTGCTCAATTTTACTCCGAGAGCAAAAAGCGGCAAGAGGTGAGCACTAAAATGGAAAGGAAAAAGTCTCGAGTGTCAGTCATTATCCGGTACATATGCATTTCAATAGGTCTATGTGATGAATTGCACCCAAGGGCGCTCTATGATTAGATTACTTTTGGTTTTGGTTTGGGTAGGAGACCCATTCTATCAGTGTGCAAGCTCCTATTTGCTCGTTAGTTTTGTGCAGACGATATAGGAGAGAGTTCACATACACTTGCGAGCTTACTTTTTGCCCGAATTTGAGGTCCGTATAGGGCCAGTACCCAAGGGACCAAGGTCAAGCCAGCTCCCTGAAAATGAGTTAGTCAAAGTTCGATTCCGTTTGTGAATGGCAACTTACAATTCCTCCAAGCAGACTTGATGCCTCGGGGAATCCGAGATTGTTGAACATTGCGTTCGTCACTAGTGGGAAGACACCACCGAGTAGATTCCGGCCTAACACAACCACGTTAGCATGTACAACATTCAATCGTGTCAAGAAACCTACAGCAGGACTGCGCCGCAATTGCTGAACTGGCATACCGGTGGTATGTATCAGCGAGATAATTGAAAGTGGCGAGATAAATCGAGAAAATGCCCATGGTCGAACATCCAACAGCCATAGCAGGCACGATCCAAGGCACAGATGGGAAAGAAGTCCAGCCGAACCAGAACATGCCAATGGGTAGGAGTACTGATTCAACACAGACGAAGTACAGTCGACCCTCGGCAGCGGCAGACTTGAGGCCAAAGCGTGCAGCAATGCGTTCTTGGTAGATACTGATGACGCTAATCAAGATGACGCCCACACACATGGAAGTGAAAACAGCGCCAGACTGCTCAGTCGTGAAGTTGTGGCTTGTACGGAAGACGAGGGGCACGGAGCCGAATTGCAGATACAGAACTGCCCAGCTGAAGGAGACCCATAAGGAGAAGAAGAAGACGACAGGTTCGGTGAAGAGCATGTCTGGGGATATTAGCAGTGTGATTTGGGGATGGCTGGATTGACTTACGGAATGGTCGATAGACCGAGATCTTGATCATAGATAAAAGGGAGGCTCGCTCTTCGTCGCTCTTCACCTTCCATCTGATTCGTCGAATGCTCTTTTCATCTGGTGACTCTTCGCTGGATAGCATGACGCCGTGGTGGCCTGCTTCTTCAAGCTGTTCGTAGTATTTGTTTAGTTTCGCGGCCTTCCGGCTGAGCAGTACGCTGCCTCGGGTTTCTTTGAAGAAGAAAAAGATGATCACGACGAATGCTGCGGATACAATGGCGTGCGAGTAGAATACCCAGCGCCAGGAAGTTCGAGTGACAATCACACCGGAGATGAGTGGTGCCAGGCCAGTTCCGAAGAGGGCAGATGCCGAGAAAAGGGCCATGGCTGTGTTGCGGTCGTGGGCGTGATAGATATCGCTGATTACACCACCGACCATGGTGGAGAATGTTGCTGTTGAAAGCGAGTCAATGCATGTCCGATATTAGGGTTTGGATCGTATATCCATATACAAACTTACAGCCGCCAACACCTTGGAAGAATCGAGCCACAAGAAGTCCAGCGAAGGACTGTGTTCCACCGCAACCAATCAAGCTGGCTGTACATGGTGTCAGTTCCATCCAAGCAATTAGCCGAGCCCTGTAGAGATATACTCACCAACAAAGAGCACACCGCTAGCGATGAAGATCGGGCGCCGCCCATTGATCTCCGAAAATGGCGCCAGCACCATGGGCGCAAGGGCAAAACCACAACAGAACAGCGTGATACTTAAATTATAGACCACAGCACTGATCCCCCACTTTTCAGTCAATTCCTCCGAAGCAGGACTCACTTCACCAGCCGCATAACCCGCCAACGCCGTGACGCCACAGGCAATATAAGTCATCATAGACTTACGCCATTTAGGCCAAAGGAACGGAGAAGTATATTTTTCCAAACTAGGCGGTTCAGGCGGCGGAGACTGATTAGGACCTGGTGGTAAACTGATACATGGCGTAGGGAGGGGCGTTTCCAGCTCCAGGTATCTGAATTCGATATCTTGAGACTCGCAAAGCGACTCTGGCGTGTCCTCTCGTTTGGCCATGGTTTTTGGCTCTGGGTCGGAGAGGCCAGGTGAAGATAGCATGGAGTGAGTCAGGGTAATACTTTGATGCTCTTTGATATTCCGGGGCCCAGACAATTTTTATACAACGCTAAGGCTGTAAATTGTGGGGACTGGAAATTGGAGAAATCAGGATAAAACGCCGAGACGGTTGTCGGGATCTCCAATTTTATATCAACTCCCTGGACTCTATAGACACGTAAACCTTGAAAGAATTGTCGACAATGCGTACTTAAGTAGTAACATCGCACGTGTAACACTCAACACTACGCTGATTGCTGCTGAATATAGTCTACATAGCTTTTGACCTGGTATACCTGTAGATCGGCATTCTGAGCGATCTGACAAATGCGCCTTTATCGGTACCGTTCCCGACTTCAGGAGTTTGGTTCCGGTTGCGACCACGCCTTGCCCTAATTCCACGACATTTCATCTTCTTACCATCTTGCTCTGCTTTGCTTAATTCAATGTAATACTTTGAGATTTAAATTGGTGATACTCTTTTACTGTAAGGCTATCTAATTTTTGTGATATAATATTGGGCGATTGGGTATCTCGCGCATACCGGCCTAAGGTGATTCGCGAGTACTCCTAGAGGCCACGTTGGGCAATGGCAGTATATACTCCATACGGACTTCAGGAGTATTGAATGAGATAGATATTCGATTTGTCGTGCACATAGCGAATGAGGCGTGGGCGGAGTGAAGACTGAAGGCAAATTGATGACTCAGATTACTCCGATTTGGGGAAATTCGGGGAAATGCAAGACGAAATGAGATTTGAGGACAGAACACAAAGTACGAAGATCGTAGGGAAATAGGAAACTAGGAAAAATTAATTACTAGAATATTCGTTGATTTTTCTCATGCAGCCCTGCAGATAGGGATTATATTCGTAGATCAATTTTAGAAATCGTTAGATGTAGGTTAGGCTATACATGGCCAAAAGCAATGACCCCCGGAGTCAACACCCCATCTCCCCGATCACATATTGTTCACAAATACAACACGCCATGTACAAAAGACCCCATGCTGAGCAGTAAGCCCTACCAGTGCCAACGGTGCCCAAGGGCATTTGCTCGTCTGGAGCATCTCCAACGTCACGATCGGTCACGTAAGATCCCAAATCAACCACTTTGGAGCCCCAATTAATATCCCCACAGACACCAAAGAAAAACCATTCGTCTGCGTCCAATGCCCCAAGGCATTCACCCGCAAGTATGTGATCTCCCTCATTTTGTCTGGTCCACTGCTGACCTACAGGGATCTGCTGGCCCGTCATGAGCGTCTTTCCCATAACCCGGACGCAAGCCCGGCCAGCAATCAAACACCAACACCCTCCCCCGCCCATCCCATCTTGGATGGGCTGGATACCTTGGCATCCGTAGTCACAGGCCATGCCCAATCTAACAGGTCCTTGCAGTCCAATGAGCACTTCCCGGCATTATCGCCCGTGCACCAGACCCCGATGCTAGGAGCTCAATTGACCAGCACAGACACACCCTCTGCAGGCCCCACCACTCCAATCCCAGGCTCTGATTTCGGTTATACACTGGGTGGTTATGCGCCTGGCTCCTACGAGGGAAATGATTTCACTTCTTTTTTGGACAGTGTGCCCCTGCCGAGCCATCCGTTCTCTCCAGCTTACCAACCATTGCCTCTATTTCCACCACTGCATTTCTCCCCGGTTCATGATTATGATCAAACCTCTGATAGGGCGACTCTGAGTGAGACTACACCTTCCACTCCGTCAAGCTCAGTACTTCCCAGACATGGCGCTCAATTGCCCTCCCTTCAGCCAGAAGGGTATCAAACTTCTGGCAAGGCGCGCCAGCCTACCGGATTTGTGCCCGTGACGGCGCAATGTCGGGAGAAGCTCTTCGTCATGCTATCGGAGTATGCCAATGTCGTCCCGAATCCGTCCCTTCCATCTCGACATGCGCTCTCTCGATGCTTGACCGGTTATCTAACCGGTTTCCATGACCACTATCCGATCGTCCACATCCCAACTCTGGATGTAGAGTCAATGTCTCTGCCATTGTTCCTCTCAATGGCCGCACTAGGTGCACGCTACTGCCGGGAACCGGAAACCAGCTACAATCTCTATCAGATTGCCAAACCGGTGACGCTGGAACACGTCCGTCGGGTCTTTCTCTCTGGCGTATTACCGCCTGTCGATATGGTCCATGACACTGATACCCTCGAAACATTGCAAGCTTTGCTGTATTTGACTTCAGTATCCGCTTGGTTCATCAACAATCCTCCGTACCATGAGGCGCTGTCAATTCGCAGTCACATGGAAACAATATTGCGGAAAGGAGGACTTAATACACTACCGGAATGTGATGGCACCTGGGCCAGCTGGATCCGACGGGAATGCGTCAAGCGCACTAAACTAATTGTGTTTTGTTTCTTCAACATTCACACCATCGTCTTTGATGTCCCGCCCGTAATTCTGACAGAAGACTTTACACTAGAATTGCCCTGCACGGAAAAGGAATGGCAAGCCGCTCGGGCAGACCTCTGGCAAGTTGAGCGCATGAAGAGCCCCGGCGAGCCAGAGTTCCAGGACGCCCTCTCTTCACTCTTCGAACCAAACAGCAACGTCCAGCGATTTTCATCACTAGGCGGCTATGTGCTGATCCACGCCATTCTCCAAGATATCTGGCTCATGACTAAAGCAGGCCGGCTGCCAGTCTCCCGACGCAATCGATTCAGTCCTTCCTCAATCACATCCACCCCGGAGCTTGTCTCAGTCGAACAGGCACTAGAGCGTTGGTGTCAGTGTTGGGAACGCAATCAAGAATCTTCAGTCGATCCACTCAGCCCCCACGGACCACTTTCCTTCACATCCGCAGCTCTACTCCGTCTAGCATACATCCGACTCAACGCAGACTGCGGCTCAACCCGCCAATTACAAACATGGGACCCGGTCCAAATCGCAACAAGTCTCCGTGAAAACCTATCTGTTCGACGCGGAGACCGCCTCACCCGCGCAGCTCTTCACTGCGCACATGCTCTCAGCACGCCCGTGAAACTCGGCATCGGATTCGTGGCTCACTCACAGGTCGCACTGTGGTCCAACCAGCATGCGCTATGTTCACTCGAATGCGCAGTTCTACTAGCCAAGTGGCTTGAGGCAGTTACAGTGCCGCATCCTGATCCGCAGTTATCAGAGCAGGAGAGTCGGCTGCGAGACTTTGTGCTCGAGATGGTAATGGAGGTGCAGCATGGTGTTTCACGGGAATGGCTCCTGGCAACAAATACCCGCCTCAGTGCCGCAGTTACCCGGCTGTGGGCGCGGCTTTTCACAGCGGATTATATTTGGGAAATGGTCGCTTTAATTGGGAGGTCTTTGAATAGTTATGCAGACTTATTAGAGCAATAAAAAGAGCCGCCTTTGCAATGGGTTGCAGCCACTCTTGCCAATGAGGTCTACGGACTAGGGCTAATCATCCGACAACAGAATACATTGCAGCGCTTGTCCCCGGCTGATTTCCTTCCGAGTCAGACAACTAGCTTCGTCTTTAGAATCAATCATGTTGCTGTGGGTCAGACTCGGCACTTCCCCAACATCCGAGATGCCAGAATTGACGCGTCTCCCGAGTCTGACAACCGTAACCCACAGCCAAAGGGCGTACGGAATATGCACCATGTATCCCGGTGACTCACATCAACATTGACAACTGGATCCCCGCGGAGCTCGAAATGCATATAAGCTCCTACCTCGGCTCCAATTTCCCCAACTCTCAGCCCTAAGAACCGATCCATTTTGTCAAAATGCCCACGCCCTTGACCACTACACCAGAGATCCTGTCTCTCCTTCAGGACTTACATGCTAAATCCCTGAACCAAGAATCAGCCGTGGACTGGATTACCCTACCAGCACAATGTACAGAAGAATTCGACACCATTATGCTCGACAAGTTCATAGCACTTGATCAGGACAAGTGCGAGCTCGTGTACCATATCCTTCGCAGCACAAATGCAACCACAGTCGTCGAGGCCGGGACTAGTTTTGGAGTTAGCACTATCTACCTTGCTTTGGCAGTCGCGGAAAATGCCAAGCGCGCTGGGTCCGGGACTCCCCGTGTCATCGCTACTGAGAAGGAGGTGTCGAAGGCTAAACTTGCGAAAGAGCATTGGTCCAGTGCTGGAAAGGGGGTTGAGGATGTTATTGATCTTCGGGTTGGGGATTTGCGCGAGACTCTTACCTCAGACTTGGGGGTTGTGGATTTCCTTTTGCTGGATAGTAAGTTGACCTGAATACGTTGAGGGAAGACTTGGGTTCTCTCTCAGTGTCTTTGATATCAATGTACTAACTACGTTTAGTCTGGACTCCCCTGGCTCTTCCTGCGCTGAAAATTGTCCAACCTCACTTGCGGCCTGGTGCAGTGATCATCGCCGATAACACGATCATGGCCGGGGATAAATACGCAGAACTATTTGCGTATATTGACGCCGAGGGAAGTGGATTCCGACGAGTGACGATGCCCTATGCTGGTGGAATGGACATGATAGTGTATCAATAGAGGCATAGAAGAACAGAATGAACCAGTTCTCCCCGCACTGAAACCCCTCATCTACTCAAGTACCTAACACAATTCCTTTCTTTCTCCAAAATAACTCAATTGTCAATTGAGACCTCAAATATGGCAAACTTCCAATCCATCCCCCAAGAAGAGGGCCTATTCAACGCAGCCCCAAGTCTCAATCCACCCCCAAACCCAGCAACAAAAGACTACAAGCTAAACCACCTCGCCATCCGAATCACCAACCCAGCCGCCTCCCTCCATTTCTACATCAACCTCCTAGGCATGCGAATAATTTTCACCATGAACGCCGGCCCCTTCACAATCTACTACCTAGGCCACCCACCAGCATCAGCAACAGAAGAAGAAGTAACAGAGTGGGCCAAACAAACCAGCGAAATACCCAAGATGACCACCACAGCCGGTCTATTGGAATTGTATCATACGCATGGGGCAGAAGCGGAGTCGGTTTCGAGTGGCAATGTGCCTCCGGCGTTAGGGTTTTCGCATTTGGGGTTTACGGTTCCTGATGTGGGTGTTGCTGTTGAGAGGTTGAGGGGTGGTGGGGTGAGGATTTTGAAGGATGTGGGTGTTTGTGACAGGGGGAGTGTGCCGCTTTCTGAGTGGGAGGAGGAGAGGGGGATTGGGAGGGGGGAGATTCATGGGAATTATGCTTGGTTTTTTGAAAAGTTTGCTATGGTTGCTGATCCGGTGAGTTGATCTGCTCGAAGTGGTGTTTTGGGTGCTAATGGTTTAGGATGGGTATACGGTTGAGTTGATTCCGCAGAGTATTTGATACTAAAGGGATTTGCGGTTCGAGGGTAAAGGTTAGTGCGGTTAGGCATCTAAATGTTTACTATCTGGATTTGATATGTCAAAAGGTGGGAGCAGTTCAGCCCTAAATGATTTCTGGATTTAACCTATACAAGCCAGTAGATAGTACAAATGCGAGAATTTATGGCTGCGCACCCCAACTGTCGTCCTCCGCAACGTCATAGTCCATATCCCGTGCGGGAGCGTTGACCTCCGGGGCTGGTGTTGGCGCCGACGACATGACTGTATCTTCTGGCTCGTCGTGACCCTTGCTTTCTGTAGGAGGGAAGGTGATGGGAGGATTGGCCACCCATGTGAGCTGGACATCTCCCACAGAGGGGATGTTCCAGGGAGAGAACATGAGCTTCTCGGCCTGGAAACGCTCTTTGAATGCCACGACAACAGAGTTGGGCTGGTCAGGGTGTGCCTCAATAGATTCATATTCACCAACGCCCTAGAATAGATATTAGTAAATGCCGTTTTCAAGTTTCGAAGTGTATAAACTACTCACCATCAAGTGCTGACGCAATGCCTCATCCTTCTCTGAGTGGAGGTCAACGCCTGAGACGGCAACCCGACGAGGACGGTTGTCCAGACGAAGAACGCCTCCTCGTCCGCGAGCGCTGAATCCGCCACGTCCACGGCCACGGAAATTGGGGTCGTAACCGCCACGTCCACGGAATGCACCTCGGCCGCGGTACCCACCTCGTCCTCGGTAGCCTCCGCGTCCTCCAGCGGAAGGATCGGCCTCAGGGTCGAGACCCATGCTCTTCGCCTCGGCTTCAAGGGCAGCGAGTTGAGCTCGCAGCTGCTTTGTTTCTTCGCTGGCGTTATCATCGACAACAGGCTCGACGGCCATGGCGTCTCCAACGGCGGCGCTGGAGTCTGCTCCGCCTAGTCGCTGCAGGAGACGGTTACGCTCATCTTGCTGTTTCTTGAGAAGCTCATCGCGTTGGCGTTCAAGTGCCTGCTTTGCAGCTTCGGTTTCCTGACGCTTCTTCATTTTTTCTTCATGGGCCTTTTGGGCTTCTTCTTGTTGCCTTTGGAATTCCTCGGGATTGAAGGCTGGGGCCTCCGGGCGAAGGCTACTGGCCTGTGCCTCTGGTTCCGGCTTGTACCAGTAGACCTTCACGAACCGGTTATCGAAGATAACCTTGGGGCTGGACCACGCAGCCTTGGCCTCAGGGAAAGTATCGTATTTGACCAATGCCAACTTTTTGTGAGGCTGCAAAGATACCTCGGTGATGTTACCAAACTCGGAGAAGAAGCCACGGACAGACTCCTCGCTGAAATGCTCTTCGGGAATCTGCTCGACTACGATAGTCGTCACAGACTGATCCTCGTTCGGACCAGCAGACGAGAAATCGGAACGACCACCACGTCCTCGTGCGCCAAATCCACGGCCACGACCACGTCCTCGGTCGCCTCGTGAAAAAGCACCACCCCGAGGGTTGAAACCGGCAGTCTTAGGGTCATATTCTGTAACTGTTAGTAATGTGAAATAGGGCCATAATATGGATGCCTTACCGTCACCATTTGAAGCACCACCCTCGCCGTGCTGGTAGGGACATGTGTTACCCAGGTAGCAAATGCCTTGTGTATCATAGAATGGGCAGCGCTGGTTGCTTTTAGGGATCTGTTCCTCGCCTGGGGCTCCAGGCATTCCCGGCATAGGCATACCAGGGAAGCCCATGCCCTGCATGGACATCATAGCTGCCATGGGATCATTGGGGTCAAATTGAGGGAATCCACCCATCATGGGGAACCCTTGCCCCTGCTGCTGCGGGTACTGTTGTTGCGGGTACTGCTGTTGCCCGTATTGCTGACCGGGGTGCATGCCATACATCTGATGTCCACCGAAGTCACCACGAGCACCCCCGCGCCCACCCCTTCGTGGGGTCTTCATAGCCCGGTTCTGGAACGCGGCATTATCCTGCTCCGACTCGCCTTGGAATCCATCATTGAATGTTCGTTTGCGACCACTTCCGGGAGTCGGCGCACCCTTTGGGCCACTTGGAGCGTTCGCAGGAGCTTGTGATGGTGTACCGAGAGCGGGATTCGAGGTTGGCTGTTTTTGCTGAGGTGTAGGAGGGGCTGGCTTGGGGCCGAATTTTGTAAAGAGTTCATTGACGAAGGGTTGCGTGTCTGGAGAGTATTAGCGACAAGTCAGAAGGGTGCGATCGGTCATACGCACGTTCGCGCAGGAAATCCTCCAGGTTTTCCACAGAGTTTCTCTTGTTTTCGTCGTCTGGCGCGTCAGTCCTGACTAGCGCCAGGACATAGTCGGCTAACACATCCGAGTCGGCATCGGAGCTGATCATTGAAAAAGCGATGTTAGCCACTGCGTTCATGCCATCGTCGAGCGTCGGTTCAAGCGGGTAGTCAACTCACATGTCCTCCAGCTTCTTCACCACCCACTTCTTCACGCCAACGGCTTCCGCATCGGTAAATTGCATTGTGAAGTTTTCAAAGCCAGCTTGAGCTCGGAGAATCGAATTGAGTCAATGAGGCCAGTGATGTGGGGAGCAGCGATTGCAGGGATCCGGTTTCGACTGCCGTCACCCGCGGAAACTTTTTTGCTTGCGCAACAAGTGCAAGAGTGAAACCACCTGTCGGGTAAATTGAAACGAATTATATCAGTGGCGATTAATCTCAATGGACATGAAGGTCAGTCCCAGGTGCGATGTAAGATGGGTCGTGAGTTTCCGGGCCCAGTTGAGCGCGACTGGACGGCGTCAGAAAAATAGGGTCACGTGATTATGTATTGGCCTTACAGAGCTGGCAGGAAACATACAGACCCCCCACGCTCTTCAATCGCGCTCTACGACTACAGTGCACATTTCAGCTACGAAGAACAACTGCGCCTAGCATACCGAGTTTATTTTCATATCGAAACTGGTACCTAGGCTACAGCAAAGAAAAAAGCCATAAAACCAACGCAAAATCGATCCGCAAAAAAAGCAATAGAAACCAGCAAAGAGTCAGTGAAGTTGCGAGACTTCCGGAACGATGACTCGAGCTCTAGTGACGGCATGATTGAAAGCGAATACCGAAGAATGAGGGAATAAAATTTTGTTTGAACCGAAGAAATTGTATTGAATTCATCAATCTCATGAAAGTTTCCACGAATGACTGGCAGTAGTGCAAATCTGGGTGTCCGTGAACATTTTTACAGCTTGTCGTAGTACTAGAGAAGGGAGTTAGTAAGAGTGACCAGGATGGATCAAGAAAAAGACTTACGTTTTCGTATCCAGGGACAACCTCCTTGAGACCCTTGCGCTTGCGCATCTCCTGGACGACCTGACCGGGCTTGGTGGTGGGGTCGAGGGGAGAGCCACCGGGAAGGATGCTCCAGTGATCGAACACGGACTGGGGGAAGGCCTGACCACCGGTAGCGGAACGCAGGTCGGCGGGGAAACCGAAGGACTCGTTGACGGGCAGGTAAGCCTTGACCATGAACAGAGGGGTTCCGGGGCGCTGCTCCTCGGTGTAGACGTGACCACGACGGCGGGTAAGGACACCGTAGATACCACCCATAGCCTGCTCGGGGACCTGGATCTCGACGTTGAAGATGGGCTCGAGGAGACCGGGGTCAGCAAGCATAGCGGCGGCGTACAGAGCACGACGGGCAGTGGGGATGATCTGACCACCACCACGGTGAATGGCATCAGCGTGGAGAGTGACATCGAGGATGTTGAAGCGGACGGAACGCATGGGCTCCTCAGCGACGGGACCCTCACGGGTGGCCCACTGGAATCCAGAGACAACGGAATCCTTGATTTCGTTCAGGTACTGCACAGCCTTGGACTGATCGATGAGCAGGTTGGCACCGGTGGTGTCGGGACCGAAGCACCAAATCTTACGGGCATCGGTGACATCCCAGCCGTACTCGTCAGCAAGGACACGGGCACGGGCCTTGAAGTCGTCACGGGGGGAGATCTTGCCAGACTCGATGGCAAGGGAGACATCCTCCTCGATGGGCTGAGCGGTCATGTACAGACGGTTGTGCTTATTGGGGGACTTGGAGAGAGCAGTCATGCTAGACTCGCCAGCAACGGTCTCACGGTAAGCAACGACGGGGTCGGAGATACGGAGGGGAACACCAGCGTGGTCCTCCTCGAGATCCTTAAGACAAATCTCGAGGTGCAGCTCACCGGCACCGGCAACAATGTGCTGGCCAGACTCGTTGATCATGGTCAGGACACAGGGGTCGGACTTGGAGAGACGCTTGAGACCCTCAACGAGCTTGGGGAGATCCTGGGCGTTCTTGACCTCGACGGAACGCTGCACAACGGGGGACACGGAGAACTTCATGACCTTCATGTTGTGTGCAGTCTCATCGGTGGTAAGGGTACCAGACTTGAGCAGGAACTGGTCAACACCGACGAGACCGACGATGTTACCGGCGGGGACATCCTCAATGGGCTCGACGAAGCGACCCATCATGAGAATGGTACGCTGGATGGCCTTGATGAAGAGATCCTCCTTCTTTCCGGGGACGTAGTTGGGGCCCTGGATGCGGACCTTGACACCGGACTTGACGGTACCGGCGTAGACACGACCGAAGGCGTAGAAGCGACCCTTATCGGAGGTGGGCACCATCTTGGAGACGTAAAGCATCAGAGGAGCCTTGGGGTCACAGTCACGGATACCAATGCAGGCAGCATCGTCCTGAGGACCCTCGTAGAGAGTCTCGGCACGGTACTTCTGGGCAGTGACGGGGGAGGGAAGGTGGATACAGATCATCTCCAGAAGGGCATCAGCGGCAGGAAGGAACTTGCGCATGGCGACCTTGAGGAGGGCCTTGCCCTCAAGCTCCTTGTCCTCGTTGGTGGTGGGAACCTCGAGCTTGTCAAGGAGAGCGAAGACCTCATCGCGCTTGTTGTTGTTGACAGCGGCGAAGATCTTGAAGATGGGGTCCAGAATGAACATGTTGAAGGAACGCTCAAGCTGCTTGCCATCGGCAGTCTCGGACTTGTTGGTCCACTTCTTGGTGGCGGGGTTGAAGTAGTTGTCGCCCCAGAGACGGTCAAGCATCTTCTGGCGGTCGACACCGAACTTCTTGGAGTAACGGGTGGCGAACTGGCGGACAGTGAAGCACCATCCGTGGAGACCGGAACCGAAGGCGATGGTACCCTTCTCGGGGTAGACCTGGACATCACCGAGAGCCTTGTCGAAGTAGGTGGAGATGATGACGTTGACGGACTCGATGGTACGGGAGAAGGACTGGTAGAGGTCCTCCTTGCCGACCTGGAGCTCGAGAAGGGCACGGTCGACCTTGTTGATGCACAGGACGGGCTTGATACGCTCAGTCAGGGCCTGACGCAGGACGGTCTCGGTCTGGACACAGACACCGGAGACACAGTCGACAACGACAAGGGCACCGTCAGTGACACGGAGAGCGGCAGTGACCTCAGAGGAGAAATCGACGTGACCGGGGGAATCGATCAGGTTGACCAAGAACTCGTTACCGTCAACGGCCTGGGGAATGTCCTTGACATCCTCATCGGGGAAGTGGGCGTACAAGGAGATGGCGGTGGACTTGATGGTAATGCAACGGTCCTGCTCGTCGGGACGGGTGTCCATGAAACGAGCCTCGCCAGCCTTGGCAGCGGAAATAATACCGGCACGCTGGACGAGGGAGTCGGAGAGGGTGGACTTTCCGTGATCGACTGTAGTCACCGTTAGACGACGATCACTCATGATAGTGTTCTCCAGACAACTTACCGTGAGCAATGACGGACATGTTACGGATGTTAGCCCGCTTGTCCATCAGGGACCGGATCTGTGTGAGTGCAAAACGCGGGTCAGTTGACATGTTGACAGAAATTTCTTCCCAGATCACCAGATGAAGGTCCAAAAATGTCAAGGTTGTCGAGGTTGATGATGTCGATGACAGGAATTTATATCCCCAGATCCTTCATCCGATGATCTGGATAGCATTGATGCTATTCAGCTATTCAGCTGCTTCTCTCCAACGTACCTCTTCGATAGTGAAGCTATTTTCATGGTTAGTACTCTGCATTGTCCCGGATCTATGGGTCTCACTCACTTAACCATTTTGGCGGTTATTCAGTAAACTGAAATTAAAAAGAAGAAGAAGAGCACACAGATGACCAGGACCGAGACTTCTCGATCACTAAATCAAAAACTTCTATGTGCAGCTGCTCCTGGGAGAGATGAAGAGGGGAAAGAGAAGAGAGAAGAGGGGAAAAGTGGGAGAGAAAAAAAAGAAAGCGAAAGTGGGGACTTTTTTTTCTCCCGGTTTTTGTGCGTTTCCGACTTGGTATCTTACTGTATTGGCTCTACTTAGACTCTCTCTGATTTGACTCGCAGTTAACTCGCATTGCCCTCTTCTTTTGATTTCAAAGCGACTTTGCCATTGCCCTTGTCTGCAGTACCTGGTCTGTAACTTGATATCCGTGGCTCTCCGGTGACGTTGTCTACTTTGACTTTGTATCTCGACTCATAGTTACTACTCCGAGTCCCCGACTAATGTCGTACTCATGATATCTCCAAAAAGATCTGGTATTCATACATTCATACACTCATACACTCATACTCTGTACATCTGTAAACTTCAAAAATACTTGCCCAAGCCCCTCTATCACCCGACTGTGGGTCTGGAGGGGCACGTTGCTTAGTCATAAGCGATCATTCGCCATTGAGCTCAGCTTCATGGCTGGGTCGGGAGTATATATGCGTATAGCTTTAGAGCTTTATTTGGGGTCTATCATTGAGTCACATATGATCAAGACTTCATGCAATTCCGAAATATCACATTGAGCTTTTACTCAAGTGAAATTTTCACTGCACTAGCTGCATGCATTTTGGTGGGGCTCCTCAGGCACTGAGGCATCCATGCTTCTTACCATATATCGTATTGATGTCACTGTGTAATCCGTACTGTACTCCAGGGCTTAAGTTTCACCTGGCCACCTACAGCCTCAAGCCTCCTGAAGTCATTGACTATATACTATCTCTACAAAAACATGTATCATCTATCATCTACCACATCTACTAAAACTGAGAAGTGGATGGCCTCTAACCCGTGAAATCTCCCATCCCGGAAGCCCGCCGGTGCTTAGTCCCGCCCCACCCTGGAATGGGAACTGCTCTCCGACTTTGCACATAGATATTGTTTCCTTCATATACCTATAGCTCTCTTTTATTGTAGTACTTGCGTAGCTTCTCGGTTGAGTCATTGGAGAACATCGCCGTGAAAGATGCACTCGAGTCGACTTTTATTCTCCCGAGGAAATATGTGGCAATGCTGCCCCGGTGCCCAAGTGGATCACAATTTATATACCTCCAGCCGATGAGATTTGCAACTTGAGAAAAGTCAAGAGACAACTTCAGAATCTTTGGGACCGGGTCAACACAATATTATTCAAATTAACCTTGAAATACTTAAAATCACAAGGAAACCAAATATGTCAAAGTCGAGCCAGCAAGTCGGGAGGCGCATTACCCTTGAACGTCTCCAATCTACCAACAAAGCCATCCCACAAAAACTTTGATGCCATGGGAGCGTTGCAATAATCCTGCATGCCAGATTCCTGCATGATGTTCTGCAGATGAGGAAGCAAGTCATCTACTGCGTGGGATTCCATCTCTCGTTGGACATCTCGGCACAGCCCACCTTGTTCAGCATACCAAGCGGGGTCTTCCTTGATGACTCCGGCTTGGTAAAGTTGCACGAGCTTAGGATTAACATTGGCCTCCTGGGCGGCCTCGAATGCCATTCGATAACCGATAGCTTCGACCAATGGAAGGCAAAGTGGTAAAATGTTCCGGTTGAAGCTTTCACTTCGGTGATTGCCCTGAGCAGAGTGTTGAAGAAGGGATTTTGCTTCGGAGAATAGAGCAGTCTCATGTTGGGCAACAAAGCTCGTGGGAGACCTTGGTGGTGGCAGTTCATATCGACCAATCAATAACTCGGATGCGAGACCTGAAGGACCTGTCAACTATCACTCTGTTTGGTTATATGGGTTCAGGGCTCTGTAGACGTACGAATAGCAAGAACCCGCAGATCGCCTTCTGCGGTTGATGCACCTCTCATTTCCAGCTAAGCCAACTTAGAGTTAGAGCCAGCACGGTGGACGCCAGTAATATTCACAACTGAGCACTCACCTCCAGCTGAAGCAATTGGTTATGCGCAAAGTGGCCGTGCCATCCGCATCGCTCATTCATAGCTTTGATACTCTTGCTGAAGTGATTGATAGCCACTGCCTTGAAAGCAGTAGCAATACCATGGCGCACTCTAGGATCAAGGCTCATGTCGCCAAATGATTTCGCGGCGGAAATGAAGAACGACTCAAGAATGCTATATTGTGCCACGGCATGAAGGATCGGGAGACTCTATGTTCGGAATTCAATCACTGAGATTGGGTTTCCATCATGACCAGTCACGAGTCTGTTACGACTGTATTGATCTGCAACATAAGATGCAACCTTGAGGAATGGAATGACGGAGCCGGAGATGCAAAGAGTTCCAACGGCAACACGGTGAATCGCTGATGCAAAGTCTGCGCGTTTGTCGCCTGTCCCTTCTATGCTCCCTAGTAGGGCAGATCGGGGTAAGCGTACATGACTGAAGTAAGTTACGGTATGGTCAATGGGATGAGTTCCGGTTCTTGTAGGCAATGCCCTATAGTATTCCGAGAATTACTTGACCAGTTCATCAACAGTCGCCGGGTTATAAGTGTTGGGGCTCACTTTGATATGATATTTTGGCACATCTGATTGCCATCTCCGATCTGAACAAGAATGGGCCTGACCCCACAGTCGTTGCCTTCAGCGACAAGGCGAGCCATTACAATGGCAACAATGGGAATCCCGCTTCTAGGCGTGGCCGGAGGCATAACTCTATCTAGGCGTTAGCCCTAAATCAGCAAAGGATCACGTATTCCTGCATACTTTGCATCATCGGGTGAAGGGGTATGGAGATTGATATCGCCATCAGGCATGATAGTAGCCGTTGTCCGAAGGTTGCGCGCGTCGAGTCCATGGTCAACTTCGGTAAGCATAAATTGACCACTGTGCAACTGTGATTAGATCAAACATTTCATATGTAGATGTCATAGTATGACGTTTGACGGTAGCGCGTACGATATTTCAAAGTTCATGGCAGCTTTCAGAATGGAACGAAGCTCTGGGCGTTGCATGGCAAATGGAGCCAATGTACCGATGAATAAATTGGTCTGGACGGTGAGAAGAGTGAGAGCACCTCCATCCAAAGCCACTAGAGGCTGGAGATGCATATTGCAAAACTTCGGTGTCATTTGTAGGATATCTTGTATAGTTAAACCTGCCATGATATGTTTTAGAGATCATCGCATGTGAGGCCGAGGAAATACTTTACCATATGCCTCACTGATAGCTTTAGCTCTTTGGTACGTCAGTTTAGTGCGCTCTTCCAGGCTCAAGGTGAACGAGGCAGGCTTGAATAATGGAGAGCATGCCAACTCGGACATTGCCGTATTCGTCTCTTGGTAGGGCGATTGATCTATCAACACTTTCTCCATGATTAAGCTCAATTTTCAAGAATGCGAATAGACGATGGAACTTCCTCGAGATCCATTGCAATAAATATTGACGGCCCATGGCACAGAGATTTAAAGCATCGGGTAAATTTGCCAAACTCGAGTCCACTCGGACCAATTTGATGCTTTCCATCCCCCAAGAAAAACGCTCCAGCTGAGGTATACCCACCACGACAATTGACGTATGCAGTATGGAGTAGGGTGTGTTGGCTTTGGTGATTTGGCAAATTCTGGCGAACGCCGAGCTTTCTCAATCATTGGCACAAAATGAATACCAAGAAGATAACCCCACGAGTAATACATGGCGAGCTGTGGCGAGCTGAGCTTTGTTTGCTAGTTTGTCAACTATGGCTAATTTGGTGGTTATTTCGAATAACTAGTTATTCCGTACTTGGGCACATACAGGGTACGGAGCACAGAATGCTCGGTAATTCGACCTTAGTAGGTATTGCAGGCAAGAGAAATCCTTGGATTCACTTGGAGTTTACATAAAGCCATCTGCTGATCCCCATCTTTGTGCATGTGGATTCGGGTGCCTATGATCGTGGCGCTAATAGGCGACAGCTCGAAAAACGGTCACTATGACCACTATTGTTTGTCTGTTTGTATCTGCTCCTTAGTCTATTTGAGACATTTATTATGTTATGAACAGCTTTGTTGTATCCAATTACTTGTTGAGATTCTCTGTGCACCACGGGATCCTGTCTAGTTAGCATTTCAGGTCATGACTCATGAGTACCAAAGTACCCCATAATACTAGCAGGGTCAGATAAAGTGCCTGCAAATTCGTTTGTTTGGCCATTCTACGACGCAAGGAATTGTTAAAAATATGCCCAGATATCAGATAATACACTTAGATAGTAAAATGATGCTTTCACTATTAAAACCGACGAGCAAAATGGATGGAGTGTGCACTGGTGCGGGTTTGAGGAAGTGACATTCTGGATCTACAAGTACTCATTCTGCCGGGCGGGCTTCAAAGACAGCGATAGGATCACGTGGTGATAGCATCGTTATCGTTATCGGGAATCGGGAATATCGTCTCAGTCTGGAGGGTCTTGAGCTTCAACTTCTTCCACAATCTCTCAATATCAACCCTTCGAAGTGGAACTTTTTTCATGAGTCAATAGTCGTGTGGATAAGTGACCAGGTATGTGCCAGCTGCCCCGCATACACCGCATACACCGCATGCGCTACACACTATTCCTTGAGCTCGCGCTCCCTCCTCCATCGTCAATCTCCAGCTGTGCAATTGTCTGTTGACTGTCGTCAACCACAATACCAATTGATATTGTCTGGATACGACTTGATTGAAACAATGGCTGACAGTTACCCAAATTTGCAGAATATCGTCAAGGAACTCGGGTTTGCGCCTAGCGAGCAGGAGTTCCTCCGTCGCCTGTTCGGATCGTCGGACCCATTCGCGGGACTCCCCGACACTGATCTTGAGGCCGCTAGAGGTCGTGATCAATCTTTTACGTTGAGTTCGAAGAGCATCACCCAGAGACTCGCCTCTTTGGGGTCCAGGTAAGGCTTGCATTCCGACCACGACCGGTCAGCTTTGGCTGACAGTTGTGCAGCTCTCGCGCTCAGCGGCTCAGCCAGTCACCCCCACGTCACAGCACGACCCAATCCTTTGAAATCACCAGCAACAGATCTTCTGTACACTACGAAGACGAGTGGATATCTCTAATCGCAGCGGAATCGGAATCCCTGATTTCCGAACTACTTCAACAAATCGTCCCTGACAACGAGCCCTCCCAGATCGGAATCAACGACCCAGCTAGCTCATCGGTCTATGATAGCGACATAGGTGAGCCTTCTGATTTTCGCATCAGCCCCAACCCAGGACACCGTGAAACCCAACCCAACAGCCCAACTCCCCCGGGTCCAAGGACTTCCACCGAATCCCTCTCCCTTGAGGAACTAATAGCCTCGTTCCCACCACCTCCCAGTTTGCATAGCAACCCCGGCCACATGTGGAGCTTTATGAGACCCCGCGAGACTTCCCGAGAAGATTCATTCGTACCAAGTGCCCAGGCTAATCCCTCAACGTTCAGCGGACGCGCAAACGCCCTAGATACCCTCGATAATCCGATCGGCATCACAGTTCCGTCACCCTCCCACGATAAGCCAGGCAGAGAACCTCCATCCACGATTCGGCAGGCCCCAAGACGTTTGTCCAGAAAAACCCGCCGCCCGGAGGTCCAACCTAAATACAAACTAGTGCCTCGTGATAGTGCTCATCGTTCGAAATCCACAAGCCGCAACGGTCAACCCTCGTGCATCCCACCAAATTTCTCGCGCAAGCTCCCCGCACAACGGCACACCTTGAACACCAACTCGGTCGGATACCGTAGAGTCAGCGCCGAGCCTTGGGTCTTCAAACCAACGCCTTTGCGAGTTTGCACCTCCGCTTCTGCAGTTTCAACTATCTCCCCGGAACTTACCCCACAACTTACCCCACAACTTGCTCCTGTATCCGAAGCTGTGCTATTACCTGTGCCTGTGCCAGGCCCAAAGTTAAAGCGAAAGCGAGGCTCGAGTTGTGGACTCGGAGAACTCAAAGCCCTGTTTAATTGGGTTTGGGGCCTCATCTTCCAACATTAGCTCGCTGTGAGAGCAGCCCCCCACCGACCTGCAGCGCATTCTCCCACTGAACCTTCTCTCTGCGCTGCCTTTCAACGCCATTCTGATCGAACCCAAAAAACAAAAAGGTCTGAAAAAAAGTGCCACATTTCCGCAAAAATGGATTCACGGGAGTCAGCATTCTTGGATCCGTCCTCCGCAATGGCGGCCATCACCAAACACAAGGTGGATGCAATCAAGCTAGCCCGCGAGCAGGGTATGGCTGTTCGAGAGATGTGCCGCCGCGCGAAAACTGAAGTCCCGGAATATGAATTTGAAGAGCTGATTGGCAAAGGTGCTTATGGCCGTGTCTATAAGGGGCACCAGACATCCTCAGGCCGAGTTGTTGCTATCAAAGTTATGGATATCGATTCGTTAGACTACAACGCATTTCGAGATCAAAAGGATGAGTCTATCAAAGAATTCATCCACGAAACCACAGTCATGAAGCAAGTGAAAGATTCCGGAGCTCAAAATATCAACGAGCTCATTGAAGCGATCTCAATCCACTCTCAGTTGTGGTTGGTTTGTGAATATTGCCCTGGTGGCAGTGTACGTACATTGATGCGCGCAACGAATGACAAGCTTGACGAAAAATACATCATCCCAATCGCTCGTGAGTTGGCTGTCGGTCTTCGGGCTATCCATGGGGCTGGAATCATCCACCGCGACATCAAAGCTGCAAATGTTCTTGTCCATGAAGAGGGGCATCTCGAGATCTGTGACTTCGGTGTTGCCGGTGTACTTCAGTCTCAGCGAGACAAGAGATCAACATGGATTGGTACACCGCATTTCATGCCCCCTGAAATGTATGCCCCCCGAGCAGAGGCCCATCGGTATGGAAGTGAGGTTGATGTATGGGCATATGGGTGTACTTTATTCGAGTTTGCCAATGGAACACCACCCAACGCAGGCCTGCGTGACCGAATGCACATTGGCCGCCAGCTGACCCGTAAAACGCCGCAACTTGAAAAGGATGGGTACAGCCAGGGCCTCAAGGACCTTATTACTTTCGCCCTAGACCCGAATCCGCATACTCGCCCCACGATGGAGGATATTCTCGCCCATCCTTACATTATGGATACCGAGGAGGAGTACCCCACTTCGTCTGTGCGTGAGTTGGTGAAGAATTACTATCAGTGGTCTCAGCGAGGTGGTCAGCGCCAGTCCTTGTTTCAGGCCGGCGGAGCAGCCGCAGCAGAACTTCCAGACGCGGAGGAATCAAACGATGACTGGAATTTCAGCACGACAGATGGATTTGAAAGGAGATTCTCTGTCATTGACATGGATCAAATTGCCGCCACATTGGCTCAGATGGAGGAGCCTCTCAGCCCTACCAGCCAGTCACCCGAACCCGATATGAATGAAGAGTTCTCGGAGGATGCACTCAGCCCTGAAGACAAACTAAACTTCGATGAACGCGTGCGCCGTGGTGCTGAGGCTATGGAAGGACTGTTTGACGAAGAGAAACCGAGTTACAAATACGAAACCAAGAGGGACTTTGTTCCGCTTGAGGTGGCACAGCCCACATCGGATCTACCTCTCCGCTCCGAGACAGATCGTTCCTCCGTCACATCAACATTCCTCGATATCGATATCGGATCATTCGAGGCTTCACACTACGCGGCAGGCGCTCCAGCCGCGCAGCCATTCCAGCTAGTTGATGCCAACACAATCCGCGCAACTCGTTCAAGCATTCGACCGCACAGGAACTCTAACGATGATAGTCCCAGGTCTTCTGATGATAGTGTTGGCGACAACTCTAGCTACACCACAGCCTTTGAGGATACATTTGTTCCTTCTGGTCCACGACCCCCAACGATGGACTGGAAATTCCCGTCGTTTGGGCCTCCAGAAGATACTCCACCAGAGGAGGAAGAGTCGCCTACACAACCACCCGCTGAGGAGGACACTATTCGAGCTGAAAAGCGCGCCACCATGCAATGGACATTCCCTGTCATGGGATCCGTCCCTGAAAGCCAAGCCTACGAAGATCGACATGACACTCTCCGAGCCCCACTTCCCACCCTATCTGAGGCTGTTTCGAGCCCACCGCAGGCCAATGATGAGCCAGGTGAGGCTCGCCCTTCCACCTCGGCCTCTAACACATCGGATTCAGATTTTAACATTGCCGCTTCCAATGATTTGGACTATGACCCCTTCCGATTTGATCGCCCTGGAACCCCACCGGGCACATCATCACTTCAACATGCTCACTTCTGGGACACAAAGGTTCCGATGATGATAAGACATTCTGGCTACGGCGAATACAAGGCTTCCGGGATGCTCGATGGCCCCGGGCCCGACGAAGAGGATCAACCTGTATGGATAGATTACCCTGGACCATTTTCCCCCGATGGTAGCATGGCTCCCAGTACTGGCACGATCCCTAGTACTGGCAAGACCATCGATAGTGCTATGACCGTCGGTAGTTTCAAGACCGTTCTACCAACGGCCGGTTCAAGCCCCGGAACCCCTACTGCATCCTCCGTAACCTCAGGGCCGGTATCAGAGCCTGGGTCTCCTGTCTTCGACACCGTCCGGCATCATCGCGCCGAGTCTTACTCTGAACCCCCGATGGAGCTTCCGCATTTCCGAAATGATAGTTACATTGACACCCACATGGTGTCCCAAGGCGGGAAGGGCGCCATCCTCTTCCCGTCCTTGATCCCTCCAAGTTCTGCAAGCCTTACGGAGGGTGTTGATGATGGTGTGGTGGCCGCAGAATTCGATAGACTGTTGGCCGATCTCCTGGAGTCCCTCGAGGCTACTGGTGAGGCTTTGGCGAGATACGAGCCTCACCAGGATGCCAACGGGGGACTCCAGGATGTGGAGGAGGTCTAGATGACCTTGTTTGAATTTTGTTTGATTACGATGTAGATGTATGCATAGCGAGCCAATGTGATTTTTCTTACTCAAAACCGGGCTCCGTCTGCCTGTATATGCGTGTAGGGACTTCCCTCTCACCTCAGTGAGCTCACGGGGTATTTTAGGTGTAGTAAGAGGTTACTTGGTGGTGGTCTGCAAATATCAAGAAAGGTAAGTGGCCTACAGTTTTGGGTGTGAGAGGCCATCAAGCACATATGGCTTTCTGGATTCCTCGACACCAGAGGCTCTCTCCTCTCTCCCCTCTCATCTTCCTCCATCTCAAAGATATTTTCTCTCTTCCTTCTCAGCTCTTTTCTCTCTTCTCTGTTCTACCTCCTCCCCTCTCTTCCCCTTTGGTACTGAGTATCAGACTCTCTATGCGATGTCTGCTCTTGAATCCTCCGTGGTACCAGAGGAGGTACCTTTCTCGTCCATCCCATTTTCGCCTCCAACGAATCACGAAGAGTGGAAGCTGGCTCTAGTCGAGGTGAAGTGGTTCTGTCTCAACCAGCAGTACAAGCTATGCTATTCTCGTTGCAATCAGCTCATTGAGACTGCAGTGGACCCGGTTTGTCACATCGCATGAATTTCAAGCACGGTTTGCTAACATCTTCTCGTGCAGCTTAATCCAATCCGTGCCACCTACCTTCACTACTATGCAGCGACATCCTATGAGTATCTGGGACGAGCTGCTCACATATTCTCGAACGCGAAAGTTCCGCTACTGATGTCTGCTGTGGAGAATTTTGAAGCTTCCTTAGCTGCCTTGCCAGCTCTGCTTCCACAACCAGTGTTGAATCCTGATCGGAGTTATTCTCCCTTGAGTGATAATCCATATTCGCGATCTCCATCACCCCGATCAACTCTGTCGCCCCTGGGCAGTGACTGGAGCCCGAGCCTGCCTACTCTCTGTGATGATGATCCTCAACCCGATACTGAGGTCAACTCACCTTCGTGCCGTATTTGGAGCCCTCTGACCTATTCGCCGGTCTTAGCTCCTTCACCCAGCACTCCGGTCAAGAAGACTTCCCACCAGCCTGACGGGCCGTTTCAGACTCCCAAGCGTTCTCGAACAGTATGTCCCTGCTTTACTCCGTTATCTGACAGTACATCGGTTGCCACTGCGTTTTGTGTCACGCCTTCTCTTTCATCTGGAAAAGTGTCACGCCCGGCTTATGATCCACGCACCGTGGTTTTTGACATACCACCCCCTGTGCGTGCTCCTCCCCCTCCTCCCCATGAGGAGCCGTCTAGTCCGTCCGTCGCAGATAAATTGGTCGCTTTTGACAGCGAAGACAATGGGTTTCGGGTTGGAGGCAATATCGTTAGGAACATCGCCCGCATGATCAACAACTCGACTCTGGACGAGTCTAACGACCCCTTTATGTCGTCCAGCGAGCAAGAGCAAGAGCAACAGCTAACTCTCCGACTTCCCATGCGCCCTCCGGTACGGTTGTCTCCCATCAAGTTCCCGGCTGAGTTTCAAGATACGGCAAAGCAAATGAAACTCCTGCCATCGCCGCTTCAAATTCGGAAAACCTCTGGTGACGTTTTTAAATGCGGTGGTCCTGGAGTTGTCATTCGCAAGGGCTCAGAGGAACCAAATCCTGAGGTTGAAACAACCGTAAAGCGGCCCATTCGATCTCGCCCTCCACGGCTGCCATTGAAGATCATCCCAGCCAACAATCAGACTGCTAACAAGGAAAAGACAGCACCTGTCCTAGCTCCCCAGCCAAAATGTGTCAGCCCTGCAGCCTCTCCTTTGACGTCTATGCTTCTGGCAACGCCTACCCCCGTCTTAAAGCCAAGTTCCTTCTCTACTCTCGACCCCCTCTTCCCTACACCTTCCCCTGAGCCTACAACAAGCTCACTGTCACCTTACTCCTCGCTAGATTCACCTGATGAAGCTGCCATGGCCGCTCGCGCAGCTCACGTTACCCGATTCAACGGGGCCTTAACATGGCTCAGCGAGCACATCCCCGAAGACTTGAACAATCTCCGAAAGCAGATTCAACATGTTACCGACTTGCAAAAAGCCCGAAACGGCCGCAACCAGAAAATGTCACGCTCTGTATCATTCTGGACATTCAGCCCCGTCAAAGACAAGTCCAAAGCCGAGACCGAGGAATCTGCTGTGGTGGATGGTCCGAACATCGATGAATACGGAAATGTGTTGCGCGTCGAAACTAAGGCTCAACGGATTGTGCGACTTCGTAAGGAAGGATGGAGGATTGGTATTCGGTCTCAGCACAGTCTGTGGAAGGGGACTGAGTACTATGACCGACTTTGTGAAACTGCGCTGGGTGAGCTGGGGGATAGTCGTGGTTTGACTGTGGAGGGTCATGCATATTTGAAAAAGTGGTGACGGATCCATTTCAGGATGGGATAGCTCATGTTTTGTTCGGATTTGCGCTTACTAGTTTGATGATCTATCGATCTTTATTCTGGATCTTTCGGGGGTCATGGAGGGATCCCGACATGGCCAGTTACAGATGTGCCACAATTGCGCTGTGACTTGTCTGCCCAAAACAATTGTCAATGACCTCAAGGGTCTTTTGCGACATGTCTTCGATTATCGAAAAAAATGATCATCCACAGATGAAATGCAGCATCAATTCAAATTCCAACTATTGTTCCATCACGAGCTTCACCCTAATCTTCAAAATCCAAAATCCATCTCCATCCGACATCAGTAGTTAAAGACCCTTGCTCAACACAGATCCAAGTCCTTCACCCAGGCCACCTTTCCCAAACATTCCACCCAGTTGACTGCCAAGCTGGTCTTGAATTTTGCTCAGATTCTCGTCTTGGGTGAGCTTTTTGCCCGTGAGGCTTTCTATAAGACATCAGTATCAGTCACCTGCGCGATGATTTTCAAAGATTCCGCAGCCATAACATACTCTTCAATCCATAGGATACTTTTGTCTCACCCATCGCATCCAAAATGATCTCTTGGAGTTTCTTCTGGTAGGGGTCCAGGTAACCCGAGACCCAGGCGGCAAGTAGAACCAGTTGGAAAACAGAGAAGAAGAGGAACGATAGCATGATGTTTGGTTTGAAATTTTCTATAGGTAACAACTTTAGAAAGAGTCCATGAGTTCCAAAGTTCCAAGGTTGTTGATATAAGATACTGCGATGCTATGACGTCGGATGACGCCACACAGATGGAGAGATGGCTTTTTATATTAATTCGACATCAGTGTTTCAGTGACATTGTATTAATAGAATGGGACCAAATAGATCTAGGCAAGGATTGTAAATTACTTAAGTAGTGTGCGATTTGTGGACGAAGAGCCAAAAACCTCGCAGTATGAATACCTAGGTACTTGAGTAGATAAGGAAAATGAATGGACCCCTGGTTTTCATACTCGGCTAACTATTTTAGCTACCAAGGTGAGTATAATGAGTCCTTGCTCAATTTGCCGTTTTGATATCACTGTCCATATTTCGGACGACTTGCAATGGAATAGTGATCTACTTAGGTATAGATACTCATTTCCGACCCCTTAAGTGGGACACGTGCACCAACGTCATCTTGTATAGAACAAGAAAACATACTCTATGTACTACTATGCTGCCTTCGATACATACTCAAGTAATTACAGGATAATTTATGAGCCCATGAAATTCCCTATTTTAGAATTATGCCAGGATCTAGTATTTGACCACTAGATACTTTGGTATTATTTCAGCACCAGGAGGGCTTAGGGGATGGGGATATCCACATCTTGGCAATAAGCCCTACAAGGCGACGTTAGGCTGGATTTTACAAGATCAGCTGGACAACTAACTATCTGGGCATATTACTACTTTAGTACGAAGTAATAGCAATGATTTATTAGCCCCTACAGGTCAATAAGTCCAAGAACATATAACAAGTACTTAAGTAAACGGCGGCTCATCAGACCTAAACGGTCAGGCAGGCGTGTTTCGGCTGCGCCACACGCTAAACCTTACAGATTGTCTTATCGGCCTAGAACTTCTCTCCTGTCTTTGCTCAGGTGCCTCTTTGCTTTTACATCTTCAGTTCCTCTGCGTGTCTACAGGTGAGTTGCTCTTTCTAACTATTCTGCTCAAGGTTGTGTGCTGCAGCCTGTCGCGTCTGCATGTTCAGCCACCCCCGCGCATGACCAGCACCCCTCGGATTTGCCAATTCTAGATCACGATCGCTGACCCTTTTTTTTTTTCTTTCGCTCTTCAGATTGGACTGCCAACACCCTATTTGCACATCTTGGAAGCCTATTTGAATCCGATTTCTTGCTACCTAACGAGTTCCGCGCCCCATTTCGGCCCATCGCACTTCGCGTCTGGCATCTTAGGGCGTCTGCAGCCCTACCCCCACATCATGAGTTGTGAGTCGACATGCGATATTCGGACTTTTGCCCTTTTGATTTCATTGTGATTCGCTCCCTTGCTTTTTGCGCCCATTATCATCGGGGATCGCGACCTCGCTCACTGCTGGGATCCTCGCTGCATTGATGATGTCGATCTATGCACTGCCTGCAAGCTACCTGTGGCATATATGTGGGCTAGGGAGCCTACTTGCCATAATTTTGTGTCATGGTCTGCCTCACAATGCCATTTCCCTCTTCGTTCGGTCGCTTTTTCCAGCCATTTGCTTCCTTCACTGCGCGCATTCCATCGGAGGGACCCCTCAATTCGCTGACCAATGTCCCTTTAGTCGCAAACATGCTCAACAAGCTGTCTGGACAGCCAGAGAGCTACGAGAAGAAGTCGGTCATCCCCGATTCCTCCCGTTGTCGCACATTTGCTGATCTGATCTGACTCAGGGCCCTCTACAAATTCGGACGAACGCTAGGTGCTGGCACATACGGTATTGTCCGCGAGGCTGAATCAACCGACGGGAAAAAAGTTGCGGTGAAGATCATCCTCAAGAAGAATGTCCGCGGCAATGAAAACATGGTCTATGATGAGCTTGAGATGCTCCAATCCCTCCAGCACCCCCACATCGTCTCATTCGTCGACTGGTTCGAATCGAAGGTGAGCATTGCTCTGCCTCCTTACACTGGGGTAAAGGTTAACCTTGGGCCTAGGATAAATTCTACATTGTTACGCAACTAGCCACTGGTGGCGAGTTGTTCGACCGTATCTGCGAGTATGGCAAGTTCACGGAGAAGGATGCCTCGCAGACCATCCGCCAGGTGCTCGAAGCTGTGAACTACCTGCACAAGCGCAATATTGTTCACCGAGGTCCGTCCACCCATATCACTCCTTAATGCCCATAACAATACTGACCCCCCGGCAAAGACTTGAAGCCCGAAAACTTGCTTTACCTCACCCGCGCCGCCGATTCCCAACTAGTCCTGGCAGACTTCGGTATCGCTAAAATGCTTCACAGTCCCTCCGAAGTCCTCACCAGTATGGCCGGTTCATTCGGTTATGCCGCGCCCGAGGTCATGCTCAAGCAGGGCCACGGCAAGGCCGTTGACATGTGGTCGCTCGGTGTCATCACCTACACCCTACTGTGTGGATACTCCCCCTTCCGATCCGAGAACCTCACCGACCTGATCGAAGAATGTCGAACCGGTCGCATCATCTTCCACGAGCGCTACTGGCGCGACGTGTCGCAAGACGCCAAAGACTTCATCCTCACCATGCTCAACGCCGACCCCGCCAAACGAGTCACCTCAGACGAAGCCCTCAAGCATGAATGGTTGACCGGAGAATCCGCCAGCGACCGTGACTTGCTGCCCGAGATCCGGGCCTACATTGCGCGCGCCCGTCTCCGCCGCGGTATCGAGATCGTCAAGCTCGCCAACCGGATTGAGTCGCTCAAGATGCACGAGGAAGAAGATGGCGAGGATATCCCCAGCCCCATGGACATGGGCAATGCTGGAGACTCGGCTGAAGTCCCTCCACCCAATGGCGAGGCTAGCCCGGCCCCTGGCCACGCAAAGAAGAAGAGTCTTGGCAGCGCTGCTCGCGGTGCTATCTTCCGTGAGGTGGTTTTGGCCAAGGTTCGTGAGCAAAAGGAGAACGAGGAGCGGGAGAAGGTTGAGCGCGAGGCTCGGGAGAAGGCTGCCTCTGCATAGAGCGGTTGCGGCGCTTCTCTTTGTTTTGTGATTTTGATACGCTGATCTTACGGATGCCCTGCCCTGTAATACTTTTCTTCTGCCGGGCGGTTTCTTGAATATAATTCTATGATTCCCCTTCTTTCCATAGTCAATCAGAGTGAACATACAGCCGAGTTTCTTTTTTGTTGGAGGATCCTTGTACAGTCACATGTATAAGCTGTGTACTGGGTATGGAGTATTTCTTTCCAAGGTTAATAGATTAGCTTAGAGCCTCTTGACTTAGATATTGGATGATGCTTTAACTCGACAATTGGTATAGCAGGTGAGAAATAATTATCCCATTTATTGACTATAGTATTAACTAAATGGAGTCCTCGTGGTACTCGTAGATCGTTTGGCGTCAGGCCCACTTAGACCATCACGTGTAGTCTCCCCACTCGATTGTGTCCTTCTGGATCTTCGATGCTTTCTTTTGTTTCTCTACACTGGTGTATTTTGCTTATAAGAGGAGCACTGGCCTCGCTTTACTCGTTCGCGTTTCAGTTAAGGGAGCCTTCCACACGTCATACACCCGCTCTGCTCCACCATCTCCACCAGAGCTTTTACACTTCCCATCCACGATGTTCGCAACCAAGCGCCTGAGCAAGGTAAGGTACTCGAATACATTTAGAAGAACAGTTGACTAACACTTCATCTCGTACAGGAGCTCAGTAAGGTAATTTCCTATTCCGTTCTTATCACTGCCCCACCAACTGCTCGCCGATCCCACATCCCCCTCACATACCTGCCTGGACCTCTCTGATACCATGTCTGCACCAGATGCAAGATCACCTACCCCCAGGGATCGCGATGGTGAAATGTGAAAACCTGGAAGAGTGGCAGATGGACATCAAGGTCCTGGACCAAAACCCACTCTACCAAGACCAGACCTACCGCCTCAAGTTCACTTTCAGCAACAAATACCCCATCGGTACGCAGCTCTTTCCACAACCACACCCACAGCGCTAACATGTTCCTCATCCAGAGCCCCCCGAGGTCCAATTCATTCAATGCGCCGAATCAACCGGCACACCCCGATCGATCCCCATCCACCCCCACATCTACAGCAACGGCATCATCTGTCTTGACCTGCTAGGCTCGTCTGGCTGGTCTCCCGTCCAGAACGTCGAAAGCATCTGCATGAGTTTGCAAAGTATGCTGACAGCCAATACCCGGGATGAGCGACCTGCCGGCGATCAGGAATTCGTCGCCACCAACCGTCGTCGCATCCGTGATATCAACTTTGTCTATGAAGACGACAATGTATAAACTAGAGGCTTTTTTCGGGACTCGCCCTAGCTTGGTTTGGCATGGAGCTTAGGTCTCATTATTCATCTGGCATACCCGGCGTTCTCTTTATGTGATTATCTCCCCAGAAGGGAAGGCGGGGGCAGGTACATTTTGACAGGGAAGGATATGATTATGTCCCTTTTGTACTCCGTATCTACCTGGGTCATGGCGCTGGCCATCCGAATTTGGAGTAGGGAAACTTTCCGCGGTTATTTATGGCGTTATCGGGCATTTTATAGTGGTTAATCGGAGACACTTTCTCTTCTTGGTGAGTATAGGCGAGTAGAGCACAGAGGTTAAGTCTGGGACTCCGCTATACATATCTTCCAAGCCAATCCTATACTTCGATGTGATTGGTCAGATCGCTTATGTTCCCGAAGCAAGCCCGGGCTCCGCAAGGCAAAAGTATAAAGGATATCAACCTTCCAAAGGACAACTTACAGACACCATCGAATTCAAAAATGTATCCAACTCGAATCGACCTGTTCAAGGGACAGCCGGCAATATCCATGCTCCCAGTCAACCGACTCAAGCAAGCATCCAGTGTCGCCCTATCTGACGAAACAATATTCGGAACCGGTCTGGAATATGGCCCAAACGAAGGCCATCTCCCTATGAGAAAGAACATGGCCGAATGGCTCACCAGGTTTTACAACCCCTCACAACCAATCCCCACAGACCGTGTATGCATCACAGGCGGCGCAAGTCAGAATCTAGCTTGTATCCTGCAAGTATTCACAGACCCAGCGCAAACAAAGAAGATCTGGCTCGTTGAGCCAACCTATCATCTTGGATTTCGAATCTTCGAGGACGCCGGATTCATGGGTCGATTGCGTGGTATACCCGAAGACGAAGATGGGTTGGACGTTGCCGCGCTAGAGCGTGCTTTGGAGGCATTTGAGCAGGAACATCCGACTCAGAACGACACGGTATGTATTTATTCTGCTTTTTGGTGTCGGTGTAGCAATACTTACACACACCCAAGGTATACAAGACTGAAAGACCACATGGGAAGATATACAAACATGTTATATATTGTGTTCCGACATTTTCGAATCCCTCAGGAAAGACAATGCCTCGGGCCCGACGAGAGTATCTTGTTCGGGTTGCACGCAAGTTCGATGCTCTCGTCGTGGCAGATGATGTATATGATTTCCTTACCTGGGCCAATGCGCATTCCGGGGATTCGAGTCTCGCACGTCTCGTGGACATAGATCGTGTTCTGGACGATGGGCCATGTGAATTCGGGAACGTCGTGAGTAATGGCTCATTCAGCAAGCTTATTGGTCCTGGGTGTCGAGTTGGGTGGGCTGAAGGGACATCGCGTTTCATCCATGGTCTTTCCGAAGCGTATGTATCCTTTTCCCCTTGCTCAATCAGCTGGTGACATCTATCCACGGTGCTGATTAATTCCAGTGGTTCCACACAGTCAGGCGGTGCCGCTTCCCAGCTGATGTCGACATTCGTGAATGAAATGCTAGAGGATAACTTCCTACCCGAGTATATCAGGAATACTTTGATTCCCGAAGGACGAAAAAGACATACACTCCTTGCATCGGCGGTCAAAGCGCATCTTGGTCCCTTTGGTGTGACATTTGCTCCTGATCCAGAGACCAGTGCACTAGTCGGAGGATATTTCATCTGGCTTCGGCTTCCGGATACATTGACGTCGACTCGGGTTTGCGAATGGGCTCTCCGAACGCAGAACTTGGTTCTGGCTAGCGGTGAGACGTTTGCTGTTCCTGGTGGGGATTTTCCGGTTGAGTTGCATCACAGACTGAGGTTGTGTTTCATGTGTGAGGATGAAGGGCGGCTAGTTGAGGGGGTGGAGAGGTTGGGGATTGTGATACAGGATATACTGGGAAATGACCAAAATCAAGGTTGAAGATATGTCTGTTTTCGAGGCTCTCTTAGCTCTATCATTGTGTGGTAATCTTTGGTTCGTGAACGGTATTTCATTATCTTCAGTCATGGTACATAGACTAAGACTCAGTTACCATAAGGTCATATTGGTCGCTTGTAAAATAAAAATCCCACCCAGTATCATCAAAACGTATGTAGGAAAGTAATCATCCATAAAACCAGTACTCTGCTGCATATGGCACCAGAATTGTGGCATTCTGACCAGCACATGTAGAGGGTGGATTACCCAGGGAAGTAACAACACGGTAAACCTCCTATGTAGGGTTAGACGTGTCAAATTTCAATCGAATCTTCAAGCATTTGAACTCACCTCAATACCATGCCCCTTCTTATAGCCCAACTTAAGCCACGGAACATCATTTGAGCTCCCTGATGTCGAATTCGGTGCTGGAACAGCTGCTTTCTTATTGGTAGCAATCCAGGATTTGGAACCACTCAGCGTCAAGTCGAACAATGGATCCCCATCACCATTAAAGTAATGTTCACCAATAATCAAATTTGTACTCCTTGTACCCTGGGCCACAAGTGCCGCCATGAACGCCAAAGATCCAAGAGGCGTGGTACTAATCAAAGGAGGAACTTCGTGAAGAAGAGATCCAGAAGCAGCCGCGAGACATGAAGCGTCAAATAGAGTGGCGACGGCACCTGTTGCTTCTGGCTTGATTATAGACCTGCGGTTTGAAGAACTGTTCGATGGACAAGTGTAGTTCTGGGTTCCTCGGCCTAACGCAACGTATTTCAGTGTGAGGTTTGCGGATGGGGCTGGAAGCGGGGATTTGGTTGCGTTCAGTGGCATTGTTGCGTTTGCTAGAGAGCAGTTTCCGAGGTGGATGTTGTCGAGTTGGTGGTAGATGTGGGTGAATGATGATGCGAGGGCCAAAGGACGAGGCTGGCTTAGATCTCCATTCACAGATACCACTGTGAGTAGAGTGGAGAGCCAGAAGAGGAAGTTCATGGTGTCAAAGTAGTCTGTTGTGGGTGAAAATGAGAAACAAGATCGATGGAGCTGGTCTTGCTAATACGCATACGCAAAAGACAAAGAGCAATTTTTTTTTTTAAAAAGAAAAAAACAATATGTAGGATGGAGAGATCGTAGGTGAGTGCAAGTCGAGGGCTTTCGGTAGCGACAGGCACTTTGGAGGGCTCTCTTCAGCAAAATACCAAGACAATGATGAACCGAGATCATATGGGAAGATAAACAACAAACCCAGACATGTGTTTCATTAAATACAGAGGTAGGGCTTCGCCAAATTGGAACAAAGAATAGATTCTGAGTTTGGAGATGCCGCACAGATAGTTAGGCTTATAGAATATACCAAATCGAACCAAGCGTTATGGGATCGGTTCAATGAATCTTTGATGGCACCAAACAAGGAACACTAATTGGACCCCGCTACCCACTTCCGAGTAGTTCATGTCTAGAGAAGTCTCCGAGTCTGCTGACTGCCCAGGTGCTAACACGATCGGTGCTAAAATGATGCTAAAATTGGCCTCTTTGTTGTCGATGCCCCATAAATGAGAGCTCGCCGCGGAGATACGGTCATTAAGTGTAGTACATACTTTGATGAAAGGGTCCATAATCTTAGTTCATGTAACCACAGAGGTCAGAGGTTACACTTGCGGCCGTTTGACTGGCCAGCTACGAGCAAACAGCCGCTCTACTGTAAGACAAGCAAATTGGCACTTCAATCAGTAGGAATATTTGATTTCCAAGCTTAGGCACCATAATTTTGCAACCAAGAAACTCAGGCTTGGAAAAACATCTTGCAGTGCAACTTTAGAATGGGGAATGTTCTAATTTCCTAGAACCTTGGGCTGCAGGCGCTTTGCATAAGCGCCCACTGGATGTAGATCTCCCATTGGCTGTCGGAGGGTTTTGTGTCTAATTGTCCCTGTTTACTCATAAAATTTTTATTCCTATTTTAGATAGCCTTATGCAAATTGGGTAGAATACTGGGGCTTCTGCAGGCTTTTAATATCATTGACACACTGGTGGGACGTAAATAGACCACAAGCGCCCTCGCAGCGCCACCGCTCTATCGGACAGGCCAGTGGTCTGTACGATTACATAGCGGAGTACCACGAGACACTTTATCGAGCGCAGTTCCAGTAACAAGTACGAGACAGATGCGAACATCCATTGATGGCAATGACGTCTCGACGGCGTTTGCTAACAGCATTAAGTTCCCATTTTCTGGCACCGGCTCACTTCACTTCAGCTATATTACTAAAACTGGTGGAGACGTAGTTGAACTAGATGAAGAGCGAGGGATCCTGCTATTCTGTAATATGTGTTTATAAAGAGATATGCGGATATGCTATTTACAATATGAAGTGAGTTATCACAAGTGCTACAGCAATATCGCCTCACTAATACTCCGCACATATCACCAATATCCCGGGGCCTCATCAACCCCAATTCCACTGACCAAGCTCATTGATATCAACAGGGCTTCTCATACTATACGCAGTACATATCACCGGTTTCTTGAACAGAACACAAATGTAGGGCTTAGACCAGTTCCTTGGCGTTCCCCCTTCCAGCCAATCAGAGCGCGAGTCCGCTCTGACTACGGGCACCTAGTAGCTTTAGTTCCCTTCATTCTTGATGCATCTTGACTCATTTTCCTTTTCCTTTTCACCTCAATCATGCGCCTCCCGATTGAGCTCCTCCAGCTCATTCTGCAGGAAGCAGTTGATATTTTGCCCTACGGCGATATCCTGCACTCCCGACTCGTGAATAGTAAGCGAATCATCTGCCACGGGAATACGCTTCTAACTCGGTCTAGATCTCTTCAATAAAACTCTGTGGCCTACAAGTGCCAGGATAGACCACCCGGAAGCCATCTTCACGGTGTGGCGCAAGTTTCCCTACAAGCGGAAATATCTCTGGCACTTGATTGAAAACCATCAAGAGCGACCATGTTTCTTCTCCGAGTTATGTCACGACATTCTACAGATGCCGCACATTGCTACGACGAGTGAGAACGAGAAGCATATCCTCATGGACAAAATGATCAATGTTATTTTGCGCAGTACCGAGAGTCCCAGGATGCTATTCAGTCCCCTTTGTTATCGCGCTTGCATTGCAAATGTTACTGACGCGTCCGGTGGGCGGATCGAGCCCCTGGAATTAACGCTTGCCAGTGGGCTTGCTGCGAGCGCCATCCTGCGAGGGGATCATGTGGAACTGCAGTCATTACTAGACGAGGGGGTCTGGCTGATGCGGTGGAGTGAAACTCTGGGTCAGGTGCCGGTGGATCTAGCATACAAAGAGGGCACCCCGGAGATCATCAATATTGTGGCGCCTCGTTATTCTTTCTTTTACCAGAGCCGCTCGCGGTGGACTATAGACCACTCATGTGGTTTGGCAGTGGCCGCCAGGCGTGGTGATGCAGAGCGAGTGGAATTGCTGATCAAGGCTAACCTGGATAAAGGGTGGGACATCTCTCTGGAGCTTTCCAAAGCCGTGGAAGGAGTATTACGGATTGGAAAGGTGGAGATGGTGGAAGTGTTGGAGAAATACATGACCCGTCCGAGGGAGTCGATGCAGTGGCTTTGGTTTTACTGCTACAACGAGGCTGTCAAGAATGGCATGTTACATGTGGTGCGATGGCTATTCAACCGCGAAGGTCCTCTCATGAGACAGACCTCTCCGTGGCATAAGACGCCGCTTTTCATCGCCCTTCACGACTGTCCCTCCAATGCGAGATTGGAAATGGTTCGGTTGTTGCTTGAGAATGGAGCTGATCCCAATGGAAATGGAGGTCTAGAGGTCTCTCAGACTCCACTTCAGCGAGCTATACAGAATGGAGACCTGGAGGCTGCGATGTTGCTGGTGGAGTTCGGTGCTGATCCAAATAGGGCGGCACGACGAACTGTACCTTTGCACATGGCCGTTCAGCAGGGACATCCGGCGTTGGTGCGATGTATGTTGGAGCATGGGGCCAAACCCAGATACCAATCCAAGGGCAAGAGATACACCGTGCGGCGGTCAGAGAACTTCACGACGTTGCTGGAGGATTTAGGGTTTGACCAGGTTACTGAACAAGAATATGTGATTATGTATCGGCCAGACACAGGCTCCAGGGTCTGTGAAGTAATTTCCTACCCTAACGCCTTGGCAGCGCTCTAAAACTAAAAAAAAGCTATGCTTGGGGCGGAAGCTGATTTCGTGATTATACAGTATGGCTTGGAGTGAAGTGAAGAAGTAAAGAAGTGAAGGACAAGCGGATCAGTGGGTCCGGGGAGACGGTCATGTGATCCATGTGATCCATATCACGTGAGGGGTAGCTGTCTTAGTCAGAATCCACTAGCGCGTACCGCCAACGACCTTTTCATGTCTCATCGCGATGCCCCAGCACCATCGCATCGTCAACGACAACTTTTGCGACCGTTACAACGGCTCTTGATCCGAATGTAGCTTCGTTGAGCCTTCTTGCGGTAACACAGGCTCACTCATATTCTCGCGACTCCTGATAATTATCACCATGTCCGACGGTAAGTTTTCCCAAGCTCTCCGGCCGATCATGGAAACTAACCCGCCACTGTAGCTGATCTCGAAGCTGTTCGCCGGCTTCAAGCCGAGCGCAATGCTGCTGCCGCTAGCAATAAAGGTTCAAGGACCTTTGACCCCTCCGGTCAACGTACTGATAACTCGACTAAGGCCTCCCTGACGGACTCCTTCGACACGACTTTGTACGATCGAGGCGGGGCTGACAAATACTCCGGCTACAACACCTCAATCGCGCTTGACGGCGAGGACGAGGAAATGGAGGATGCGAATGGAGGACACAATCTGGTTGGTCAATACACTGCTACCCGAGGCCAAATCGACGAGATGGCGCAAGGAAACGGTGTGGAGGAGGAGGACATCATGCTTGGTCGCGAGAAGGCAGCTCGGATTGCCGACCGCGAGACAGACTACCAGAAACGCCGGTTCAACCGCGGAGCCCTTACCCCGACACGCGCCGATCCCTTCGCCGCCAATGGCCAAGCGAATGCCGAAGGAGAAGGCCAGACCTACCGTGAGGTCATGGCCCTCCGCGAGCTCGAGAAGGAGGAAGAACGTGTTCAAAAGCTGATCGACGAGAAGCGAGAGGCCGGCGAGGACGTGACCGAGCACCAGGCAACCCTGAAGAGGGTAGAAGATAGCAAAGAAAATGTTGACGCGGCCTTAGCTCTCGAGGAGGGTCCCCCCAAGAAGCGAAAGAAGAGATGGGATGTGGAAACGGAGCCTGCCGCTGAACCACAGGGCGAAGATTCCACTGGCGCGCAGCCTAAGAGATCCCGTTGGGATACAACAGCAGCTCCCGATGCTTCTGGTGAAGCACCCAAGTCTCGGTGGGATCGAGCACCACAACTCGCGGCTGCCACTCCAGTCGGTAACCAAGGACTCGCTACCCCAATGCACCCTTCACAAGCAGCCCCTACCGCTGCCGTCGGTCCATCTGGTCCAATGGTCGGTTGGTCTGACGAAGAGCTTGACTTCATGCTCCCTGGTGAAGCTGAGGGCTACAAAGTTCTTGATCCCCCACCCGGCTATGAGCCCATTCGAACTCAGGCTCGCAAGCTCATGGCCACGCCGGCACCAGTTTCTGGTGGTGTTGGAGGTTTCATGATGCAAGAACCCGAGAGTGTCAAGTCTATGGGCAAGGAACTTCCTACTGATATCCCTGGTGTCGGTGATCTCCAATTCTTCAAGCCGGAAGATATGGCTTACTTCGGTAAGCTGATGGAGGGTGGAGATGAGACTAGCATGAGTGTTGAGGAAATGAAGGAGCGAAAAATCATGCGATTGTTGCTTAAGGTCAAGAACGGTACCCCGCCTATGCGAAAGACTGCACTGCGACAGCTCACAGACAATGCCCGCAACTTTGGTGCTGGTGCTCTCTTCAATCAAATCCTACCATTGCTCATGGAGAAGTCCCTGGAGGACCAGGAGCGCCATTTGCTGGTCAAGGTCATCGATCGTGTTCTGTACAAGCTTGATGATTTGGTTCGCCCTTATGTCCACAAGATCTTGGTTGTCATTGAGCCGTTACTCATCGATCAAGACTACTATGCTCGTGTTGAAGGACGAGAAATTATCTCCAACCTGTCCAAGGCTGCTGGTCTTGCTACCATGATCAGTACTATGCGTCCTGATATTGACCATGTTGACGAATATGTGCGAAACACGACAGCTCGAGCCTTCGCCGTCGTTGCCTCAGCCCTTGGAATTCCCGCCCTCCTTCCTTTCCTTCGTGCTGTCTGCCGCAGCAAAAAATCATGGCAAGCCCGTCACACTGGTGTCAAGATTATTCAGCAAATCCCCATTCTCATGGGCTGCGCTATTCTTCCCCACCTCAAGGGACTGGTGGAATGTATCTCTGGCAACCTGGAGGATGAACAGGCAAAGGTCCGGACCGTCACAGCCCTCTCAGTTGCTGCTTTGGCCGAAGCTGCGAACCCGTACGGTATTGAAAGTTTCGACGATATTCTAAACCCTCTCTGGCAAGGTGCCCGCAAGCAGCGTGGTAAGGGTCTCGCTGCCTTTTTGAAGGCCGTCGGTTACATTATCCCGCTGATGGTAAGTGATGCATAGTTGAATACCGAAACAAAAAAAAAACAGTTAGCTAACCAACAACTAGGACGAGGAATATTCGAATTACTATACCGCACAGATTATGGAGATTCTCCTTCGCGAATTCTCGTCACCAGACGAAGAAATGAAGAAGGTGGTGTTGAAGGTGGTGTCCCAGTGTGCAAGCACAGATGGTGTTACTGCCAGTTATCTCAAGGAGCACGTTTTGACCGAGTTCTTCAAGAGCTTCTGGGTCCGTCGCATGGCACTCGACCGACGAAACTATCGCCAAGTCGTTGATACCACCGTGGACTTGGGCCAGAAGGTTGGTGTTGGCGAGATCCTCGAGCGCACCGTCAACAACCTGAAGGACGAGAGCGAGCCATACCGCAAGATGACGGTGGAAACTGTTGAGAAGCTTGTCGCTTCTCTTGGAGCTGCCGATATCTCTGAGAGACTGGAAGAGCGCCTCATCGATGGTGTGCTCTTCGCCTTCCAGGAACAAAGCATCGAAGACATTGTTATTCTGAACGGATTCGGCACTGTCGTCAACGCACTGGGCTCACGCTGCAAGCCTTACCTCCCACAGATCGTCAGTACCATTTTGTGGCGTTTGAACAACAAGTCCGCTACAGTTCGACAACAAGCTGCCGATCTTATCTCTCGAGTCGCTATGGTCATGAAGCAGTGCGGTGAAGACGCACTCATGGGCAAACTTGGTGTCGTTCTCTATGAATACCTGGGTGAGGAATACCCCGAAGTCCTGGGTTCTATTCTGGGTGCTCTGCGGTCCATTGTCACTGTGGTGGGTATCACTCAGATGCAACCACCTATTCGCGATCTTCTCCCTCGTCTCACTCCTATTCTCCGTAACCGTCACGAAAAGGTGCAGGAAAACACCATTGACCTGGTCGGTCGTATCGCCGATCGCGGACCCGAGTCGGTCAATGCCCGTGAATGGATGCGTATCTGCTTCGAGCTGCTTGACATGCTCAAGGCCCACAAGAAGGGAATTCGACGAGCAGCCAACAACACTTTCGGTTTCATTGCCAAGGCCATTGGTCCCCAAGACGTCCTCGCCACACTTCTCAACAACTTGCGAGTGCAAGAACGTCAATCTCGTGTTTGCACAGCCGTTGCCATTGGTATTGTGGCGGAAACCTGTGCTCCTTTCACCGTTCTTCCCGCACTGATGAACGAATACCGTGTGCCCGAGCTCAACGTGCAGAACGGTGTGCTTAAGGCCTTGTCCTTCTTGTTCGAGTACATCGGCGAGATGGCCAAGGACTACGTCTATGCCGTCACACCGCTGCTAGAGGACGCCCTGATCGACCGTGATCAAGTCCACCGACAAACCGCCGCCAGCGTGGTCAAGCACGTTGCACTGGGCGTCGTCGGCCTCGGCTGTGAGGACGCCATGCTCCATCTCCTCAACCTTGTCTTCCCCAACATCTTCGAAACCAGTCCCCACGTCATTGACCGAATCATCGAGGCTATCGAAGCCATCCGCATGGCCATCGGCACCGGTACCGTCATGAATTACATCTGGGCGGGTCTTTTCCACCCCGCTCGCAAGGTGCGCACGCCCTACTGGCGTCTGTACAACGATGCGTATGTCCAGGGCGCGGATGCCATGGTTCCTTACTATCCCGACCTGGAGGGTGATATGGACCGACCTGAATTATCCATCATGATTTAAGGACGATGCCATATGATCGCTCTCTAGAGCGACTTCTAGGTTCTCTTCATGCATTATTAGTTACAGCCACGATATGGTCTGTTTCACTTTCTAGCCGGTGTTTTTATTAGGTTTTGTTTCATACACGGACGTTTGGCGTGTCTATAGTTGCTGTACATCATCGAAAAGTCAGGAATAATAATTCAGATCCGAATGCCACTTTTATTCCAATATTTTAAAGTTGTATTCATGCTCAACTTAGAAGTGCAATGTTCGTCAATACTGAAGTACTTAAGCCACAACTTAAGTAGAACCTTGCAAGTCTAAACTTTAGAAGTTGCGGTCAAAGAACAATACTTCCAACTTAGAAGTAACTTAAGTATCAGGTGCTCAATTGCTCAAGTGGTCAGTTATAACACGAGGTGGCTGCTTCTAACCTTGGAAGTTACCTAGGTAGAGTTATGTGGCTTCGAAGGAGTTCGTTGGATATATATTTCCCGATTTTCAACCTTGGAACTTTAGAACTCACAGCTCGATCTATTAACTACTAATTACCTAGGTAAAGTTAAGAACCAGTTCTACTTAAGTACAATTTCACATAAATCAGAATCTACGAGTAAAGTACTACTTAAGTAAAGTACTAAGTACAGTGTAGAGCCGATCTTTGCTTTTATCAACCCTCGTAGAATAATCTACAAGGCCAAGCATGGTGACAGGGGGCAATAAGGTAGGGATCGCTCCTAAGGCCGACAATCATTGTCAATCACTTGAGCATATCGGACTAAATTTTTAAACAGGCAGGGTCTGGGGTATACCCAGGTACGAAATTCTACAGCTTCAGAATCATGAAATTGCACACTTCCCCTTGCTCTAAACATAGAAACTGGTACGTACACCCATTGCCACCAAATAATGCCTCAGTCGCCACACAAAAAACCGTAAAGGCATTCGTCATCAGGGTCCCGAAAATAAGGAAGCAGGAAAGGAGGGGCCCCAGCCCGGTGGGCTCAAGGGACTGCCAAGCAGCGCCGAATGCCTAAGCTCAGGCTTGGCGCAGGATGTGGCCGCGTAAGCTCTCGCAGCGCTGAGGCTTGGCTGTGGGGAATTGGAAATTACCTGGGATTTTGGTTGACGGAGTACGAGGTACGAGAAGACTATCTGGACTATTTGCAATCTATCGATCGTGAGGCGGCTAAGGGTTTACAATGTGTCTTTAGTGCAATCTTCACAGTTCGTAGCTCGTACTCGATATCCATTCTGTATGTACTTGTACATACAATGATCCTAATGAGCCCCATATAAATCAAAAAAGGCAACACAATCTCTCTGTACGAGTATAGATCCATTCACTCGGGATCAAGATACTCAGCTCTAGAGAACTCATACACAGCCTCCCCCTGAAATGAAATTCCCACAGGAACCGGGGAATGAGTACTCGTATACACACAGACCCTGATAAGGGGTGGCCCCTTTTTACCTTTTCCATGCTCTTACAATGTTCTTACAGGGTCTTTCAGAGAATATTCCTCCCATTTTTCAGGGTCTACTAGCCCCCTTTTGGAGTAGAGTATCCGAGTTTAATTCTTATTCCGAATTCTTAATTCTTAATTTCTTTATTTCTGATTTCCATGAGAAACTCGTATACTAGTTCGATCCTACTTAAGTATGGAGCTCAATGAAATTACGATGGAGTTCAAGTCAGTTCGACACGATCCTTGGGTCTTCCGATCGGAAAATAACCGGAAAACGAACTACTCGTAGAAGTTCACTAAAAGTCAAAAGTAAAGAGGGATTAATCTACTCGTATGCACGTCTTGTAATCGCGTGTTGCGCCAAATGCCTAATATCTATGTGCATGTACGGAGTACTCGTACATAATGTACTCCATCTACAGCTGTCATGCGAGATACCGAGGAATTTCGGAATTCACGTGAAGGGAACCACTTTGTATACTTGGAGAAGGTAAAGAGAGCCAATCAGACGAGACACGGCAATAGAATTGCGCACACCAGCAGGGATCGGGGCATTCAGGAGAATAGATGCACTTGAATTGATTGGAACTGCCGTCAAAGCCAGGATATGGAGTCACACACACATAGTTACTACTACGTGAACCGCAGGGTTTAACATTTGTTGTTTTTAACCCCCTTTGTTTAACAAGTCCGTAAGGGATCGGAGACCCTGCAGGACGCCCCATTCACGACGGTTGAGGCACACAGTGAGGGGCGTTTTGTGGATCGGGCGCCTTTGGCGCGGTCTCGCTCTCCCGACGTCAACAGTCCTCGTAACAGAGTACGGAGTACGTTGGCTCTAAGATCCCCTACTCTGCACTCGTACCAAGCACACGCTATCAGTATAGATGCAGTCTTGTACTCGTAATTTCCCGTAGTCTAATCCGTACAGAGTACGAGTACTCGTACAAGTCTATGTCCAGTGACATAGGCCAAGGGCATTCAATCCACTTTCTGCAAGTGCGTCTTATGAACAGGGGAGCTTGATCCTCCCGATGATGCTATGCGCGGGCTGGAGACCGGGTTGCCTACTCGTAGACAGCGCACACCGTAGTTCTGCAATCGTCACATTGCGTGTTTCTTTTTTCTCTCGGGGATACAAGTGAACCGCGAGGATGGGACCGAACTTTCCTTTCGGGAGGACCCGATCGGACTGTTTATAGCCGTATAAGGAAATAGTTTGGAGTACGTATGGGTACTCCGTAGCGTGGATTAGTATCTCCACGAGAAAGTCTGCGTGGGTCCGTCTCGACACGAGATCCGACCGTGAATATGACGTTTAATCATTCACAGCTTCTTGCTGGTTAGTACGGAGTACGAGTACTCCTCGTAGTAGTTAACTATTACGGAGTGCATGGGATCTGAGTATTTGGAAAATAATTCAAGATCCACCCGTGTTTCATGTTTCATGTTTAGCGTTGACCCTGAGGCAGTGTTCATGGGTGGAGTCTCAGGATCGCACGCAGGGATCACAGCCAAACGGGCGTTGCGGGGTCACACGTCATTTGATTGCTTATTTGGGGTCAATAACAGAGAGTCCAACCGGCCTATGAGTTAGATATTACCTGAAAAAAGTGAAAGTAAAGGTTATGCCATATACTTTGAAAGAGATATCACATAGAGTACGCAGTACCCACGAGCATGAAGTACTTGGGAGTAGGGAGTACTCGTAGGAGTGGGAGTGGGAGTAGGGAGCACCCAAAATGTCCGTATCGAGGTACGAGCGAAATACCGGATACCACGTTGGAAAGGCACGGGATGTGCACGCGTCAGCTCACGGTGGGGCCCCCGATCCAATTGGTCGATCAGTCAATGCCAAGCTCGGCTATCGACTATCTGCCGTCCACGGGTCTCCAGGCTTGCAATTAGACGGTGTTGATTGGTCGGGATCGTCTGCACAAACATGTAAGAATGTGGAGTCCATTGGAGCTAAAATGCACAGGGGTCCGATATCGGGAACCTCTCGGCCAATCACCGATACCAAGACCTTTCTTGGATTTCTCTCCCTTTCACTCGTAGCCCTGCTCAAATGACTGTACGGAGTAGGGTCCACCGGGATGCAACCTGAAGAAACTGTTCTGCTATCTATAGACCCTGCGAGACGTAGGGAAGATATCATATTTGTATGTCCAGAGTAATCAAGTACAGAAAATTACGAAGTCCCCGGTGTTCGGTACAGAGTACTCGTAGCCTACTCGCACAAGAAGACGGAGGAGCATGGTTGCCCTACCCAGGCCGAGAGGCTAAGAACGGTGATGTGCACTCTGTCAACCTTGATTTAGGGACAATGACGATCTGCCGTGTGGGAACCGCCACGATCGGAGCTCCGTGCAGATGACAGCCCATTGTTGGCCAAGGGCCGGTACCTGATTGACACTCGGCATTAAGGCAGATCGTCAACGTGCTCATCTGATTACATTGGGAATCAGCATCCCAGTTCCAGCCATGTGGTGACAATCATTGACTAGATGGTCAACTGGTATCAAAGTCTGGGGTTAGTCTCCAGACTTACAGATTTCTCCGACAAATGTGCGGGCAGACCGCCTTTTTCCTTTTTGTTTTTTTTTCTCTCCTTTTTATCCCGGCTTTCTCGGAAAATTGGAAATCCCTAAGTTCTTTTCGTGACGCGTCAACCTGAGCCGTGTCACTGCGCTGTTCCCGCTTGGGCAAAGTCCACGGACAAGCGGTCAGGGCCCATCCAAGAAACCCGGGAAACCCACAAACCTACCACAAGAAACTCTTTGGCGATATCAAACCCACTGTGGGTACAGATTCACTTTGCGATTGAGGTGTCTATCTGTCCATCCGGCACGCTCCGACTCAATATTGTGGTATACTTACTCTTAATAGTATAACCTTTTCCCAAAATGCTGTCTGGCTTCAGAACTTAGAGTGTCAGACACCGTCTCCACCGGAAAAAAAAAGCGAATTGGGTTCCGACAACCTCGTACCCCTCTCTCATGTTGAGCATGCGCTCAAAAATTAGTGTCCCCTCCCCTAACGCCACCTGCCAACAGAGATGGAGTTCAACCGGTGAAATGTCAAGTGGGCCAAAACACGGCATGGCTGAAAAAAAAGGGGAGGGGGTCGCGCTCAGACCGGAACCCATATTTTGCATTGCTTGTTTTTATCTCTCGAATTTCTCGATTTCTCCCGTTTGGAGTAGGACTATTTGATTTCGTGGCGGCTTGGAAGCTCGTTTTTTTAATTTTACGGGCTCCATTTGTACACTGTGGGCTAGGTACCCAACTGGACACTGCCCAAGTGTTTGTTCGGATGCACCTTCCGATAGTCTAGTGCCAGACGGAAAGTTGGCGAGACTTGAGCAGACCCAATGGCCAGACCCGTATTGTCTTAAGAATTTAAGATTAAGCACTGAGGTGAATCCTGGTTGTGAGTGAGACAGGAGTCGGGGACCAGAAAAAAAAGACAACCCCGAAGTTTCAGGACATCCAAGTGCCAACAGTGTCTAGCTTAACGAAAATAAGGTCCTTCAAATGGTTGGAGTAG